TATTTCATGATTTATTGGTGTTATATGTATTTCTTTAGTCATAGTGGTCTGCGATACATTGCTTAAAGGTCCTATGTTACGCCAAACTGATTCTTGTGAGCTTTAAGCCATGTTCTAATGTTGTTAACTTACCTCCTCAAAAGTGTACCTGGGAGCTGTGTTTTGTTTCGTTCACACATGTTTGATAAACAGGATACCGTCTTTTCCAGGATACTGAAATCAGGATACTGCGTTTACATGAACACACACAAAACCAGGATACTTAAAAAGCTCATCATAATTGGGTACGTGAGCACATGTGAGTAGTATATAAAAAGTATACTAATCCATTTTGGAGTCAATTTAGAGAAGCCTAGACTTATATGTGTAAATATTGGACTGCCTATGTTTCTTCACAGATTTGAAGAAATTCCTAAACCTGTTCCTAAACCTTATTTGTGCAGCTGAGCCTTCCATACACCATATGATTGATGATATGACAGATCTACAGAGGTGTATTGCACTTACTAGAGAAAATGTGCATTCATGAAGAGATACTAACAGGACAGTGCTCTGGTCAGACAGGTTCACTGGTCAGACAGGTTCACTGGTCAGACAGGTTCACTGGTCAGACAGGTGCACTGGTCAAACAGGTGCACTAATACGGCCTCATGTGTCACAAACTTTAACACCTCATGCAATAACAGTTAAGCTTTTCTTTATAATTTTGTAAAATTTAGAAACTCGAGTCTCTCAAGAACAAATGAAATGTTTATTTTAAAGTGCACATGGACAACAATGCATGCACACCAAAAGAATGAGTTTTTAACACTTTGCTTGGTAAAATAAAACATTTATTTAGTGTAATTATTAACAGGAAAATGCATGTATAGATTCAGGAAATACCGTAATTTATGTTAAATGGAATCTTTGCATATACATGGAATTTATAAAAATACAGTAATGAAGCAAACACTATTATACAAGTTTACAAGCAGTTTACAAGTTTACAGTTTACAAGCAAGAAAAATCATGCTAATAGCACTTAAGGGTTAATATGCAAAATAAGCCACATAAGGTTCTTTAAATATTCACTCCCAGTTTATGCAAAGGGTCTTAATTTGTTCTCTTCTGTATTTCCCAAAAAGCAAAACATTTGATTGGTGCATGGTGGTTATTGTGGAGGAGCCACACTTCACATTTGGTGTGTACCACATCCCCCAGTTTGGTCCTGTTTTGCTTGAGCTAAGTTTAGTCCTAAGGTTGACCTGGTTTGGTCTTGTTCTAGTCCTGGTTCAGTCTTGGTCTTGTCCAGGCTTTAGTCACACTTATAATGTGATGATGTTGTCTCACTATAACACCATAACAGCCTTGATTGCTTACTTATACTTGCTTTGCTAAGTTACAGTAAATGCAGTTTCCTGTTTAGATGCTATTTTTACCATTCAAACAACAAGACGGATATATAGATACTTCTTTAAAGGGCCCATATTTTCTATGTTATAATGCTGTTTCCTCATCAAAAACATACCCAGACTAATAATAAAGGGTTACTCAAACATGTGTGAATGAAACACAACACAACTCCATCCATGTTTTCAACACAGTAACACAATTATACATGATTTAAAGCTCACAAGAGAAAATTTTAACTCTTTTATTTATTTTCTGGGCATCTTATATTGTGTTATTACTTTTTGTCCTACTTTTAACAACATCCAATAAAGACTGCGTTGTTATAATTTTCTTTTCTTCAGGGCTACTACGTATTTTATCAGTGAAATCGTAGCAGGTCTTAACACGCTCACTCCCCTTTCACCCTGTTTGTATGGAAACTCTAAACACATGTACGTGCAGTATCCTTTCATTGTTCTTTAGTCAGATTTGAATCAATTAATGTCAACAATAAACCCAATGACAAAAACAACAGACAACTTTATTTTCAGACGGTTTCGACTAATATCGGACTTTAAAGGTGCACTGTGCAACTTTTCTGCTTGTTATACCTTAATCATTCCACATTTACTAATCAATCTACTAACAGATTTGTAATTTAAGATTATTGCTTTGCCAGGAATAGCAAAAGAAAAAAAAAGGTTTGGAGTGAGAGATGACACATCTTTGCCAGGAATGTTCAGCAGTATGGCATTTTACTTATTTATCTCCATGGCAACAAACAAGTGACACCACCAGGCCAAGTGACAGGTCAGGTCTGTGCAGAGGCAGCTCACCTCATAGTAGTATAGATGCTTTAAAGATGTTTTTAGCAATTAAAGCACACGGAATTGAAGAAATGTGAGATATATAAGTTTAATGCCATACTGTGGAACAGAGGTGGTTTTGCAAGTCTCAAGTAAGTCTCAAGTCTTTGACCTCAAGTCAGAGTCAAGTCCCAAGTCAAATACATGCAAGTCCAAGTCGAGTCCCGAGTAACTGGCCCAGAAGTCCAAGTCACGTTCAAATCATCTGCTTTGAACTTCGAGTCATTTCAAATCTTTAAACCAAAGTACTAAATATATTTTAGATTTTTGCAATTTACATGAATTTTAAGCTAAATTGTACTTTAAAAAGTCATGGTATATTTATACATGAGTATTTATATAAGAGAATTTTTCAAGAGTGTGAATTATTACGGTCAGAATAGAAAGAATTAAGATTTAAAAGTGCAGTTATTTTGTCATGTAGTATGCACTGAAATGGAAGGATCACCTTCTATGTAGTTCCCTCTGTTTTACTGTATTGTACTGTATATTACTGTATTGTTCTGTATATTACTGTAGTACATTTGAGTATACCATATCACAGTACTTCAGTTACATCCATTGTAATAAATAGATAAGTAGGAGGGACATGTTTCAGTCTGTTAAAAGTATTTTCTGAAAACATACATTTTTAGAAGAAGCATCAAGTCTTCTCAAGTCACAGGCCTAAAGTCAAGTCAAGCCCCAAGTCATTGAGCTTCAAGTCCAAGTCGAGTCCCAAGTCTTAGTCCATTTTATCAAATCAGGTCTCAAGTCCTAAAAATAGTGACTCAAGTCTGACTCAAGTCCAAGTCGCCAAGTCTTGCAAGTCCTCACCTCTGCTGTCTAACATTTCGGGCAAAGCAATACCTCTTAATGGATACAATACGATAACATACCCAACAAAAAAGTTACAAATTGTGCCTTTAAATGGGGCATTGATTGAACAAAACATGTGTTGGTGTAAACTTTACGGTTAGAATGGTTTACACATACAATAAAACTCCACGGAAAATATTTCACTGTTTGGAGAGGACATTGTATAATCAAAATAACTACAACCCTCAAGAATTTTTAGTTGCAACAATCCAAATTCCAAGTTTCATTTCATAGTGATTAATTTTGTTAGCAGCCCTTTGTAGTACCAAGAATGTCATTTAAAATCAGCCTGACATCTCACACCAAGATATGATCTATGTTTTTAGTTGTGTGAAAACAAAGATCCCAAAATAACTGGGGCCTTAAGATAAAGATCTGTGCTCCATTGTTGCTTTTCGGGGGGTGGTGCCGTCATCTGAACACTAACAGTCAGCGCATTCATTAGACCCCTTTGTGCGAGTGTGTGCTTCCATACAAACTGATCACTGCTGTTGTGTAGTGTGTAATGATAGGAAATTATCAAAGCATAACTGGCGGTTACAAAAGCCCTGGTTTACGTTGTGTCATTATTTGAAGGTGCTGTATCTGATTTTTGCTGTCTTAAAAGCAGGAAAAACTGAAGTAGGTCATTTTAAAAATGTCTTAAAGGACCCATATTATGCTGTTTTCTGATATGTTTATGTTGTTTCCTCATCACAAATATATGCAGAGTTGTGTTTTGTTTCATTCTCACATGTTTAACACACAAACTCTGCATATTTAGGTGGAGTTCTTCTCTCAAATGGACAACACTGTGCCCCACTTAATAATACAGGAAGCGCTTCACTATGTTTTTAAACTCCATACACCTTCACTAGAATCATTTGAATAATTTTAGCCATGGAATTGAAGATCTTTACTGAACTAAAAGGTAAAATGGAGCTGGTAACTTGCATTTTGAGTTTTGGAAATGTAGATAATGATAATAAAGTGATAATAATAAAGGGTTACTCAAACATGTGTGAATAAAACAAAACACAACTTCAGGTATGTTTTTGAGGAAGTAACAACATTCATAGCTTAAAGCTCACAAGAGTGAATTTGGCATAATATAAAAAACAAAAAACAGAACTAGTTCACTTTTAAACAGTTTGCAGTGGTCCAAAGTTATTCCTCAGTTATCTTATGCTTTTAGGGCTTCCTAATTATTCACTGTGATGTGTGTAGAATCCCTCTGTTGTCCAGGTAGAATCCATGGCAAAAAGAGAAATTCAATTTGTAGTTTATTTAGGTTAAAAACGTTTCACAGCTCATCTAAGATGCTTCTTCAGTTCTGGTCAAAATTCTGGTGGACACTGTCTATTATCTGGCTGAAAGAGGAGCTAACTACAGTGAAACTTCTCTGAAACTAACACACCTACTTGTTTATAGAGGAGTTCCAGAGTAGTTTCATTGTAGTTAGCTCCTCCCTTTAAGCAGATGTCCACCAGCATTTTGACCAGAACTGAAGAAGCAGCTTGGATGCGAAAAGTATTTGACATAATTAAATTTTGTCCAGTTGACAAATAGAATTTCTCCTTTTGCTATTCACTGCGATGAGTTTATAAGCACTTTTCACAGGTTTCAGTCTGTAAAGCTAAGAACAACTAGTATGCTAATCACGCACTTCCGGAATATCAACAAAATGCTTTATAACTAGTTGCAGATATTACACAACAGATTCAAGAGCTGCTTATACAATATACCCATGTATATATAAATGCATGGGAAACAAATTGTGTACCGGCCCTTCAAGGACACAAATTCATGTTTCTCTCAGCACTAAAAGAAGAGTAGCTAAAAGTGTATAAAGATAAAGATGAAGACAACATAAATTAAAGTTCAAACTGGATTAAATTACACTTTTTTGTTTGTTTTTTGCAGCAAACTGCGGCACCAAGCCCAGAGCGAACGCTTTGGCTACAGAGAGGTCAGTCTGTGTCCTGTCGATCAGCTTTTACTATTTCAGTGAAATACATTTAAATATGAATCATTTTTGTTTTGCTTTTCACTATTTCCACAGGTGGTTTTGAAAGGTGATCCAAAGAAGCTGAACCTTCATGGGGTAAGGATGAGTCTACTTTTTCTACTGTAATTTTTCATTACTCTGAAATCCACAGATCAGACAGGTTCATGTAATTTTAGATTTCAGATGAAGCGGAGGGAGCTATATAATATCTAGCGTGTATAATATGGAATTGGGTGCGTTCATAAAGTTGCCATGTCAATCTTGTGGCTTAATGTATTTTCTATTGACAACAGTCCAAGTCTATGTTGTTTATGATTTGTGACTGATTAATGTTCACATTTTTTGGAAGCTACAGTGAAAAAAAATAGCATAAATATCATAATTAATTTGTGTGGACCAGTTAGGCTTCTCACAATAACAAATTTTGAAGCATGAAACACTGAAACTGAAATACTGAAAATAATTTATGCTACTGACACAAACCAGGATTATCCCAATAAACCAATTTTCAAATATACTGTAACAATACGAGCGAGAGATGCTTCTGTTCTCGAGGGAATTTCAAGTTTTCCTGCAACATTTCCACTGCGCTTCTCAGACGCCTTTGTGTCTCAGTCAAAGGTCTCAGTGCTGTTTAACAGGAGGACTGGTCATGTAGGGTCAGCAGATCTGTGCCTGTAAAAGAATAAACTAATAACTAGCAATAGACGCTATTTATTCAATCATCTACAGCTCAAATCATATTGTATTACATAAAATGGCAAAAGTCTCCCCACTATTGCAAAGAAATACATACAGAGGATAAATATTGAGTACTGAAACATATTATTCCAGCTTTCATGTACTGAACAATAATTTTGTGTAATAATTATCATCAGTAATTGCAGAGATATTAAAGGTGCAGTATTTATGTTTTTAGTTACACTCCAGTGACAGGTGGTTTTATAGCTCAAAAATCCAGAGAAAAACAGGCATTCTGAGCATGAGCAGAGTCTCCTCTTCGTAGATCTGACCTGTAACTTGGTCTGGTTTGGACTCCATGAAGATACAAAGATTTAAGAGAATTGATTGACTCTTCCACAGAAAAGTTACACAATACACCTTTAAAACCAGGACATGTGCTTTGACAGTAAAATTGTACCTTATAATTCAGCTCTGCCCTCCACCTCTTTTTGAAACTATGAACAGTTTAGAAGCTTACTGTGCCACATGAACCCTGTTGTGTTGTGTGAATGAGTCACAGCGCCCCCTGCTGACCCCTCTGTGCTCTTGTCATTCACAGCAGACGTGTGCAGTGTGTCTGGAGGACTTCAAAGTGAAAGACGAGCTGGGGGTGTTGCCATGCCAACACGCCTTTCACAGGAAGTGAGTATTTGGTCATTTGTCTATGTAGGCCTGTGATTTTTGGGTTTCACTAACTTTGGCATTGATTCGATATAAGTACAGGAACAAATACAGACGTGTTTTTATAATGTCTACTATGGGAAAAAAAAACAAAGCAACAATATAATCTTTAGCCTAGATGAATAGGCAATTCCCTGCCCTGGTATAACTATAGTTCATCACAGCTCATCTGTTTAAAGCAGATCACAGTTCAGTTTTTAACAGCATCACAGAGCCACACGTGATTAGAAACACTCTGAAGAAGGTTTGGAGGTGTAAAAACAGTTTGAACAAATCCTGATGTTATGAATCTATATTTTGTGTGTTTTGTGTGCAGGTGTCTAGTGAAGTGGCTGGAGGTGCGCTGTGTGTGTCCCATGTGCAACAAGCCGATCGCAGGCCCCCCGGAGCAGCACCACAGCATAGGCACCCTGCTGGACGAACTGGTGTAGTGCAGGTGTCTACAGCTCCAGCCACCAGCCCTTCAGCGACTGCTTCAGGATCAGGTCCAGTGAGAACAGAGGACTCTGTTTGGTTGAATGGAAAACCAGCAAACCCATGCAAATAGTACGATGATGGGGTAACCTAGTTACCACCTGGAGGAAGACTCTGAAGGATGCAGTTGCTTAGCAACATAACGACACCTTGTGGTGTCTGAGATTATGTGGAACCACCCACACATCACTCCAGCACTCCTCCCCACTCTCTTTCTCCCCTCTTCACTCCCCCTCTTTACCTAGTTCTTCACATGTGAGTCTCCGCTCAGGGCTCACAGTCAGCGTAGTTTAATGGGCCTTGATAATAAGAATGAACCTGCAGAGATTTTGTTATGATGCTACTGGAGACCTCACCCTTTGTCTACTTATCAGCAAATAACATTTTATAACTATGTCAAACACGATGGGCCTAAAAGCTCAGAAACGAGAGACCAAGTGAAAAGTACATGTAATAAAGCTTACACCTGCTCTGCCCTGTCCTGGAGGTCGACTGTGTGTGTGGAAATAGTCCCATTTTAAAGGGGTCCCACATGGTTCACACCACAGCTCTCCAACATGTCTCTGTCCACACGTCTCTGTCCCCGAAATGTGATCATGTGACTCAATTTTTCTATTCAACAACAACATTAGACACAGCACCTTAACTCCTCCAGTGTTTCCTGTGCAGATTGTTTCAATACTTTTTCAATATTCTAAACAGGAGCACAGCCAGACACTCTAAGACCCTTTGCTCTTACTTTGCTACATGTTTCTACAGTCTGTTTAAGTTTGTGGGAGATCCAGGTACAAATTTTCAATGTTTTCTGTGTTAAAATATTTTCAAAAAGGCAACTACATTGTTCTTGCACACAACAGGTATTCCACAGCCCTCTGAAGTTTTTTTTAGGGTTGCACGATATGACAAAAAGATGCGATTTTCGATAAGTATTTCAATATTGTGATATTTTAAGCGTACTATTTGGCATTTGTTTAGTTAAAATAAAAAAGTGCATGCCTTCATTTATTCAAAAACAGTGTTAAAAAACGTAAAGAGGGGGTATTACGCAAATTCTACCATGTTATAGTGTTCCCTCATCAAAAACATGTCTGAGATTTCAAAAAAGTTGTAATCCGTGCATTTTTCAGTATTTAGTGATCTTTCCCAGGCCCAACTCTCGAGCCTGTGTCATCCATGCTCCCACACAACAATTCTCTGTAAATATACAAAAACATGATACAAAAATGTACACAAAAACTTGACAAACCTGATATGATGTGCAGTAGTTTCATTAGCGGGATGCACACTGATTGTGTTGTGATAGAGAAGAGGAAGTGACTCAGCGTGGAGAGCAAAGAGAGGTGAGACTCAAGTGTCAAAAACTAGATCAATAAAAGGTAACATGGTGATCGAAATTATGTTATTTGTTAGCAGTTAATACTCCATAGATGTAAAATACCCCCTCTTTAACTTAACCAAGACCAACCGAAAGAAGAAAAATTATGAATAAAATCTGCCTTTTGGTGCATTTAAAAAACATTTCTTCAAATTGGAGAACTTTGTGTTGTTGCTGTATATTTATTCTCTTATATTGTGCAGCCCTAGTTTTTTTTATTGTTATTATTATTTTCTGTAACTCTGCAAAACACTGCCTAAATTGAGCACAAACTCACTAAGCACACACACTCACCTGCACTGTATTTTACAGGTGAGGTTGCAGATTTAACATCTATTTGCCAAGAAAATAACAACTACTATGTTCTGTTAAAAACCAGAGCAGAGGACTCTTTTACTCACACATTCCACCTTTTGTAAAATTCAGGTAATTCATGTAAATATGTTAAAACAATAATAAAGTTGTCTGTTTTGCGCAGCCAAGTGTCTCATTTTGTCTTGTGTTTGGCGCCACCATCTGGTTCAAAGTGATAATTCAACTAAAAGCCATACTTTACAGCTCATGTCATCAATATTCCCTGAGGATGTGGTGCTAACTGTAGGCACTGCTCTGTCTGAAGCTCTGTTACTCAAGTTAGTCTTAGAGTGAGTTTTGGTTTCACAACACAATCCAACCATAAAGAAGAAGCTGGAACTATAACAGGTGATATGATTTCTGCTCTTAAACAAGTCTCTCACACATAAAATTATAAGAAAGTTTTGGGGGGAAATCATAATTGTAATTTTTCTGTTGATTTTTAAACTTTTGGCTGTATTTTTAAACTAAATAAATTGTAATTATATGGTTTATAGGCTACAGCAGGGGTGTCAAACTCAAATTCACATACGGCCAAAATTAAAAACTGGGACTAAGTCATGGGCCAAACTAAATATTTATTGACCAATTTCAACAACATCTGCAAGTTTTCTCTTCTTTCGAGATATGTAATGTTAAACCTTTTCTTATTAAAATAAATGTTTAATAATAGTTTCATAATAAATAGTAAAATAATAACACAATTTAAAATAAAATAATGTCTCTGCAGCCTATTTGTAGCCAGTGGGCCAACTCTTATACATATTTGATATTGTCAAATATAATTATATCGCTGACCAAATCTGAGTTTGACATGTCTGAGCTACCGTATAACTCCCAGTTGCAAGATTTTCTCACTGCTGCCTTTGCTCCTTCTTAAATCCAGCTCCAGTCTAAAAACAGCACTTGATCACCTCTTCTGATGCCTGAGCTCAGAGAAGATGTGGTTTAACTTCACCTATCTACCTATCTCATTAGAAATATTGAAATATTAAGCCATGCTTTGTATAATAATTAGATGTTGAAAAAAAAGAAATGGGCTACATTTAATGTCCAAATAGGCAACTTATGGATCCCTTTATTGCTGGTCAAATTTCTGTTTTTCTTAGTTCAAAACTTGAATAATACTAATTGTTCAGAGAGACACGATCACTCAGTCAACAATAAAATATTCACATCCACATTTATTTTGTGATTTAAGAATGACATCTACTGACTTGGGTCACGAAGGTTTGTGACTTTTAAAATATGGGTCCCCAGAAAAAAAAAGATTGGGAAACACTGCTTTAGTTTAATAATTCAGTTTTTGCTTAAAATACATAAAATTGTGTAAAAAATAACTATAGTGGACTGCTTTGAGTTGTAGGCCAAGGTTAATTCTCAAGCATACTTTTCTTTGAGCAGAATTTTGACAGCAGTACTTCTTGTAATTGAGCACATTTTTACTACAATGTACAAAATTTCAGCTCCAGGTAACATATACATGTTTATTACATAGCAGAGGGAACTCAATGTGCTGAAGTGAATACGCTTATGTTTGCCAACCCCAATACAAGGGACACAATTTTAAAATATTAATATTGTACTAAATAAATAACGGCACTGAATAATTGATTAGTATTTGGCGATGAATCTTGTTTTTAAATAGGAGCCCAACACTGCCACTGCAAAAGATGAAGAAGAGAAAGTCAAATTTTAAACCCAGTGCTGCCATCTGTACAGAATCTCATTAAAAAACAGAGGACTCCAGCTCATTGGTCAGATCCGGTGGGTACCTAACCATTTCCTCCTCTCCAGATTGCAGGTGGTAGCATTACTCATTACTCCTTCTGCCTTTTAATTAGATTTAAAGCGGGAGAAAGGGAGCACCAGCTGATAATGAAGAGAGAGAGAGAGAGGGAGGGAGAGAAGGGAGAGAGAGATGGAGTAGAGGGAGGTGGGAGAGAAGGGAGAGAGAGAGAGAAACAGGGAAGTGACAGGGAAGGAGAAAGAGAAAGAGAGAGTAAGAGGAGAGAGAAGGAGAGGGTGAGAGATAGAGAAAAGAGGAGGGGGAGAGTGAGAGAGACAGTGGAGCAAGAGAGAGAGAAAGAGGGTAGAGTTAGGGAGAGAGAGAGGGAGAAGAGAGGAGAGAACAGAGAGAGAGAGAGAGACAAAGAGAAAGGGAGAAAGAAAAAGAGAGACACAGACAGAGAGGGACAGTGAGAGAGGGAGAGCGAGAAAGAAAAAGATAGAGAGAGAAAGAAAAAGAGAGAGACAACAGATGGAGATGGGAAGTGAGAAAGAGGGAAGGGGAGAGAGAGAGAGGGGAAAGAGAGACAAAGAGAGAAGGAATGGGAAAGAGGGAAAAGAGATAGAGACAGATAGAGTGGGAGACTGAAAGAGGGAGAGGGAGAGAGAGAGAGAGAGGGAGGGAGAGGAAGGAAGGGGAAAGAGAGGGGGAGACAGAGGGAAGGGGAGGGAAAGAGGGATGAGAGAGACAAAGAGAAAGAAAAAGAGAGAGAGACAGACAGAGATGGAGAGTGAGAGAGAGGGGGAGAGAGAGGAAGAAAGGGGAATAGAGGGGGAGACAGAGGGAAGGGGAGAGAGAGAGACAAAGAGAAAAAGGGAGAATAAGAAAGAAAAAGAGACAGACAGAGATGGAGAGAGAGAGAGGAAGGAAGAGGAAAGAGGGGGGAGGCAGAGGGAAAGGGAGAGAAAGAGAGGGAGAGAGAGACAAAGAGAGAAAGGGAACGCGAGAAAGAAAAAGAGAGAGACAACCAGAAAGGATGAGTGAGACAGGGAGAGACAGAGAGAGATCAAGGCAGAGTGAGTAGAGAGAAAGTAAGAAAGAAAACGAAAGGGAGAGACAGAGAGAAGTGAGAGAGAAAGGCAGGAGAGGGAGAGAGGGAGAGAGAGAGAGAGAGAGAGAGAGAGAGAAAGAGAGAGAGAGCCAGAGGAAAGGGAGGAGAGCAGAGCGTGGTTAAAGAAATCTACTCAATAAGGCAAGTGCAACATTCAAGTTTGGACTGGGTTGTTGTTATGAATATTTGTGTTGACAGTTTTTGATTCAGGAGAGGTGAAGACAGTTTCAGGATCAAGATAAAAACGGACCAAAATGTAGGTAAGTAAAAAGTATTTATGCATGCTACAGTATATTATGAACAGATATAAAAATTATGACTTGTAATCTTGTAAACTTTCATGTGAAATTTCTCTGTTTTTGTTTGTCATTCTTATAATACAGTATTTATTTATCTAGATATGGTTTCAGTTTGCTTAAATGATCATATTTTTTGCTGTCATATTACATTATATTACATTTTGTTGCTCAGATACTCCGTGATTGTGCGAATGGTAAAACAAAGAAGCAAATTTTTTGATGTAGCCACTCTTTTGTAGCCTTTTATTGATTATTTTTTGTTTATCAGCACCTTGAACGAACATTGTTATAGAAAAGAAATACAGAAATCATGTAGTAGTAAGTAAAAAGTCAAGATTTACTCAACAATGAAAAGCCTCAGAGCAGTTTTTTAAAAGCACCAACTTTTTGTGAAGATAATACAGCAGCTACTTTTTTCTTACAATCTGAAGCTTGAAGAATCTAATTTTTATCTTAATCTTTGTAGACTCCAGACCTGCCGCCTTCAGTCCACAAATGAGAACTTTCTTTGTGAAATTTTAATGGGCCTGTAAAAATTCTTCCACTTGTTGTTTCAGGCATTTTTTTAGCACTTAATCTTTGTGTGTGTTTTTAAAGTGCCTCGCTCGCGGTGTAGCTGTCTTCCTCCTGGTGTGAACATATGCAAATTTAATGACCAGTCCCCTCCCTGTCTCCCTCTCGCACACACGAAGGGTTCACATACTTTTTGTGGACATTACATAGACTTATGTTCAGTTCATAGAGACAGATCTGAACTTTAACCATAATTATTACTCCCTTAATCTTAATCTAAACCTAAAGGATGTCATAGGTCATCATAAACATACCTGGAGTTGTGTTTTGTTTCATTCTCACGTTTAACACACAAACCTACATATTTAGGCTGAGTTCTTCTCTAAAAACAGTTAGAAAACACTCTGTTCCACCTTGTAATGTCATGTGGTTATACAGGAAGTGCTCCACTGTGTTTTTGAACTTCATACACCTTCACTAGAATCATTTGGATGATTTCAGTTCTGGAATTTGCAATCTCTACTGAACTAACAGTAAAGACCAGAGGTGGGACCAAGTAGTTGTTTTGCAAGTCTCAAGTAAGTCTCAAGTCTCTGACCTCAAGTCCGAGTCAAGTCCCAAGTCAAATATAGGCAAGTCCAAGATGAGTCTTAATTCACTGGCCCATAAGTCCAAGTCAAGTCCAAGTCGTCTGCTTTGATCTTTAAGTCATTTCAAGTCTTTAAACCAAAGCATCAAATATAGCTTAGATTTTTGCAATTTATATTAATTTAAGATAATTTGTACTTAAAAAATCATAGTATATTTATATTTGACTATTTATAGAGTATATAAGAGTTGTAGAAATGTAAATTTTTCCTTTTTAAATCTTGTGACAAGATCTTAGTGTGAATCATTACAGTCAGAATAGAAAGGACTCAGATTTAAAAGTGCTTCTCAACTCTTGTCAAGTCACAGGCTTCAAGTCCGAGTCAAGTACCAAGTCATTGACCTTCAAGTCCAAGTCCTAAGTTTTAGTGCATTTTATCAAGTCAAGTCTCAAGTCCTAAAAATAGTGACTCAAGTCTGATTCAAGTCCAGGTCACAACTTACATGTCCCCATCTCTGGTAAAGGGTAGCTGTTAACTTGAAAACTACTGCTTCATGACATTTGGTGATGTAGATAATCTAATAATAAAGCATTACTCAAACAAGTGTGAATGAAACAAAATAGAACTCTAGGTATGTTTTTGAGGAGATAACAACATTACAACATGGCTTAAACTTCACAAGAATCAATTTTGTGTTATGTAGGACCTTTAAATCATGTGAATGATATTGATTTAACTCAAGGAGACCTGATTTTTGGCTGTACATGAGAGGCATGACCCATTTAATAAGGTGACCATCTGTCCCGCTTTTGGTTGTCCTGCGCAGACACAGATTAAGAGAATGTACCAGTTTTTAATTAATGCCACATTAAGTGTTTTAAAGTCCTATATTATACAAACATACCTAGAATTGTGTTTTGTTTCACACACACGTTTGAGTAACCCTGCATTATTGGACTGTCTACATCCCCAGAAACTCAAAATACTCTGTTCCATCTTGTGATGTCATGTAGTGGTAGTTCTCAAGTTAATAGCTTTTACCGTTTGTTTAGTAGAGACAGGCAATTCCAGCGCTGAAATTATCCTAATGATTGGAGTGAAGATGTATGGAGTTTAACCCCTTAACACCTGAATTTATAGATGTACATTACTGGTCAAAAGTTTTAGAACACCACTATTTTTCTAGTTTTTTACTGTTTACTTTTGACCAAAACTAAACTTTTGATACATGAAAGTGTCCAGCTTTGGCAGATATAACACCTGAACACACTCGTGGCTTGTTCTTTTTACAAAAAAAATCAAATACTCTTCAGAAAGTTTTTCTCAAGTCTGTTGCAGAAGTTGCTTGACTTTCACTCTTCTATCCAGTTTGTCCCAAATCAGCTTGATGGGGTTTAAGTCTGGAGACTGTGCTGCATACTTCATGTTTTCAAGCTTATCATCTTGTTCTTTTTTTCTGAGGTAGTTTTGGCAGAACTTAGACAAGAGTTTTGTTATCTTTTTTTAACGTCTGGCTGTTCAGTTCTTACCTTTGTACCATTTCAAGCTCTTCATTGGACTTGCACGAATTGAATTGCAATAAATAACTGAAAAAATTAAGGTGTTCTAAAACTTTTGACCGGTAGTGTATATAAAAGACTGTTTTGTGTTTTTGCCTTTAAGTAGATGGTTAATGAAGTTGACATTATTAATTTCGACTATAGCAAAAGAAATACATAGAAATTTGGGTATGTTGCAAATTTGCGACAGCCAGAAACTTGAAAGTGCTTGCCAAAAGTTCCTAGGAAGGTACTGTTTATGCACTAACCACCATTGGGGGAATGTAGCCGCTCTCTTGACTTATATCTTGGTCCAAACGGTTTGTCGCATATTTGTGACACTCACTAAGGGGTTAAAAACACAGTTGAGCTTTTCCTGTATTACCACATGACGTCACAAAGTGGATAGAGTTTTTTTTTCCGTGTGAGAGAAGAAGTAATTAAGCCTAAACACGCAGGACTTGTGTGGTAAACATGACTGAATGAATCAAAACACAACTCCAGGTATGTTTTTGAAGAGGTAACAACATTATAACATAAATCAGAAAAATAGTGTAGTATGGAGCCTTTAATTAAGTGAATACACATATTTTAGTCCCCACAGTGCTATCAAAAACTGCCAACACACTCTCTCATATTGGGCTTGGGTGGACCTGGAAACATAAGCAGTTCTTTCATGAGATCAGCTCCTACCTGTGCCATAAAGAACCATCTGTGCTGTGAATAAACTGATGGCGTCCACACATACACACACACACAAACAGTACTACGCTTGTTCAATGTCACTTCCCAGCGAACGCGGCGTGGCATCTGAGTGAATTTAAGGTCAACTTTTCCAACTTCTCGGCAGTTTTCTCACAAGGCGATCCCCGTTATAGCAGCATGGATGTGGGTACAGGCAGAGGAGTGCTACCGGGGACAAGGCCATGAGCGGGAATGGAGGGCAAATCTGAAAAGGTTTGAGAGCTTGGCATATTTTTAGCATTCTTACGTACCATAACTTTGCATGCAAAACGTGTACTCACCTTGAAAAGACATGCACTGTATCTAGAGAAGAGAAAATGGTTATAATTAAAGGTGCACTGTCTAACTTTTCTGGTGGAGGGTCCGACACCTGCTTGTGTCCCTGGTGATGTTTTTGCTTTGCTTGCATGTTTTGCAATATGGCATTAAATCTGTCTACTTTCTACATCAGGGGTGTCAAACTCAAATTCACAGAGGGCCAAAATTAAAAACTGTGACTAATTCGTTGGCCAGACTAAATATTTATTAAAAATTTCAACATCTGCATGTTTTCTCTTCTTTCAAGATATGTAATGTTAAACCTTTTCTCATTAAAATAAATGTTTACTAATAATTTTGCTTAAACATTGAATTCAGAACAAGCATAATATAAAATAATTTTAAAAGATTAAATAAATAATGTCTCTATAGGCTACCTGTAGCCGGCGGGCCAGCTCCAATACATATTCGATATGATCTCGCAGGTCAAATATAATTATATCATGGGCCAAATTTGATGTGTCTGATCTACATGGATGCATCATGGAAGGTGATGCCACTAGGCCATATTTGATCTGTGAAAAGGTGACCCAACTCTTGTTAAAATACATGTTTTTCAATGTATTTTTGAGCAAAAAAAAAACACTTGATAATGTTTATTATACTGATACATTTCACACAACGCAATCACATCTCAATGAGAGTGACCCTCTACTAAAGAAGTTACAAAGTCTGGCTTTAAATTTACTGTCTATGAGGAGTATTTGATCAAATTTAATGGCACTGGATCAGACCTTTAGTAAGATTTTTAATGAGCAGCTCAGTCACGGTTTATTGCACATATATTTGCTTTTTGGGGATGGTTAGACTTTCCTTGGCCAAAACTACAGAGCCCCAGCTTCACAGAGAGCCCAGCCATTAGCCTGTACCCAAAAGGTTCAGACACAGATTCAGTCTGAATTGGGGCTCATTTAGTCCGTCGATTTAGCAAAAATAGGCCAAAACTGTTGCTATTTAAAGGTACAATTTTACACCAAACTGACTCTTGTGAGCTTTAAGACATGTTATTGTGCTGTTACCGCATCAAAAAACATACTTTGTTGTTTTGTTTCATTCACACATGTTTGACTAACCCTGCATTATTAGTCTATCTACATCTCCATAGTTCAAAATGCCCTGTTCCACCTTGTGAGGTCATGACAACAGCTACCTTTTACCTTTTGTTCAGTAGAGATTGGCAACTCCAGGGGTGAAATTAGACAAATGATTCTAACAAAGGTGTATGAAATTTAAAAACACACTGGAACCTGTATTACCACATGACATCACAAGGTAGAACAGAGTGTTTTCAGTTTAAATATGAGTCTAAATATGCAGGATTTGTGTGTTAAACATGTATGAACGAAACAAAACACAGCTCCAGGTCTGTTTATGATGAGAAAACAACCTTATAACATAGATCAGATCTAAATATTGTAATGTGGGACCTTTCAAACTAAATGCATAGGCCTGTAATAATGTACTGTATGTGTACTTTTATTTGGTCATTGCATAGATTAGCATCCATCCAAGGCAGCTGAGGCTATGATATATTGCAGCTCACTTTGCTCTATTACTTCTTGATTTATAGGTTACCGATTTATGAACTTACATAAAAGTACTTTGAGAGTCGCGTAAAGTGTGAAATATGTGAACTTACGACATTTTTTGGTTTGGGCCAAATGGCTTTAGAGCATTTTTAGCCACAATTTGATTTAAATTTAGGCCAAAATAGAGTGTCCTTGAATGGCCCAATTCAACCGTCAGTTCAAGTCATATCAGACTATTGTGGTTTGCTTCACTACCCAATTACTGCAAGTCTCCTCTCGTGTAAAGTGTAAAGTAAAGTGATCGTAACTTTCTGGAGAAGGAAAGGCAACTGCATAATTACATGGACACAGAAAATTAAAACCATGCTTTGCAACATTTTGTATGGAGACAGCTATGTTCTTTGTAGTACTGTGAAATATTATAGGCAAGGCAAGTTTATTTGTAGAGCACAGTTCAGACACACACAAGTAATTCAAAGTACTTCACAGAATAAGAAATACATAAAACTAAAAAGAGAGAGAGACATTAAATTAGAAAGACATGTAAGCCAAAGAAGAACAAGTCCTGCTCCAGGCCAAACAAGTGTCATGTTTATGGAGATGCAAGCCCCCTCAGAGTAAGGGTGCAAGTTTTACAGTGTAGTAAAAATATCCATAATGAAAAATACATGCTTTTATGTAGGCCTGTTTTTGGCTAAAAGGTATGATAATATGGCTTTAAAGCTGCATTGTGTAACTTTTATGATGGATGGTCTGTCAGCAGCTTGTTTAACATGTCATTGCTCTACCTGGAATGTTCCACAGTATGACAATAAACAGCTCTACCTTATATTTATTAAATTACAGGTGGTTTTATCAGAGGTGGGGACTTGCAAGTCCTAACTTGGACATGAGTTAGACTTGAGTCACTATTTTTAGGACTTGAGACTTGACTTGATAAAATGGCGTTGGGACTCGACTTGGACTTGAGCCCTGTGACTTGAGAAGACTTGACTTTCTCTTTACAGTTGATAAATTAGTAAAAAAAAGTACTGTGATGTGGTATCCTCAAATGTACTACAGCAATATACAGTACAATACAGTAATATAAAGTATAATACAGTAAAACAGAGGGAACTACACAGAACATAATTCTTACATCTCAGTGCAGATGACACAACAAAATAACTGTTATTAAGCTCTTTTAAATTTGAATTATTTCTATTCTGACCCTAATGATTCACACTCAGATCTTGTCAAGACATTTAAAAAGGAAAAAATTACATTTCTACAACTCTCAATACTCATATATAAAAATTCCATGACTTTTTTAGTACATTTTAGTTTAAAATTCATATAAACTGCAAAAATTTAAGATGTATTTGGTGCTTTGGTTTAAAGACTTGAAATGGCTTGAAGTGCAAAGCAGATGACTTGGATTTGACTTGAACTTATGAGCCAGTGACTCGAGACTCGACTTGGACTTTCCTGTCTTTGACTTGGGACTTGACTCGGACTTGAGGTCAAAGACTTGAGGCTTACTTGAGACTTGCAAAACAATGACTTCGTCCCACGTCTGGGTTTTATTGCTCAAAAATAGAAAAACAGGCATTCTAACTATGAGCGGGGTTTCTCTCCACAGATCTGACCTGTTACTTGGTCTGGTTTCGTCTCTCTGAAAATACAAAGGTTTAATACCAAACTGTGCAACATTCCAGACAAAACAATAATATTTACATGGAAAAAAGCATTAGACAAACCCTGCACCAGAAAAATTACACAATGCACCACAATCACTCCTTGACATGTTTCTCATTTTAGGATCCATTTGCGGGGAGAAAATAGATTGTCGCCAACTACGCTGTCGCTGAAAACTCTGGATTTTGGTGATTTGACACTATGTTTACTTCACTGAAGGCGGATGCCATTTTGTACAACCGACATGTTTTGACTGTTAACATAAAAGACCCGGACAAATAAACCAGTCATGTTTAAACGGTGGCTGTTGGCCTTGGTCACTCGGGTTGGCCTCATTGTTTTGGCCTTCGCATGCTGTCTCGCTCTGGCCTACTTCCTTGCGTGTAAACCTGCCAGCACTCGCCACTCCTCCTTGTGGTCTAGCGGGAGTACTGCATCCAAGGAGCGTTACCTGGCTCTGCTCCAAGAGAGGGAGGATTCGCATAGACATTATGTAAACAGCTTGAATAAACAGATATCTGAACTGAAGGGGGCGCTAGAGGAGAGGACACAGCAGCTACAGGAGGCTCTGGACAAGGCCAAAGCTAAAGGGATTCTTCCTCTGGGTCTGGAGAGTCTGAACAAACGACCGACACAGATCGACCTAAAGGTAAGAAGAGCTCTGTTACAAGATCATAAACTGTATATATAAAGCTGCTGCATTACAAATAAAAAGTTTTCATGGGTACACTTCTGGCTCCATCGGCTCCGACTGACTTTGACATTGAAAAATTGTCATCCTTTTCTTTGTAACTGCTGCAGTGAACCTCGTAATTTTGGTCTTTGGTCTAATTTTTATTAATTTGTACATAAAGAAATTCCTATTCCAAAAATGGATAATTCCAAATTTGCTCCTACAAGTGCATCATGAGTAGAGGTGTGCAAAAATACCAGAATATCAATATATCATATCGTTTAATGTGCAGATACAGTATCGATATCGTAGGCTGCTGTATCGATATATCGCCAAGAGTATTTTTTGGTATATTTTGGCCAATTATTTTCTTACAGTGCTACAGTTTTGTTGCTTGTTTAGAGGAAGGAACTTTTTTTATGCAACACATTTGAAATTTTCACTGTTTTGATGATTAAAATGGTCGTGTTTCATATTAACTTTGCACAAGAAGTGGTTTAACAAAGACTTTTCATATCACAGCCATGATTTAGCCATTATTTTTTATTGAACCATACTGAATCTATTTGAAATATATTGAATCAAAAGTTCTCTGTATTGAGATCTGTGTTGTATCGTGACCTATGTATCAAGGTATGTATTGTATTGGCAAATTCTTATTGATAGCCAGCCCTTCAGTTCAGTTCAGTTGTAAGGAGTATTATATAAAATTCAATTTTTAGGGTTGAAAAATTGCCCCATTTTCTGAAGCTGCTATGAATAAGTATCTCTCTCTTGTTTATTTATACTGACAGAGAAGACACTGACTGAGATATTATCCATAAACTGGGTCAGCAATCTGTAAAATCTGTAGAAAGACTGACCTGACCTCAAGCTAATATTAAAGTTTTTAAAGATTTTGAGGTACCATGCTCTAGAATGTAAGGAACTGTAGCTGTGTGGAGGTAAGACTGCTTCCCATTTCTGTTTCCTACTCTCCTTGACTCATCCATTCCTGAGCTGTCAATAAGCCATTAACAACTGAGGAAAGGAGGAATCGAGTAGGCAAGGAGACAGAATTGAGATGCAGTCAGAGTGTGTGTGTGTGTGTTTTTCTACAGGAGTTCTTCCGCTCACAGCTGAACCAGGCTGAGGTCAACAATGGGGTCAAAGTGTCCAGTGAATTTGAAGTCATCCCCTACGATGCCTTCACCCTGCAGAGGTAAGGCTCAGGTTTTATAGATACTTCACCATTTGACTTAAAACTGCGAGGGAGGCTAAAGCTCAGCTGTGTTTGCTCATCAATCCTAAAATCCTTGAGCAAGACACTTCAGAGACTTGATGTTTGAATGTGGTGTGTGTATAATTAGTGGAATTAGTAGAAGCGCTGCCACAAGACAATCGTGCATATGTGATGTGATTCCTATAAAAGTACACTGTTTCTTCAGGGTGTACCAGCTGGAGACCGGTCTGACCAAGCACCCAGAGGAGCGTCCCGTGAGGAGGGACCGTCGTGACGAGCTGAATGGAGCTGTGGAGTCTGCTCTGCACGTACTCAATGGACCTCTGCAGCACACAGACCCCAGCAGGAAGAAGACCACCTTCTCCCCAGCAGACTTTATACAGGGTACGAAACATAAGAATGCTAAAGGGCCTGTATCTGCAATTTAGATTGAGTCAGGAACACTGGCTTCATAGCTTAAAGGGCACATATGGCTCTATTTTCTGAGCTATGTTATAATGTTTTCTCATCACAAACAGACCTGAAGTTGTGTTTTGTTTCATTCGCACATGTCTAACACACAATACAGTTTGATCCGTTAAACCGGCCCACGTTGCCCTTTCTGCAACTCTGATATTGCACCATAACACACACATAACTGTCTAAGATCGTGTCATGCACTTGTTTCCAGAGTTCTCGCCAATCTCCGCCCACTTTGAGCTTTCTTCTCTCTTTTGGTAATGCACCATGACAAGGAATCAACTGTCTGGGATTATGTCAGCCAGGTGTTTTCCCACGATTCTTAGTGAACAATGTGCCTGATTAAAACAAAACTCATCTATCTGTCAGTAGCTTCTCTATTAGTAATTACTCAAAAAGGCTGCGCAAAATGCAAGTTATATCTTTAAGTTAAATTTTTACTGAATTATCTGCTTTTACAATCTACTGCATATAAAGGGCATGTGTCTTAATGAGAATGAAATTAAGTACAGGTCCTTTAAATATTGTAACAGGTAACAACCAGGTGGACTAGAAAGGTTACATTTAATACCTTTCATTTATAGTACATTAACTAAAATTGAAATACAACTTTGAGTTAAAAAGAAAGAATTAGGTGAAAAAATATGACATATAAACTATAAGTTATAAACTATGAGAAACAAAAAGCGTGTCTTCATTAAGATGGGCGTACACTGTGATTTTTAGCCCTTTTTAAGATGATTTTTCACTTGTGCGACTGTTTTTGGGATTGGGATATCATTTAATAGTGTTGTCGTGCTTCGTGTAGCATACGTGGGTTAACGAGATCCCGATCGGCAATTGTAGGTCACAAGAATATGAAACCTGTTTGAAATCCAGTCGCCTCCTATGAGGGTTTCTCACTGTTGAAGTAGTTTGTATAGTGTGAATAACTAACAATTACTGAAATATTGTGATTTTTGCATCGTCAAAAGTGTCACAAAAATATTGTGAGCCATCACAATATATTAAATTAAGTCTCTCTGCTTAAATGAATAGTTATAGTGCAACAATACAGCTAAAAACCAAGAGAACAACATAGACCATGATCCTTTGCTCAGGTTCAGTGCAGACTACATGAAGAAATAACTGTTATAAGCTATTTTACATCTTAATTACTTGGATAATGAGAGAATCAAAGTCTTGGCATTTTAAGAGGAAAAAGTAGCAATTTCACAAAATATCTCAATAAATATCGTAATGTTAGATACATATCGTGGAGGTATCGTGTCAAAAAGATTTGGATATTGTTACATCCCTCAGTGTGAGAACATGAGAACGAATTGAGCTGTAAACCCTGCAATGTGGTCATATAGTTTGAGCCATGGCCGAGTGAAATGATCAAAAATATCACATAGTGTATGTCTGGCATTATGCAGCATTGTACATGAACTATTTTTCCTTGTTTCCAGGTCTGACCCGTACAGAGAGGGACAGGGGCACAGTGTATGAGCTGGTGTTTAAAGGAGATTCACCACAGGACTTCACAGAGCTGGTTCTTTTCAGGCCCTTTGGTCCCGTCCTGAAGGTCCGCAGTGACAGAGTGGACACGAGCAGCATCCTCATCAACATTGTTGTCCCCCTGTCCAAGAGGCTGGACACTTTTCGGCAGTTTATGAGCAACTTCAGGTTAAAAGTCACACTCACAAGCCTTGAGACAAAATGTCTGCATTTTACTGCTATCCTTATACGTAATATATGTAACTTTTATGGTGAAGGGTCCACCACCACCTTGTCTCCATGGAGATTGTATAGCTTTACATAGAATTTCCTACAGTGTGGCATCTATCTCGCATGTATGAAATTTGAGATGTTTTTGATGTTAAAAAATACACTGAAAATGCATTCTTATTTCTTGAGTTTTTGTCTAAATTTAGTTATTCCTGTTCCTGAATTTTTTTTTTTTCTCAAGATTTTGTAGGATTTGGTGTATTTTTAGGTGTATGAGCGTGTGCCATGAGTCAGAATTTTAGAGCCTAATATTTCAGACCTGCCCATAAAGCAGATAGACCACTTAACTTGAGGGCAATGAGGACAAATTTTCACTGAGAATCAATATTTCAGCCTTTGTTCTGTTTCAGGCGGGTGTGTATCCAGCAGGACAGGCATGTCCATCTCACTGTGGTCTACTTTGGACGGGACCAGATCCATCAGATTAAAGCCGTCATAGACCAGACCACCAGGTGAGGACATAGACCACTATCAGGTGAGGAGGTCAGCGATGCCTTTAAAGTTACAATCATGTTTTATGGGTTAGCATTTAGATATAGCTCATGAATCTTACTTTGGATTTAAGATTGTTTCAGTGCCAATGATTATGTACAGAAAATATCCAAAAGTGAAGGTGTAAAGGTGTAATTAAGATAGGTGATAATTATTAAGGCGGTAATTAAGATAAACAAGGCGGCAGAATGCTGCAACTGTTTGTACCTAACTTTTATGTTTCATATGTTGTCATCAGAGAGACTCACTTCAGGAGTTTCACACTGATCCTTCTGAATGAGGAGTTTTCTCGGGGGCGGGGTTTAGAGGTGGGTGCGCGGGCGTGGAGGCGGAGCCAGAACATCCTGCTCTTCTTCTGTGACGTTGACATTCACTTCACCGCAGACTTCCTCACATCCTGTCGGCTAAACTCAGAGCCCGGTGAGACTGTGACACATGTACTAGTAAACATGGCTGCTGTCAAGCGGAGATACAAAGCCATTTGATTCTCCCAGTGTAAAACTTTAACTTCTCCTTTGTAGATCACATCATGTAACAGAACAGGAGCTGATCATTTTAACAACAAATGTTTTAATATTTAGTTGTAATATTTTGACCAAAATGTTATTTAGTGTAGTAGGTAAGTCAGATAGTTTTTCTTGATACAATCTGAAAAATGAGTTGGAATTTTGTTCACTGTGAATTTAATAGGGATGTAACAATAACCGAAATATTGTGATATCTTATCATTAAAGTTCTCACAATAATATCATGAACCATCACAGTATATCAAACTACAAGTCTCTTTGCTTAATTTAAGAGTTATGGTGCAGCAATAATTGTGAGCTTTTCCACGATATCGCAATAAATATCATACCGTGAAGTTTATACCATGACGATATCATATTGTGAGATTTGGATATTGTTACACCTCAAGAATTTAAGGGACCTAGATTATGCAAAATTGACTCTTGTTAGATTTAAGTCATGTTACAATGTTGTTACCTTCTCAGAAGTATCCCTACAGTTTGTTTTCATTCACACATGTTTGAATATCCATCCATCCATTCCATTTTCTTCTGAATTAACCAAGGTCAGGTAGTGGAGGCAGCGGTCTGAGCTGGGAGGCCCAGACTTCACTTTCCACTCACTCTTCCTCCAGCTCTTCTGGAGGACATACATCTACACCTCAAGCTCAAAATGCTCTATTCCACCTTGTCATGTCATGAAGCAGTAGTTTTCAAGTTAACATCTACCTTATAAGCTACCTAACGTGTGAATGAAATATTTCCCTTTACTCTACAACAGCGAATATGAGTAAGACAGTCTTTCGTAATTAGCTTAAAGCATTTTAGGTTCAGAGCTGGTCCTGGCTCCACGCCAAAATGAACAATGCTTAGTTGGCCGACATATTCACAATTTCATCCCTTAAGGCATTATTAGCCAATGATAAAAGTGTTGCAATATGATTAGACACATCACTCTTTTATTATGCCTCCAGGTAAGAAAGTCTACTACCCTGTTCTCTTCAGCCAGTACAACCCTGCCATTATCTACAGCAATCAGACTCAGCCTCCTCCGCTCCCACAACAGCTGGTATGTAGCTCCTAAAGAAGAGATGGGCAGAGACGATTATGCAAACAGGAAGTCTCACAACATTATTATTCTTATATGTTATCTGTGTGCAGGTGATCGAGAAGGAGTCTGGGTTCTGGAGAGACTTCGGATTTGGCATGACATGTCAGTACAGATCGGACTTCCTCAACATAGGTAACTGCAAAGCTATTTGATACCTGATATTCAAAACTGATTTATAGCTGAAAGTGACATTATATAATAACTAGGGATGCAACAATATCCAAATCTCTTGGAACAATATTTTCACGATATGCATCTCACGGTATGATATTTATTGCAATATTTTGGAAAGGCTGATATAATTGTAGATAGGACATTTTTTGCTTTTAAAATACCTTGACAAGATTTTGGTGCAAATCATTACTGTCATAATCCCAAGAATTCAAGTAAAAACATATTTCTCCATGTTGTTTGCACCGAAATGAATCATGGGATATGTAGTACTCTATGTTTATTAGCTTTTGCTACTATAAAACAATACATTTAAGTAAAGGAACTTGTAATTCGATATATTATGACAGCCCATGATATTATTGTGAGACTTTTTACGATACAATATCGCGGTATTTTGGTTATTGTTACATCCCTAATAATATCGTTCACCTTATAATATTTTACTGGAGATGTGGGGTGAGAAAATTAAGATTAAGATTAGCCTATAGACTGTTGTTGTAATATAAAGAGTTAAAAGGTACAATGTGCAATAATGTAAATAATCAGGTTTGGAAGTTTTGTTTCTATGAAAATAATTATCATATTTAATCATATGAAAGTAACATTATTTATGTTTTATGTATGTATTGGGGTACAAGAGGTTGGTTGAGAAACTGATCTACTAAAACAAAAGATGGAAGTTCAATCCCATCTACTGACATTGCATACCGCCATCGTGTCCTTTGGCAAGATATTTTACATTGTAACCTTCAGTTTTAGATTGTTTCAGTTTACATTCCATTTACTTATTATTCATACAAGGCAAGACAAGTTTATTTGTATGGCACAATTCGCACACAAAGTAATTCAAAGTGCTTTACAGAATAAGAAATACATTCAATATTAAACATAAATAATCATCATAAAATTAAAAAGAGATGTTAAACTAGAGAGAAGAGTGCAGAATTAAATACGAAAACCTTTCAGTCATATGCACAGATAAAAAAAAACTGTTTCGAGCCTGGATTTAAACACCGTCAAAGTAGATTTACAGATACTTTTCTAGACCTGTTGTTCTTGTACTTTGCGGTGTAACACTGCAATTTCCCTATAGTGGGACAAATGAAGGTTGTCTTATCTTATCTCCTACATTACCATCAAAAGTACTGCATGTGGTCACCCGTGTTGGCCCTGTCTCTTTGCAGGTGGGTTTGACCGCAGAATCAAAGGCTGGGGTCTTGAGGACGTGCACTTGTATAGGAAGTACCTGCACAGTAAACTAATGGTGATCAGAGCGCCCTCCCGTGGCCTCTTCCACCTATGGCATGAGAAGACATGCGCGGACGAGCTGCCCCAGGACAAATACAAGATGTGTATGCAAACCAAAGCCATGAGCGAGGCGTCTCACGGCCAGCTGGGGGCGCTCTTATTCAGACAACAGATTGAGGCCCATTCAAAGCTGCAAAAAGGGAAACATTTATGAAGTATGGTTGGAGAAGGAGTAAGATACTGTGAAATAAAATGTACTGCAATGGTAAATTTATAGTTAAAGGTCCTATATTATGCAAAATAGATTCTTGTGAGCTTTAAGTCATGTTAGACTGTGGTTACCTGATCAAAAACATACCTGGAGTTGTGTTTTATTTCAAGGAACAAAGTGGTTTCTGTTTGAAAGAAGGTGGTTTGTATGTTAACAAGTGTGAATGAAATAAAGCACAACCCCTGGGATGTTTTTGATGGAGATACAACATTGTAACAGATCAGAAAACACCGTAATATGGGCCCTTTAACTTTTTACTGAGTCACAAATTAATTATATTATATTTTATGGCTATTAAATGGTATAGTGTGTACAATTTTTGTTTGTCTATTGCTTTTTATTCAGAAATGTTCCCCATGAGTTTGAATTTCCTGAGGATAAGTTCCAGGCCCATTAAAATAACACACCCATTCTTGTATCAGAATGCCAGCCACATTACGCATGAAGAATTTCCCCCAAGGCAACTCGAAAACACCGTATACAGTCATTTTTGGATGTAGCTACACATTCTAAAGCTTCCTTCAGTGTTTCACAATCTTTTAAACAACAAAACTTAAACTGCTCTGTGGCTGATTCAAATTGGCAGATTAAGATAACATTTTGACAAATAGTTCTGGTTTATATAATTTTATAGCTCATTTGACTGCATGGTCATAAATATATCATGTATTAAACTAGATAAATCCATTAGACCACACAGGAAAAACAAAGATAATAATAGACTGTTAATCATTCTTAACAGTGTTAGTTAGTTCAGATTGGACAGAATGCAGAAAATGTGGTTTTAAAACACTCACTTTGACTGCCAACAGCAACATATAGGCCTAAAGGGCTGGGAATCACAGGATCCCTCACGATTCAATACAATACAATACATGAAACATGGCTCACAATACCAAATTACCACAAAGAATTTCTAAATTTCTAAACTACTTGTGCAAAGTTATTATGAAATACATCAATTTTAATAATCAAAAGAGTGAATATGTCATGTGTACTGCATAAACAAGTTTCCTTCCACTAAATAAGCAACAAAATTGTAATGTGGTCATATTCTGGTCAAAATATTGAAAGATACAAAAAAAAAGCACACGATAACTGTATACTGTATCACGATAAATCGGTATTTTTGCACACTCCTACTATAGCTTATGAACTGGTGGGTTCCAACTATTGTACTGTTGTTTATGTCAATGTTACTTTTTTAACTGGGACTTAAATAGTCCTAAATAGATGAATTGTGGTATTATATCGACATAAGCCTACATTCACAAATATTGGGCCTAGTGGAGTAACTGAGAAAAAAAATCTATAGCTTACTGTCTGGGATATATTTGATGACTCAACCCCAACTATTTCCCTAATGGGCTATACATCCCATCCCCACTAGAAATTTCCATATACCGAAATACAGCGATGAGGAGAGGAGCCCCTTCTATTAATAGTGAATCTTCTGAACGATGACCTTCTGTGGGCGGAGCGACGCTGCATCGGCAGACGCCTGTCGTACAGACACGCGATAGGACGAAAGTGCGCTCTTATTTCCCTAAGCACAGTGTGGCCTTCACGTGCACTAGAAAATACTACATTGGGCAACTGCAGAAGTACTATTACTCATACAATTATAATTTCGTAAGAGGTTAGTATTACATTTTTTCCCCTAAATTTTTCGTAGATGACAACTTGAGCTATATTCCTATATTCTGTCCTGTTATAATGTTGTCAGTTGTCACAAAAAACAAGAAAATCTTGGCATGGAATCCTGGTTTTCCACCGGTGACTGGCATAAGCTACTGTGCCGCAATGGTGCGTAATGCGCAGGGTGACCAGACGTCCCTATTTACCCAGGATAGTCCCAGTCTTGAGCCCTGTGTCCCCTGTGCCAGTGGATTTATCCAAAACCAGTGACTTGCCCCAGTTTGATACAAGCAATGTCCCTGATTTCCCCTTTGTTGACCAATTTTATCCCTATCAACAGTAAAGGACGCTGTCACTAATTTAGGTGAAATGCAGAAAAGCTGCTTAAAAATGACCAAAACACAAAGAAAATTTGACTATATTGACTCACGTTAGTCATGAATGGGCCAAATGAAGAAGAATTCTCCTTAATTACTCACTCGTTTCACAATTTTATTATTACCAACCACTTCAAACCAGGGGTATCCCAGTTTTTGATATTAAAATCTGGTCACCCTAGTAATGCGCAAAATCTGTTGGCTACTGGACAATCTGAAAACACAAGCATGCAGAACTAACTTCCATTGGCTTGGACGAGTTAATATCGTAGTTCCGTAGCATCCCTTGAACGCATCAATAAGCCCACCTAAATAGAGCTCAGTCAGTTTGCCTACTTCACCTCACCGGTAACAACAGGCTCACGTTTGGACGGGGAGCGATATGAGCTGAAGAATCCGCCGCGTCCCGTGTTATCATGAACTTTGACACCTTTAACGGGTGAGAGGGTCCTCGTTGTGCTCGTGCTAGACTAGTAGAGATAGTTTAGTTTTGGATGTGTCTGTGACTTATTGGTTCCTACTAGCGCTCCGTTGTTTGTGAAGTGGGACCTCCCCAAATAGACACAGCCTTCTTCCTTTTCCACGGAGCCCTTCCCACTACAATACAATTAGTGCAATGACGCTACTGCTGCTGTGTTTGAATCTTGTGCTGGAATAGCGAGACATGTGCGCCAGATAGACAGCGTCTCGTGTCGCCTAAGCCCACCCGGAGGACGCTCACGAGGAACGACAGTCGGAGGAGGATCGCTTTTACGCGCACGCAGCAACCGCAAAAGAAACGACTTTACGAAATGTTTGAAGCCTCCGGGATCCCGCTCGTCCTCCTGGATGTTGGCTGTCTCGCTCTAGGTAAGCCCTTGCCTGGCTCTCACCCTATAATCTTGTCAAATTGTACCACAGAGATTGCAAACATCTATTCTTTTTACAGTACACACTAGTTAGGACAGACTTTAAATGTCCTATATTACACAAAATGGATACTTGTGCGCATTAAGTTATATTATATTAAAAATAATATATACCTGAAGCTGTGTTTTGTTTCATTCACACACGTTTGAGTAACACGTTTATGATTACTCTACCTTTCCAAAGCTGAAAATATCCATGTCCATCACCTTAACTTGAAAACTATGCTTCATGACATCAGAAGTAAACAGACACCTTTTTATTTTTAGTTCAAAAGAGATCTGCAATTCTTCTAAATGATTCTAGTGAAGGTGTACGGATTTTATAACTACACTGGAGCACTTCCTGTATTACGGCATGACATCACAAGGTGGAGCAGAGTGTTTTCCGTTTGAGAGAAGAACTCATCTTAAATATACATGGGTTGTGAGAATGAAACAGTGAAACAAAACAAAACTCCAGGCATGTTTTTGATGAGGAAACATTATAACAAAGCATAACATGAGACCTTTAATGTCCGTTCATTATCATTGGAAAGCTTGCAGTGAATAGAACTTGTTAAGGAAATGGAAAAAAGTCTCTTATCATGACTTTAATTCCTGTAATTTTATTTTAGGAATGCAATCCGACGTTAAACTGCTACGTAAAAGGACAGTGTTGATAAATGATTGTGTAACCTTTAGGGAGACTTTGAACATGAAGGACCTAAAGGTGACATGTACTATAGGCTGATAATGCAGGGCAGGTTAAGACAAATCGCCCTGTACAAATGTTAAAATGGGCACCTACTTTGCTTAGTCAGTATCATGTGGTTGCTGACTGTACAAATGTCTGTGATCATGGTAACACGATTGAAAGCGGTCTTAATTGAGTTTCCGCTTTCCTTTTATGAAGTGCTAAAATGACATTGTTTACATTACTACACAATATTTCTAGTAAGACAATGATGTAAAAAGAAAGTACATATGAGAGGTTAGACTACTTCATGAAAAAAGTGCCAATGACAAGTTGAAACACAGTTAAGACTATTATATTTTAAGGTTATACAAAACATTTTACTTTTCCCAAGTTGGAAATTGTTTAGGTTTCATATTTTACTTCCTGGCTGGAAAGCATGACGTCACACTAGGGATTTCCATAACTCTCCTAGCAACCATGTCGCACGGGCAAAAACACGTCAAATGTGCACAGAAATAAATTTATTTGACCAATACAATTATAAGGAATCACAATTTCATTTGCTGAAATAGCGTTTAAAGTGTCAGAACTAAATTATTTCTTACATGTAAATTGTTGTTCAAGTTTTCTTCATACATTTATTCTTGATTGGCATAAAACTATAATTTATATTTACAACAGTTTACAATTTATTATCCTACTAAATTAAGTTGAAATTACAGAATCCTCAAAGTTTGTCATACACATTTTAAGCCTCGCCTAGTTTTTCAAGTTTGCATCTGTAAACAGTTTACAGATATGATATGACATGGGTAGAGGTATTTCCATAACAGTTACTTCGCAAACATAATGTAAACAATGGTCAAAAACTGCCCAGACTTTACTCAATGTTGACAATAAGCCTAATAAAATAGATGACATCACCTTTATTTGCTGAATCAATGTTTTATCTGTCTGTCTGTTTTATCTGATCTTGCCATAGGTTAAAGTTGGTCATTCCATTTTAGAACTCACCATCACTTCTTGTAATATTTTGTACTTTTGACTTCAACCCAAACCACATTTTGTCCAAACCACATAAAAACATGTTTGTTTCATTCAACAGCCTGAAGCATTACAAAGAAGTGAGCAGATTTCAGTATCTAAACATTCTACCCTGCCCACAAATGTATTATATTATTTGAAATTAAAACGTTCATGGACTATTCCCCTTTAAGCTCTCAAACAAAGAATTGAGACTCTATTGTGTAACTCTATACCTCTGTCTGTCCCATAATGGCTCCACCCTCTATTTCAAACAACTCTATCCTATATCCAAACGGGAAAACCAGCTTGTTTCACTTCTTATATGGTGTGAGTTCGACTGCTCTTTTGATGTTATAAAACAGCTGTCATATGAATCAAATTATAACTGAGATCCGGATTCAATTATTTCTGATCTTCAGTGATATAACGGAACCAATCCTTAGTAAAAGTATGTAGTTTGGAGCAGAGTTCAGGCTTTAAAGCAAGTAATTTGACTATATTTTGTGTTTAAATGTTGGCATTGTTGTAGAAAATAAATATCAAAAGCTGTTTCTATTTGTTTTTAAGACAAGACAAGACAAAAATCATATTATATCCTAATTGTATTCTAAAGTCTTTGTTTTCTTTGTCTTTTCTTTTGACAGTCGCACTACCATTTCTTATCCTCACACCTAATCATAACCCCTTTAAGCGAGGATTCTTCTGCAATGACGAATCTATCCGATATCCACTCAAAGATGACACGATATCCTACCAGCTGCTTGGAGGAGTTATGATCCCATCCACATTGATAGTGGTAAGTCAGATATTGTGACTTTTTTTCTTCAAGTAAAGGTGCTTTATGTAACTTTTTTTGGTGCTGGGTCTGCCGCCTGAATCAGAAAAACAAACCGAAAGGCTTTGTTCATATCAAAAACTAACATGGCAGTTTACACGTAAAGAAAAACACAACAAAACAACAAAGGACTGAGAAACAGTATGGACCCTTTATACCCTTTATGAAAGTAAGTTAGTTAATCTATATACTTTTTTTTTTTAATGCTTTGTCATTATATATAGTACACACGCAAGTTACAATATATCTCAACACATTTGTTCATACATACAAAAAGAAAACATGCAAAAATTATGTGGTCTCAACTGTGGGCTCAAGTGATTCTGAATGATTTTTTAAAACAAATTCTGTAGCTTTCTAAGTTTCTTGTTTTGCGCTGCTTACAAATTATGTTCATGGCAGGTAAGGAAATAATTAATATTCCTTCCCAAATCAACAGTTACAGATGCTTTAGGACACGGGGAACAAGAAAAATGATTTAAAATCCAATTACATAGTAAACTTTTATGAGCAAATAAGGATTATATTGATATTACAGACTGCAAAATTGTGGGTTGCTTCAGGAAGTTTGGTAAAATGACATAAACAAACATTTCACTTTATTATGATATAGAAGCTGATTTTCTAACTCAATACATCACAGTGCGTAACGCGGCGGTGAGAATGTCCCCCCAGAGGGAGGAGGGGGACATTCAAGCTGAGAGAATAGGACGTTCGAGCTGGTATTCGTTCTATATTTTGTTCTGAATTTTACAAGAAGTTTCAAGAGATGTCTTCCACATTTGAGAGACATGCAATTCAAATTAGCAGCTGTGGTTAGATTGTTTCAAGTTTGGATGAAGGATTATTCCACAGTATTAAACTTCTCTATCTTGGTTTTATACAAATACTTGGCCTTGTTGAGTCACCTGCTTTTCTCTATGAAGACAGATTTATGCCACACAATCTACCACAATCCAGACAAAACAATAAATTTTCCAGGGAGATGAGAGGGTTTAGACCCCCTATTGAAAAAGTTACATACAGTACCTTTTATTGACCCAATTCCGACCACACCCTTGATGTTAACCTGTTTTTTTGTCACCATTCTTGTTTTCTGTGCAGCTTGTGTGCGGTGAGTGCCTTTCTGTTTACCTGTCCCGCATCAAGAAGCAGTGTCTGGGGATGAGATACGTAGGGTGTGTGTACAAAGCAGTGGGGAGTTATGTGTTTGGAGCAGCTGCTAGCCAGTCGCTGACAGACATAGCCAAATATTCCATTGGACGTTTGCGGCCTCACTTCCTGGCTGTGTGCAACCCGTCATGGGACAAGATCAACTGTAGCGCAGGCGGGTACATCGAGAACTTCACCTGCAACGGAGAGCCTTTTCTAGTGGATGAGGCCAGGTACTGAAACCAGACTGTAAAGCTTAAATGACATAGCCATCACTTTTTTTACAGTTTATTCTTTGATTGCTGTCATTTTGAACTCCATTTTGAGGCCTGTTGATACTTTGCAGCTGATTTCATCAACTTTCTCTGGGGGTGTGACGCTAACTGAAAGCACTACTCTGTCAGAAGCTCTTAACTTAATCTGAGGCTGCGTTTATATGATGACGGTCTGAACGGAAGATGCAAAAGTAGTGTCGCGTCTTCACTTTTTATTCCGCGTTCAGACAAGCATTTTCAGGAGGAAATCTGCACGCATACAGTGATGCAAAAGTGTGGGGAATTCGATTGGTTATGCATGCCAGGCGGCTCGGTGGTGACGCTTGGTGGTGCTGTATGTGACGTAAAAGTGTACGCAACATGAGCAGATCTGACAAGAGTTTTGCGTCTTGGGCAGTGTAGATGGAAACACTACGGCGGAGCGTGTTCAGTTTTTCCACTCTGGAGGGTGATTTCAGATTTTTGCATTTTTAAGCTCTAAAAATGCTGTCCCTGTCTAAACGAAAGGCACTTCCGATAAAATATTTTGTCGTTTTTACCCACAAGCTTTCTCGTGTAAACAGGCCCTGAACTTTGTTTTAAAACACAATCTGACCAGAAAGAGCTGACTTGGTTGGAATTACAACAGGTAATCTGATTTGTTCCTTACATTTAAAATAAAAGCATTAGTCAACAGTTTTTCAGTCGCTTTCAGCATTTTGTTGAAAATCAAATTACTCAACAGGACCAAGAATACTCGTATTGATCTCAGGCTCCTGAAAATGTTATGTTTACATCCATTTTGTATATTTTCTTGAGTTCAGACAATCTTAAAACTGTTTTGCCAGTGTTTGCTGATTTGCTGATATGTCAGCCTGGTAACAAATTATTTTGCGATAGAGATACGCATAGAACACCCCAGCGTGAAGTCACTGCAAAGTATCAATCATTTTAAACAGCGGTTTTCCAAAGTTTTTAAGAAAGGACCCCCAAAATAACCATGCTACTGATCCAAGACTGAACTACTGCAAAATGAAATTGACATAATGTAAAAAAGCAAGTTGCAAAACAGAAAGAAGATTAAATGCACTGTCATAGTTTTAAAATTAAACTGCAGCCGAACCTCTGCTGGGAACTGGAAACTACTGGTTTAAAAGAGGGAAGGGCAGTGTCTTAATATTTTATAGCTATGCAGGAATTGAATTGCATAACATCGATTAGTCTTTGTCTTTCACCATAAAGCAGTGACACACATAAGAGAGTAGTACACCAAATGACGAGGTGTGGATATTATTATTACCTAAAGGCAAACAGATTGACTAATATCTAGTGATTCATCTAGACTTTGATAATGCTATTATCTCAGATGGAGGGCCAATATAACTTCTAATTGGCTTAAAGTCCTTTGAGACACTTTGACAACTACTATGACCAATGCCAACTGGCTCAATCTTGCACAGACAATCTTTTTGATAGTATTGTTAGAAAATATGTCCTTTCTTATTTTTGTTTTGGGAAAAAGTCCTATATTACAAAAAAAATACCCTTATGAGCTTTAAGTCATGTTATAATGTTGTTACCTCCCCAAAACATACCGGGAGTTGTTTTGTTTTGTTTTGTTTCACCTTGTGCCTGTGTTGCCATGCGGTGGTACTTTACAGGTTAACCACTACCTTTTTACTTAGTTCAGTAGAGATGCGCAATTCTAAGGTTGAAATCATCCACATCAGGGGCTTCAAACTCAAATTCAGAGGGCCAAAATTAAAAACTGGGACTGTCGTGGGCCAAACTCAATCAAAAAATTTCAACAAAAAGATATGTAATGCTAAACCTTTTCTTATTAAAAAAATGTTTAATAATAGTTTTGCTTAAACACTGAATTCAGAACAAGCGTAATATAAAATGATAACTACATTATGAATAAATAATGTCGGTGGCCCAGCTCTAGTACATATGTGATATGATCTCGCAGGCCAAATTTTGCCCGGGGCCTGAGTTTGACATGTCTGGTCTACATGATTCTTGTGAAGCTGCATGGAGTTTAAAAACGCAGTGGAGCACTTTCTGTATTATCACATGATATCACAACATGGAACAGAGGGTTTGAGAGAAGAAGTCAGCCTAAATATGCGTGAATGAAGCCTATTTTTGATGAGAAAACAACATTGTAGCATAAATCAGAAAAGAGTTTAATGTGAGTTTTTTAACTTGAGTTGCTGACCATATCCTGAGCAATATATCTGCTTTTGTACAGCTGCCCCCATCTCTTTTTTTAAACTATTGACTTTTAGGCCCAGAATAATGTGATAATTTATAGTGTTTTTAATATTATTTTCCATGTGATACAAACATATTTCTACACATTCTTGTTATTTTTATGTTTATAGCTATTTATAAATATTGTTTGTCATTAACTTTGGAAATTACCTTTTAGAATCACACTTTACCTTTATCTTCACACTTTAATAGTAAATTGTCTTTTTGTCTTTTTGAGTTACATTGAGCAAGACTGCACTTTGGACAACATTTTATAGTAATTCTTCAAATACTTTCTACATAAAACTTCCTTGTTGTTCATGCCTACAGGGTTGGCTAATTTGGAACATTTGAACACATGCACAACCATTAATACACAAGTCTGCATTTTTCACTGGCCAAAGAAAACCAGAGCCACGTGAATGGGTTTTTAAGCAACGTATGTACCAAAATAAGAAATTATATGTTTTAAGAATCATGTTACATTTAAAGGGGCCCATATTACGCTATTTCATGATCTTTTTTATAATGCTATTTCCTCTTCACAAACATACCTGGAGTTGTGTTTTGTTTCATTCATACATGTTTAACACACAAACCCTGTATGTTTAGGTTGATTATATTACTCAGACATGTGTGAATGAAACAAAACACAACTCCAGGTATGTTTTTGATGAGGAAACAACATTATAACATGGCTGAAAGCTCACAAGAGTCAATATAGGACTTTTTAACATAATCAGTTTCATAATAATCTAATTGATCTCATTTTGGTCTTTTTCAGGCTTTCGTTTTACTCCGGACATTCCTCATTTTCCATGTACTGCATGATGTTTCTTGCTGTAAGTAGTTCTTCTACATTTACATATTGACAAAGAGTCCCCTTGGAATTATAATTATAGGGTTCTATACATGGACTAAGGGGGTGCGACGTCGCTCATAGCATTCGACAACAGTCAAAAGAAACTCATCGAGGCTTGCAGTCAAAGGGGTGAATTTGGAGTCTCAATTTATGTACGGACAAAACAGCTAAATAAAAACTCCAGAATCATGTAGAGTGAGTTAATACAAACATTTTAAGACCAAAATGAGTACCCTGACAACAGCAGTTAGAGAGAGATGCTACGTTGGCTAATGGATGCTCTCTCTAATATAAGAGAGAGATGCTTATATGGCTCCATCGAGTCCGGTGCCAACTCAGTATAAAGTGAATTGGCACCGGAGTCGATGTAGCCAGAAGCTTGAACACCCTCAGCCTTTTCAGCAGTTCTCAGACAACAGCAAAAAGCAGAGCAATCGCTTTTAGCTGCATGAAATATCTTTTAAATGGTGAGGCAGATAAGCGTCCTGCTTGTCTCTATGAAGAGGTGCGGCCAACCAGCATATTTGAATAGGAAGTCAAAGGACCTTTTATCTGTTATCAAGATGTTTTAGCTCACCATCTCAGTTTGGACAAAATGTAAAACTATGATCTACTTCTGTTTATACTTCAAAGTAGCTGAGTGAAGCGTATGTTCTTTGATTTAGAGTACATTTTTAAGGTCCAAAAACATAACCTGGTTTTATTGAGGAAATGGCACTTTGACGCTCAGACATTGACTTTGTATCGTGTAACATTATTCAAATAAGTCTAATGTTGATGTTTTGGTCTGATGCAGCTGTACATTCAGGCCAGATTGAAATCAAACTGGACCAGGCTCCTGCGCCCCACCTTCCAGTTTTTCCTGATTGCGACGGCTGTTTATGTGGGTCTGTCCCGAGTGTCTGACTACAAGCACCACTGGAGTGACGTGCTGATGGGGCTGCTGCAGGGAGGACTGGTGGCCATTTTAAATGTAAGTCCAGTATTTTGAAAGTATTAAAAAGAAACATTTAATTAAAAAGTCCAGCTCCTTCTTGAGTTGAATTTTAATTTTAAGGCCTGGCTGCTGGAACTGGATGGTGGTTACTGTAGGTTACAATCTCTCAACAATCTCTCTAGCTCCTATGGAAATCAACAGTGACCGCCCACTCTGCTTCTGAAAGTACATTTTCCAATAACTTTTCCACACACATGTAAAAAAAAAATTCAAATATTAAGAGTTAAAAACCAACCAGCAATGTGATAAGTTGGTGATATAATGCAGTAGTTTTAAGCCCCAAAAGCACATTTAATTTGCAAGACTCTGTGAAATCCTTTAACAATTTTGTGGTTTATAAAGTTTCAGAAGCGGATTTTAAATTAAATTATAGGTCTTGTGCTCATGAGATACCATGTCGCTATTAGCCATGATCAAGCTTTCTCTAACAAATAACCCATGGACAAGGAAAAATGTAGAAGTGAAGTGACCACATAAACCAACATCCTTTTCAGTTCAACATGAAGAATCATAACCTTATGTAGTATGAATTTAAAGGCCCCTGTACTATGTATAATGCTGTTTCCTCCGCAAAAACTTAGTTCTGTTTTTTGTTTTGTGTCACTCTCTGTTTCACCGTGTTAATACGGGAAGTGCTCTACTCTGTTTTAAACTCCATTCACCTTCACTAGAATAAACTGGATAATTTCAACCCTGTAATCACCAAACTGTAATGAACTTAAGGTAAAAAGTAGCTGTTAAATTAAAAACTACCGCTACATGACATCACAAGGTAGAACAGAGCATTTTGAGCTTTGGAGATGTAGGCAGAGTTATGATAAAAACATTTGGAAATAAAAAAAAACACAACTCCAGATATGTCTTTAATGAGGTAACAGCATTATAACATGGCTGAAAGCTCACAAGAGTCAATCTTGTGTAATACTGTAGCACCTTTTTAATGATTGCCATACCTACTAGATCACACCACTACTATTATTTTGAATTTTTGTTGTTGTTGTATGATTTCATTAATGTTATATGGTTTATGTTCCATTGTAAAATAATGTAACTTTCTTACTTGTCCAAAATAAATGCATAAATCAGTCAAATCAAATAAAGTATAATTTTCCCCCGTGTTATGTTCTGCAGGTTTTCTGTGTGACTAACTTCTTTGAGCAGCCCATTGACCCAGTTGTGTCTCAAGAGGAAGAAGACGAACCTGTCTCGCACACGAGTTTACAAGAAAACCCAAGAGAAAACCACTACGGCAGCACGGGCTGAAACTCTGAAACCTGTATCTCCTCTCCAAAGAACTCGTTCATCACCTTTTGCCTTTAGCTGCTATGTACCGTGCGCACTACAGGTGACGAAACCTTGCACTAAGACATGAGTTTTTGTTTAATTTTATTTGTAAATTATGGATTTTATTGTGAGACAAAAACTGATTTATGGTTGATTTCCTGACAAAACAAGGCTTTTTTTTACTTTGCGGAAATGTGGCTACGAATGTACAGTAAGTTTGTGTTACGCTGCCATCGTGAATGAATGAATTCCTTTTGCCTAGTATATAATGAGCATCTGTGCGCACACCAGTGGCCCTGTACAACCTGTGAAAATGAAAACCTGGATGTCTTTAAACCCAAAGAAGACTGAACTACGGAATAATTTATATATTTTTTTTTGCCTTAGATTAATAATGGCTGCATTTCAGGGCAGTTGAATTCAGTTTTATTGTACATATAATTATTGTAATGAATTTTTACTGTATGGAAATGCAAATCTTGTATTGGTCTAAGCAATACAGAAAGATTAAAGGGTGTTTTATAATTTGACATCAAACTGTTTCATTATGCAAGTTATTTTTAATCTGACTTTATCTTGTGGATGCTTGTCTCTATGGAAATGTTACTGCGTTACCTTAAATGTTCCTCTGAATGGCAGTAACCCGCTTGTCTCCTTGGTGCTAGTGCAATTAATACATGTTTGTCAGTGTATATTTGAGTTATAAAAACACATTGTATTGACTAAATGCAAAATAGATTATTAAATGTGATGCTACAGAACTTTCCAAGCAAACCAATAACATCTCCATGGATAAAAGCAGGAGGTGTACCCATAAAGTTACATTACAGTGCAACTTTTAATAAGACAAAATGACACAAAACCATGTGTAACTGGTTTTTATCCATTGTTCCTTAAAGCATAGAAAAAGAGAAATTTGAGTAGTGCTGTGTGCAGACAATGCACTGGGTGGATTATTCATTTATGTTGCAGACACACCAACAAAACCACCAACATGCAAATATAATCTGTCAGACTAAAGAAAAGTAAAAGTTGCGTAATTGTGGCAGTTGCACAGTAATTTTCCATGTGATCATTATATGGGTCATATCTGAAATTATTTTAAAGTCATTTATGGGCTGTTTGTAGAGGACGAATAGTTATTAGCATTTATTTGTAGGTGAATATCTTGTGTTTTTGTTTTGTTTTTTTATAAAAGCAGCTTTGCTCCAGCATTTGTGGGGCTGAAAAAGAGTCCATATAACTTAGAGCAAAACACATTTTTTATTGCATAATTTTTTTGTAATTCAGGGTTCCAATGGTTATGGAAATCCTGGAAAAGTCATAGAAATTTAAAATGTAATTTTCCAGGTTTGCAACTCATGGAATTTTGTAAATTTAACGAAAGTTTTGGAAAGTTTATGGAATTTTAGTATTACTTTCACGCAACTACAGCATTCTGTTAAGTTCTCATTTGGCTGTTATGATTATTTCTGAATGTATGCGGCTTTTGTTTAAAAGAAACGACAGTAAATGGACTGACAGTATTTTGAATGTTAAAAAACTATAATACCAAACCATAAGGTGAGTGGAAAGGGTTAACATTTCATATTTAGTCCTAAAGTATGCTAAATTCTATACATGTAGGTGCCGTAAATTCTTGGAAAATTCACTTAAGTTTGCTAAAGTTTTGAAATTTTGTCAGTGAAAAAGAGTGGGAACTTTGGTAATTGTTTGGAGCAATAATTGTAATATTGATTAAAATCCAATGAATTCCAATTACCTAGTAAGGGTGATTCCAAAATTTTATATCAATACCCATTTTGAGCAATTTTTTTAAAATCAAAATACAAATGGGAGTGTTTTTTCTTTCTATTTTTGTTTTTGCAGATTTTGACCATTTTATACTATTCTGTTTGAGATTTCCATAGGTTAAACAATGACACTTTACTTAACAAACTGTTTCACAACATTAGTGACAAGAGTTTATTTTCCCCAGCAGACAGGTGTCACCGAGGCCAAAGCTTAGGCTGCAATCCTATTACACCCATGACCCCACACAGACAACCTGGAGATGCACCCATCCCATAATGCACTGGGCTGCAATAGTTTTCAGTCCAATCCAATATAAAGTTTCCCAGGATTTTGTTTACTTGCGAAATTTCTGCCTATCGCTGTACAAATACCACACGTATCCTCGACTGGTAATTTCGAGGAATGTGTGGAGGAGATACATTTTTGAAATTCTTGCCTGAAACCAACGTGACTTTTATTGTTGCTGAAGTCAAGAGACACTACGCTGCAAAAAGTAATGGGTAAATAACAAAAAAACACTAAACAAAGAACTTTAACTTAATCTATTTGAGTAGATTTGATTTGACAATTAAAATGATCTACCAATGGAATAAGATTTACTTAATCTTAATTGAAGAAACTAAAATTGTGTTTATTATTTTAAAGGTACTCTGTGTAACTTTACCTCCATGGAGATCTTATACTTTTGTCAAGAGTGTTTAACATTTAACTTATCTCCAGGAGAAAAGAAAGCAAGTCATTTTAGCAATAAATTAAAAGTAAGATGGATATGGTCGACACAAATTAGTGGAACATTGCAGGTAATAAAATCTCATGTATCAGGTGACAAACTCATCAAAAAAGTTACACAGAACAACTTTAAGTACATTGTAAGTAATTGAAATCAAGATAAAAAGTAATTTTAACTTGGCTAGATTTAGTTTTTGCAGTGTGTTGTGGTTATTTAATTTGGAAGACCATGTACATTTTTGTTACAGTGTAGTGAACCCACATTGGAAGAGACACTAGACTACAACTATAAATAAAAAGTCTGAAGCCAAAATTATGGTTTTGTGAATGTTTTCTCTAAGCAACACAAATAACATTAAAAAGAAGCAATGGTCCATGCTAAAACACAAATTACTTTTTGCATTCTTCTGTATTACATTCACAATCTTTTTTTTTTTTTTTTTTTTGCAAGATGGGGCCAATTTATTATGTTAGGAACAACAATCTTTGAGGCATATTTTCAGCCACTGGAGGAAAAAGATATATATTTTTTTGATGTTGCAAGATACAGTATATGAAACGGTGTAGTCCTTCATTTGTTCAGAAGTGATTTAATGTAGAGAAAGTTTCATCTGTGGTTATCTGGACTCTGTCTTGGCGATCAAGGGTTTCGGCCCCCATCCAGAAGCTATTTTCAAATTGATACTGGCTTGAAGCACTGGTTTGCTGCTCTGAGTAACAAAGTAATTTCTGTTCTATTTATTTTTTCCTGAATCACTTGTAACTTTTGCTTGTGCTTTCTGCAGTTATTGGAAAGCAAATCTGTCAAGAATTGCAGTATAACAAAGAGCATTGCACAGAAAACATAGAAAACAAACAACAACATAGAGCTTAAAGGTGCATTATAAAACCACCATGGAGATGTTTTTGCTTTGCCTGGAATGTTCCTCAGTATGATATTGAACTTATCTGTTGGGCATTACTTCATGTAAATATTTTATGTCTTAAAAATAAAACAAAACTTAAACCTCATGCACTTTTACTGAGAGCAGAGGCACCACAAATCTGACCTGTAACTTTGCCTGATGATGTGATCTGTTTGTTTCCATGGAGGATAAATATGTCTAATGCTATAATCCCTAATGTTCCAACTCTCTAGCAGGAAAGTTATATAGTGAACCTTTAACGTATCTTGCTATCAAAACTATTCGGGGGTTCTCCCATTGTGCGCTATTTCTACTCAGTCCAGTGTCATTGTCTGTGACCTTTACAATAGTCCTCATTCACAGCTGCCACTTTCAGTCACATGTCTCACTCTAACCAGCCAAGTAAAGTATCAGCAGAAACACACTGTTTACAATGGACCAAGAAGGAAAATGGCTATTACTATATCAAATGAATTTTCAATTGTCAGTTTATTGTTTTCTAGTTGGAAGTTGTGGTCCAAAATATAAAAAAAACAATGTGAAAATGGGGAAATAAAAGTATTGTCTCGTTTTGAATCACTGGGGAAACCACAAATGGGACATGACAATGAAATAATTCAAAGACTAATTGTGATTTTGGTTTGTGGGAAGATAATTACAACATTAGCTACTTACTTCTATAAAATAAAGCATACATAAGGCAAATGTGTCAAAACAAGTTCCTGCTATTGTCCATCAGTGACCTCTAGCTGCCGTGCAATATGGAAGCCAAAGGGCATATCGTTTCACATTTCCAAATTATTCTTATTTGAGCATGTGAACTACTACATGAACACATTGCTGTTTAAGATTAAGTTTAGTCAAGACCTCCTTACTATAATCCCATCTCTTAAAATAATGCAATATAAATATAACCTTTGAAAATTCTGTGACCTTGCAAAGTTGAAATGTTAGATACAAGCTTATTGATCATAGACCATTTTACCCAACTTTGATACCAATTTGTGTGCAAGCCCTTTTAAACTCTCCCATTTTAGAGTATGACATAGCAAGCGTGCAATAGGCCTGTGACTATCGACTAACAGCGGACTACCAGTGACCTCTGCTGGAACCAGTGAGCAGTTTTCCAGTGGACACTGAAGGGCGTCATTATGTCCATGCGTGTTACACACTTACAGCTGGAATAAACAATAAAACCCGTTTGGCTTGTTTTAGAGTAATTTATTACCATTGTATCAAACACTCCATTTGGGCTACAGCTGAGAAACAGAGCCCAAACTTTCCTCAGGATCTCAACAAGCTAATTATCTTTACATCAACAGACCTTTTCTGCACAATAAAGGCCTTTGCCTTCTGTCAAATTTGACACCTCAGTCTCAGACCATTTTAGGAAAATACGCTCTTAAGGACACAAACCTCTACAATTAACAGAATCTTTAAGGTTGTAAAATTTTATTTTGGGGGATCTGTACATGGAGGTTGTGGCCTTCAGTGTGTCACAAACAATAACAGGAACAGGACAGGTTAAGCGCACTGAAGTTCATTACAAGTGCTCATTTTACTCAAAACTGGACAAGAAGTTCAGAACAATCTGCTTAAGTTTAGCATCTGATGCCTCTGTGATTTTGCCGTCAGCCCTGGGGAAAAGGAACAAGTGTTAATACATGTAACATAAGTCATTACCTTGTAATAATGAAAGGTCTTACTTGATTGCTCCAAGCAGGTCCTGGTGCTGGCTGAGGATGTGCTGCAGGAAAGCCTTCTCAAACTTTGTGATCTTGCTGGGCTCCATTTTGTCCAAGTGACCCCTGACACCAGCGTAGATGACAGCGACCTGCTCTTCAATGGCCATAGGAGCTACAAGATGGTACAGGCATTTTATTACAACTCCAACATATCAGAAACACTTCAAGTGTCACCAAAATACTGTGCAAGTGACACAAACATGCCAAACTTACAGTACTGTCCCTGCTTGAGCAGCTCTGTCAGCCTCACTCCTCTGTTGAGCAGTTGCTGAGTGGCAGCATCAAGGTCAGAACCGAACTGAGCGAAGGCAGCCACCTCACGGTACTGGGCCAGCTCCAGCTTCATGGTACCAGCCACCTATCAAGAAATATAAAAATTCAATAAGCTTATCACACCATATCCCACTTAAGATATTAAAAAAACAACAACAAAAATACAAAAATACCTGCTTCATAGCCCTGGTCTGGGCGGCAGATCCTACTCTGGACACAGACAAACCTACATTGATAGCTGGACGGATACCCTTGTAGAACAACTCAGTCTCCAAGAAGATCTAGAGCAGAGACAAGCAGTCAGTATCACATTCAAAAGGGCAACACATAAATGTGAGTGTGCTGTACAAACCTGTCCATCAGTGATGGAGATGACATTAGTGGGGATATAAGCAGACACATCACCGGCCTGGGTCTCAATCACAGGGAGGGCAGTGAGGGAGCCGCCTCCGAAGTTGTCGTTCATCTTGGCAGCTCTCTCCAGCAGACGGGAATGCAGGTAGAACACGTCACCGGGATAGGCCTCACGACCAGGAGGACGACGCAGCAGCAGAGACATCTGACGGTAGGCTACAGCCTGAGAGGGAAAAACGGAGGCACAGTCACTCACTGCTGGTGTCAACCTTTAGACATGCCATCGTGTAATTTTGTCATTAAGATCACTCACCTGTTTGGACAAATCATCATAGATGATAAGGGCGTGCTTGCCATTGTCTCTGAAGTACTCTCCCATGGAGCAGCCAGAGTATGGGGCCAGGTACTGCAGAGGAGCGGCATCAGAGGCAGTGGCGGACACCACAATAGTGTACTTCATGGCATCAGCATCAGTCAGCCTCTTCACCAGCTGAGCCACAGTGGACCTCTTCTGACCAATGGCCACATAGATACAGTACAGCTTCTTTTTCTCATCAGTGCCATCGTTGAAACGCTTCTGGTTGATAATGGTGTCAATGGCAATGGCGGTTTTTCTGAATATAAAAATGAAATTTCAAAAATGTAGTCCAGCTTACATTTGTCATTCTTATACTTGTTTTCAAAAGTTCTTACCCAGTCTGCCTATCACCAATGATCAGCTCTCGCTGGCCTCTACCGATGGGCACCAGACTGTCCACAGCCTTAATGCCAGTCTGCATGGGCTCCCTCACAGAGATGCGGGGGATGATACCAGGGGCCTTCAGACCCACACGTCTGCGTACAGTGGAGCCAAGAGGACCCTGGATAAAATTGAACGACAAATACCGTAAACCTCTGAACCACTAAAGAGAAAACTAAACTTTAAAATTAAAATCAGGCACGAACTTTTCCATCAATGGCATTTCCCAGAGCGTCCACAACACGGCCCAAAAGCTGCTCTCCAACAGGAACATCCACAATGGCACCAGTTCTCTTGACGATGTCGCCCTCTTTGATCAGTTTGTCATTACCAAACACCACAACACCAACATTGTCAGGCTCCAAGTTCAGAGACATGCCCTAATACAATAATACAAAGTGTCAGGTTTCAATGTTAAATCATATTCAACAATGTACCAGTATTCATTCACACCTTCAGTCCAGAGGAGAATTCCACCATCTCCTCAGCCTGGACATTCCTCAGACCGTAAACTCTGGCAATACCATCACCAATGGACAGCACACGTCCAGTCTCCTCCAGGTCAGCAGAGGTATCTGCTCCCAAGATCTTCTCCTCCAGGATAGAAGACACCTCAGCGGTGCCTGTAAAAAGACAAAAATATTAAGATCTAAAAACTGAAAGGGAAAAAAAAGTGGGATTTCCAAAAAAACAACAACAACCAAACACACTATGAATCCTCCTGTAAAACAAGTTTAAATTTAAATTTAGTAAATTACTTTTTCCTGCAAGATTTGATATATAGATTGGGGATTTAAATTATTGTAGGCATATAGTTTATAACTTAAATGAGACAGCTTCAACTTGTATTAACAGAATGTATTTACCATTTTATTAGCCTGTAATGCATTAAATGGGTCTGTCTGTAAATTTGTTGTAGATGTCATTCTAAGTGAATATCGTTCTATGACCAAATTCTTTTGGAATTTGGTTGAAAACACCGAGGAGAGAGAAATATAGTCTTTTCTCACCCGTTTTCTGCAGCCATGGTCTGGTTGTGTGGAGGTGGTTGACCCCAACGCAGGCAGCGGGGACAGCCTTTGAGATCTAGAGTCAATGACAGACGCTTTATTTTGTTGAATGCATTTGCAAACAAACTGAAAATAATGCATAAGAAGCCTTTTAAATGCGCAGTTTTGATGTCGTATAAACTTCCGTGCAGCGCAGAGAACATGCGCTGTCAGGCTTTCTGACCTTCACAGCGTGGTTGAATGGCCGCTAGCAGAGTTAGCTTTGCCGCAAAGCACTAATGGGTTTGCCCGTACACTGAAGGCATAAGGTCTGGTTCAAGGGCAAACAATAGATGCAAAAATCTCACAATATTATTCGATTTTCCATAGCACGATGCATCCATACAGTTAAAGCTTTTCAGAGTGACCGGTACGCAATGTTCCAAATGACAAGTTAGCTTTAGCTAGCGGCCTGCGACATTGCCATTAACGTCATCAAAAGATAGGCATTACTTTGCAATTTACACGCTCCAAAATGTTCCAATAGTTGAATAAACCACTTACAAATCCGGCTCTTCTGGGCAGAGCCCTGGCCAAAGCTGAAGCGACTCTCACGGATAACATTTTGTCGGGCTGCAGATGACCTGTCCTCCACTAGCGGCACGTCCCTCCGTGAGAAGAGTGTAATGGCTGAATGAACCTTCTTCTATTTATGCAAAGGGCGCTGCTCTACAGGCACACTGCACAACACCGCCCCCTCGTGTCCTGGAGGAGAAATAAGGTGAATTTATTTATTTTATTATTAATTTATTTATTATACTGCGATTTTATATTTTATTACTTATTTTTCTATTTTCTCTACATTTATATAATGATATCTTATTTGACGCCTGCCTCTTGCTACTTTTTTGCTACTTATTTAAAATTCATTATTACAATATATATGTTTTACTCTTGGTTATTGCATTATTTTGTGACGTGTGAGCTACTGTGTCCAAATAATTTGCCTTGTGGATCAGTAAAGTTTGTAAGTACAAGTTAGATGCATTTTTTCAACTGTTACAGCACAAATGCTTACTTACACCTATCCACAGATCTAAGTATATATTTAGTTTTATACATGTATATAAAAGCAAACTACATAAATAAAAATACATTAATGACCATTACCTAATAAGGTAAAAAAAAAAAAAATAAATAAAAAATGCTCTTCATGTTTTTATAAAAAAAAAAAAAAAAAAAAACAACAACAACCAAAAAACTAAAACAGAAACAAACAAACAACAACAACAAAAATAATAAAATAAAATAAACAATAAAACACAATGAGACTCAGAGTGTTATTTTCATCATTCGTCTTCCTTATGACCTCTTGTATATAGCCGACATTTAATATTTTATTACTTGTTGTTTTTCTGTTATATGTCTTATTGAACATAAACACTTAAATAATTACGCCTTATTTGCCACCTGTCTCTTGCTATATATTTTTTATTTATGATTATTCATTTAGAATTTTTACTTTTTTTTGTTATATTATATTGTGACGTGTGAGCTACTGTGTCTAAATAATTTCCCTTGTGGATCAATAAAGTTTGTAAGTGTAAGTCAGATGCATTCTTTCAACTGTTACAGCACAAATGCTTACTTACACCTATCCACAGAGCAAAGTATATATTCTTTATAAAAGCAAACTACATAAATAAAAAATACATTAATGAGTGTCTTAAACCCATTATCTAATAAGCTAAAAAGAAAAAAAAAAAAAAAAAAAAAAAAAAGCTCTTCAAGTTTTTAGTAAAAAACTAAAAAATTTAATAAAATAAATAAAATAAAAGAATAATAATAAAATAAATAAAAATAAATAAAACACTATGAGATTCAGTGTTATTTCCATCATTCATTCATTTAATCATAGAATAACAATATGCACATTTAATTTATAGCAAAACATGTCATGAAACAATGTCCTGTCAATCATCATATTTTATGTTACGCTGCAGTTTTTATTGAACATAAACATTTATATAATTACGCCTTATTTGACACCTGTCTCTTGCTATATATTTTTTTATTTATGATTATTCATTTATTATTTTTACTCTTTTTTATTATATTATATTGTGATGTGTGAGCTACTGTGTCTAAATAATTTCCCTTGAGGATCAATAAAGTTTGTCTAAGTCTAAGAAACGTTCATTATAATTCAGACCTGCAGAAGAAAAACACATGAACGCATAAGCATGTTTTTTTTTTTCTGCACAGTGCATGAGCTAAAGCGTTCAGTCAGAGCATACGTGAAAGTGTATGAGATGACACACTCACACTCACTCATTCCCGTCTACCACCCCAACATGGACTACGTATGATGTTTATAGCGCCTCATCATCCTCAAAACAACAGAGAAATGTTTGTTCTCCGAAGCGCCCTCTTGTGCCTGCGCTGTCCCATGGCTTGTCTGCTTTTGTGAACGACAGCCAGGCGGAGGAGACAGTCGTACGGTAGGGCTGCCCGAGGTGCTAGCCTTTAGCCAGCCACATCCAACAAGCAGCCGCCTGAATGTCGATCCGCATGGGCTACTCCTGCTTAAACTCCGAATAAACCAGCGGAACTGTAAGACACGGATCCCAGGATGGTGTTAGTGCATGTCGGATATCTGGTTCTTCCCGTATTCGGCTCAGTAAGAAATAGAGGTATGGTATTAGTATTCTCATCGACCCAAAACATGTGCCCTGTTTATCTTAATATGCACTGCAGCTGTTTGCTAGCTTTACTAGCTTGAGCTTAGCCCTGACATTAGCTCGATTGACTTGCTCCACAGACTAATAACAATCTAAAGCGCTAAGTACCCCGTGATTCGTGATTATTTCGTGTCTGTTTCTTAACAAACAAATGCCATTCCTTTGCTTTTTGTTTTGTAGCATGTGAAATTAAAAAAAATAGCGTCGTTTATGGTAGGCTACGCTAGCTCGCCTGTACGTCGGAGCGGAAATATTTGTCACAAAGGACCCCTCTCAAATGGACGTCTGTAGCAATTTACCTAATGATCAAAAGACATTCCCTCACAGTGGATGTAGTGAGACAGTAATAACCGTGTAATTGTTTTATTGGCACGCTGATCCGGCTGATAACATTACGATGCGATGTGTTTTCCATGGTGGTATGTGCACTGTAAAAATACCGCAAAATAGACGTAGCCTCTCCAGCCACTCAGCTTATCTGTGCCCGGATGATGTCATTTGAAGATCATCTGGCTCTACCATCCTTTTCGTGTTTTTAGTCGCATTTTTGCCAGTTACGCTCGTCAATTTGTGCATTTACGAATCGATCCGCAGCCAATTATGTGTTCCGAGTCGTCCTGTATTGTTATTTAATGCTAATTTGCCATTCAGTAGCTGTTCTGGCTGCCCAATGGCAAGAGCCGAGTCTGCGGTCACATACGAAACAATGAATTAAAAGCTCCAGTGTAACATTAATTTCACAACAGTGGCATCAGTGATTTCATTGTGCTTTTATTTCTGTTCTTATTTCCCTGTTTCATAGTATGGAGGCTGGCTCTACATTCTGCATTTATCAGATCTTTGTCGTCCCCCCCATTGTGTAGCTAATGATCATCTGCTGCTGTGTGGTGTGGCGTGGCCTCTGCCTGTTCTCTGCATTTAGCTGTATTGTGAACCCCTTCTTCATTTCCTCTTTCCATCAGAAGACGGCATTGGTATTAAAAGCACCCCCCTCTCCAGATGTGTTCAGCCATAGACTTTCATGTTAAACAAACTAAACATAGCTAACACCTAGTCCAGAGCACCTTTTGTCTTTTTTTCTGTCAATTTGCTGTAGCACTGATTAAGCATTTAGATCCTCTGTAGAAATCAGTTGAATGTCATTGTGTACCTCCCATCCAGTCTTGATAGAAAACATGCTGTAAATTCCTGTAAAGTGGATACATTTTGCATGACTTCCAATAGTGCACTGCATTGTTGAACACCAGAATTTGGCTCATCCTCCCCTTTTCTCTTCGCACAAGGTGCAATGTACATAAGTCAATAATACCATTGGAAACCAGTGCATGCCAAAGCTAATAATAACTTCACTTACCGTACACTGCACCTGAACACCTGTCATAAGTGTTTCCATTTTTGTCTAATTGTTTCTGTTCCCTTTTTGCAAAAATAATTCAAGCTTTGAATCACACTGAAATGTCGGGTTATTTATAACAAAATTACAAATTACAAAAGTCAACAAAATGTGCTCACTGGTGGTTCATCACTTCTGAATTTCCCACTAACCTAAGGCCAAAATGCTATCCATTTCACAGGGATGCCTATTTTTCCTGCACTGCTAAAAAAAAAAGATCCTCTATTAGTAATAACGTCTTATTGTTTGGTTGTGGTCTCTCTTTACCTTTTGTTCTGGTAATAGTACTTTCAATGCATGGTTCACATTTATGATTCATAATTTATTTGTTTATGTTTTTCTACATTGATTAGTTCAAATCCAATGTAATCTTTCTGTAGTAAAGATGTATCCTGCTGTACTTGAATCATGTGCTATAGCCAACACGTCTGCTCATTGGATGCTGCTTATGTTCTTTTTTTAACCCTATATATGGAGCATGGTGGGCCTTGCCTTTTAGTCTATGTTGTTTATTTTTGTTGCATGGATTTATTACTATTTATTACAAAAGAGGAAAGAAATTAAACACAGATTTCACAAATACTAATATATATTTCAATAAAGACAATAGTGTTTTTCCTAACCTTCAGTGTGCTTCTTGCTGATTTCCATATATTGTCCTCCTCCTCCTCCCCTCCTTCTCCCTTGTCCCTACCTGCCCCCTCCCAGAACAAAACTCCACCCCCTCTCTTACACCCCCACCTCCTCCTCCCTCTGCTCTGACAAAGATAGACTCCATCACCGGGCCTGAAAAATAGTCTATCTGCTGTCATTCATGTTGATCGTTTTGGCAGAGATGCTTTGGAAATGCAGTGTTGCTAACGTTCAATAGCATCTGTAGCTGTGTCTAGACATCAGGCTTTGACCCCATCACAAGGTCATTGCCTGTCTTCTCAGCTCTATTGATTATATGTCAAACTAGACATAAAACCATTACTCCTAATTCTCAAATTGTTTTAAAATCAACACTGCCTTTTCCAAACATACTCTTTTTGTAAATGCAATGTAGACTTCGCCAAAAATAAATGTGGTAATACATATTTGAATAGTTCCATTGTATACATATCATAATTTGTGACTCCATCATAGTGAATTACAAAGTTGACATTTTCAATTAGTGAAAAGCTAACATTCACTGCTTAATTTTTGCCACAGGTTTTGTTTGTTACATACAAAATATTTTCCAATGTTTCATCCTTTCCCCAATCAAAGGAACCATTCACAGCACATAATTATTAACAGTAACTGTATTCAAAGAAAGCCTATGTAAGCATGTCTTCTCCATTGAGCCTGTACAGCAGTCTGCTCACTCTAGCTGCCAAATAGCTGTGGTTGGAAAGAGAGAAAAAGGCATCCAAGTTATTTCCTCTAAACTCATGTGGTTTAAATAGACTTAGTGAAGCTCTGTGAATACCGGGGCTCTGTGTCCTGTTACTGTCTTCAATGTGCTAGTGTCAAATGGGGTGATTCTGGCAACTGCTCAAGTAGACATTTAAATAATTACAATGACACTTCTACTGCACTGTCAGCGGCGAATGTAAAACCAAGCTGCACTGAGGAGCTAGTAAATGCCGACTTTACCCAGTGATCCGGTTTCCCTCTGTGAATCCGAAGACCGGCAGTCGAACCAGAGATCGGAATTGTGATAAGACCAAATAATGGTATTCATGCTCATGGCTCTGTGGTAACCATTTTCCACCCACAGAAGTATGTTCACTCTAGGTAAGAGCTAGGGCTTCATTAACATGCTATATCACACACACAGTGACTCCACATTTCACCCACTATTAATTCCAGCTAATCTCTGGTGCTCTGCTGACAGCTTGTCTTATCTCCTGCAGGATCCCATTTCAGCCGGCAACAGCAGCAGCAGCAGCACAGCCATGCTACCTCTTGCCGGCACTTCCAGTTAGGCCCTCAGGCCCCGTTGCCCATGGACTTCCCCATGCCCCACCCCGGGCAGCCCCAGTCGGGCATTAACCCTCACCTGGCTCCCCCGGGTCACCAGCATGGCCCTCCACTGCACCCCCCTCTTAATCCCATGCCCGCGCCACAGTTCCAGGACCTCCCTGCCCCCCCCTTCCTACCTCAGGCATTACACCAGCAATACCTCCTGCAGCAGCAGCTCCTGGAGGCCCAGCACAGACACATCCTGCCACCCTCCAGGTACAGCACTGGGGACGTCATCGTAAAAGTTTGAAAGTACAGTAAATACAACATAACTTATAATAAACACAAGATATCGGTGTAGTTGGATCCACACCTGAAGAAGGCTGAATTCGTTTCGCAACTCTTCAAAGTATCTTCTTCCGTTCAGATGTGGCAAAATGCATTAGCAACACAATATAATATACTTTGATACTACTTCTGAAGAACTTCTGATAATGTTTAATACTCTGCATCGTTGATTTGAGTTTCTAATTGTCTATAGATAGTATTTAAGTACAGAGTATCTGGGTATCATTGAAGCAAAATCAATCCTCACATGCTGCTTTACACAGGTTCATGGTTCAAGTTTTAGTAGGATTTATACGGAGGAACCAATTTATCTACCCTTCTCAATTGTCACTGTCCTGCACGAATTAGAAAGTAGTTCGCATTACAATAGTTATATTCATTTGGTTCACTTTGTAACTTCTCTGGAGGATGGTTTGTACGCCACCAGCGCTTCTTGATAAATATATTGTTTTGCCTTATAATACTTAACCGCTGCTCAAAAGTATCTTGACAAACATGTATTCCTAGTAAGAGGAGGATTGCCACTTCGCAGAACTGACCTCGACTGATAAGTTTAATGCCATACTGTGGAATATTCTTGGCAAACAGAATATCAGTGGAAGCCATCAGATGAAGTATTCTCCCTCTGAAAACGTTACATAACACACCTTTTAAATAAAACACTGAAAACACAAAAGACAACTGCTTTTGAGCTTTGAAAATGAGAAAACTAAACTTTGCTTTGTCGGGTCTCAAAGGTCCAAATGTGAGAGTATGTTTTCAGAGCCTGTTGCTGTTTGTGTGTTGACAGACGCACTCCAGAGAGAGTCCCACACCAGCCCCACAGACTGAGGCCGGGATACGAGTACGCTCCCCCGATCCACGTCCCCCCTCAGCCTGTGGTGCAGCAGCCGCGCTACCTAGCCGAGGGAACAGACTGGTAAGGAAATAGAGTTTTACAGTGGCATTACAATAAACATCACAGTCAATTTGTCTGATAACGGAAATATCTGCACGCCAAGGAAGCTTTGTTTATCTACTCGGGTCCCTGGAGAGAGATGAGTTAGAAGAGAGAGAGGAAGAGAGGGGAGTGAAAGAGAGACGGGTAAAAAGGAGAGAGAGAGGAAGAGAGAGGAGTTAGAGTAGAGAGAGAGGAAGAGAGACGAGGGGAGAGGGATAGAGAGGCAGAGAAAGTAAGGGGTAGAGATGGGGAAGATAGAGAGACATAGGTAGAGAGGAAGGGGAGAGAGGGAAGGGTAGAGAGGAGGGAAAGAGAGAGAGAAGAGTTAGAGAAGAGAAAGGAAGAGAGAGGATGGGAGAGAGAGGCAGAGAAAGAGAGAGGGGTAGAGATGGGGAAGAAAAAGGGAGAGAGAGGGGAGAGTAGAAAGGACAGAGAGATAGAGATGAGTTAGAGGCGAGAGAGAAGGGGAGATGGAGAGAAAGAGAGAGGGGAGGAGATGGGGAAGAGAGAGGGAGAGAGAGAGACAGAGGGAGAGGAAGAGAGGCAGAGAAAGAGAGAGATGAATAGTAATGGGGAAGAGAAAGAGAGACATAGAAAGGAGGGAAGAGAGGTAGAGGGGAGAGAACGAGAGAAGGATAGAGATGGGGAAGAGAGAGAGATAGGTAGAGAGGAGGGGGAGAGAGAGGAGTAAGAGGAGAGAAAGAGGAATAGAAAGTTGGGGAGAGGGAGAGAGGCAGAGAAAGAGGGGTAGAGATCGGGAAGAGAGAGAGGAAGAGAGAGAGGCAGAGAGAAAAGTGAGAGAGAGATGAGTTAGAGGAGAGAGAGGAAGAGAGACGAGGAGAGAGGGGTAGAGAATGGGAAGAAAAAGGGAGAGAGAGGGGAGAGTAGAAAGGACAGAGAGATAGAGATGAGTTAAGAGGCGAGAGAGAGTGGAAGAGAGAGAAGGGGAGATGCAGAGAAAGAGAGACATAGAAAAGAGGGAAGAGAGGTAGAGGGGAGAGAACGAGAGAAGGATAGAGATGGGGAAGAGAGAGATAGGTAGAGAGGAGGGGGAGAGAGGAGTTAGAGGAGAGAAAGAGGAATAGAAAGTTGGGGAGAGGGAGAGAGAGGCAGAGAAAGAGGGGTAGAGATCGGGAAGAGAGAGAGGAAGAGAGAAAAGTGAGAGAGAGATTAGTTAGAGGAGAGAGAGGAAGAGAGACGAGGAGAGATTGGTAGAGAAGGGGAAGAGAGAGAGTTAGAGAGGAGAGGAGAGAGAGGACGGAGAAAGAGAGATACAAAGAAGACTACTACTTTTTCATTCACTGAATCATTGTACTTGATCCAAGGTTGTGTCTGGCTTCTACTTGTACTACTAGAGACTACACAATCTTGAAATCAGACAAGACCTTTTAACACACTTTTAAAGCAGAAGGAAAACAACACTGGGTTTAAGAGTTTTTAAATACTTCTCGGATCAGTGGCTAGGCTTAGATACACACCGACATTTATCTCTAATGGCCGTATGTTCAGCCGTTGCCATGGTGAGACAATGACACATTAGTGAACACAAACAAAAAAGTTTTAAGACACGGATCATCTCTTTCTGGTGAGATTGTGTTAAAATAAAGACCAGATTAAGTCTAATTTGAGTAACAGAGCTTCTGACAGAGCAGTCCCAGTGCATGTTCATGACATCAGCTGCAAAGCATCATGTCAAAATTGTGCAAAAATGTACAAACCAATGTGACAAACACAGAAATGAACGAGAAAATGTTAGATTAAAATAGTTATTTAAAAGAAACATTGTTTTTTATCTTCCAAATACAATGGTTACTCCATTGATTACCTGACACATGAGTTTTTGATTGTCAGATTTATTTTGAGCAGATAAACATGTAAAAAAAAAAAAAAAAATCTGATCAAATTATTGTGTTTGGTTTGTGTTTATTCTAGTAATCTGATTTTAAGTGGCTTTGTAAATGTACCCATATGACAGCAGTTGCAGTATTATTTGTAGCGTATTATATAATAGTATAATAGAGGTATATTATATTTGTCCAATTGCTCTTTCCCTATAGATTTGATTGTAGATTCCAGTTTTGAGTCTTCATTTAAAATATGCTAAGCCTAACATACCTATTTCAGTGTAGGAGTTGTGCTCGTATAATAGCTCTTGTAAATCTCCGTGTTTCTTTGATTACTCTGAAGATTTGTGCTGAATTTGCAGATCTTAAAGCGCCACGTTCAGTCTGGTGTCTGGATATAACAAGGGCTTAATTTGAAAACACAGCTTTATTTGAGCTACAGTGGCAGCTCCGAGAGAATGAAGCTCGGAACATTTTCGCTTGATTTACTTTGTCAAATCACCTCAGATGAATTCCAGCGGATTTTGATCGATGTGCGAATGCAAGTTTAAAAGTCCTATATTATATAAAACTGACTCTTGTGAGCTTTAAGCTGTTTTATAATGTTGTTACCTCCTCAAAAACATGCCTGGAGTTGTGTTTTGTTTCATTCACACATGCTGAGTCACACATGGGTAATCCTTTTTGATCTCCAAAGCTCAAAATGCTTTGCTCCACCTTGTGAGGTCATAAACCTGTAGTTTTCAAGTTAACAGCAACCATTTACTTTTAGTTCAGTAGAGACTGGAAATTCCAGGTCTGAAATCATCCAAATGATTCTAGTGAAGGTGTATGAAGTTTGAAAACACGGTGAAGCACTTCCTGTATTACCACATGTTTTATGTTAAATGTGTGAATGAAGTAAAAACACAACTCCTATACAGTATACTTTTGATGAGAAAATATAATATTATATATAGGGGTGTAATGATATCCAAGTCTTACGATACAATATCGTCACAGTATGAACCTCACGGTACGATATTTACTGCAATATCGTGGAAAAGCTCAGAATATGGTGGGAACACTCACAATTAGGGATGTAACAATATCCAAATTTAACGATATGATATTTATTACAATATTTTGTGGAGGCTTACAAACAAAATTGTGAATATGCTACTTTTTCCTTGTCAAGACTTAATCCAAAGAACTAAGACTTAAAAGTGCTTAGAACTGTTATTTCTTCATGAAGTCTACACTGAAATGGAGCAAAGGATCATGGTCAATGTAGTTCATTCTGTCTTTTTTTAGCTACTGCTGCACCATAACTCTTAATTTAAGCAAAGAGACTTGTAATTCAATATATTGTGATGATCCATGATATTATTGTGTGAACTTTGACCATACGATATCACGATATTTCAGTTATTATTAAATCCCTAATTACATAACATTACCATAAAATAGCATGACATGGGTCCTTTAAAGTTGATAGAGAGACCCGTAAGTCTGAAGATTTACTGAGGAACTGCTCAAGCTAATGTGAAAAAAATGGTAGCAAGTTGGGGCAGAGAGCGAGAGGAGAAAGATGATACATTATTTAAGGCTCTGCAGTTGTAGCATGAGCGCACACACCAGGACTCAGAGAAGATCTCCGTCTGAAAGTGTGAAATAATGACTAGGGATGAACACACTGGCTGAACTGTGTTGCTCTTTGTCTCTCACTCTCCTCTCTTTAGGGCTGGGGCTATTTTGCCTGAAAATAGCAGTCAGCGCTGCATGGCTTTGTGGCCCCGTGCTAAACTTTGTGACTGCAGTGATAGCTCTTTCTTACATTTTCAGTGCAATTTCCAAAGAAAGAAAGGGGGAAAATAATAATCAATTTTCTTCCAAACAAATTCATTTCAACTTCAAATTTGATTAATCAATTGAATAGATTTTTTTGCCCAACCCCACAGCTCTTTCACCCTCTGTCTCTCACTTTCCCTCTGTGTCTCTCTCTGTCTCCCTCACTCTCTCATTTCTCACTCTTGTCCTTTTTCTCTCTCCTTCTCTCGTGTCTCTTTCTCTCTTCTAACCCTCCTCTGATTTCTCTCTCCTCTCCCTGTCTTCTCTCCCTCTCTGCCTCTCCTCTCTTCTCTCCTCTGCCAGTTTCTCTCTCTCTCTCTCTCTCTCTGCCTCCATTATCTTTTCTCCCCCCACTCTTCTCTCCTCTGCTCCTTTCTTCTGCCTTCTCTGTACCTCTCTTTCTGCTTCCACTATCTTATCTCTCTTTCTCTCTCTCCTCTCCACCCTTCCCCCTCTCTCTTTCTTCCTCTTATTTTCTCTCCCTCTCTCTCTCTCTCTCTCTCTCTCTCTCTTACTCTTCCTCCCTCTCTCTTTCTCTCTGTCTCCCTTTCTCTCTCTCTGTCTCTCTTTCTCTCTCTCCCTCTCTATCCCCCTCCTTCTCTCTCTCATCTCTTTCGCTCCCTTTCTCTCTCTCCATCTCTCTCTATCTATCTTTCTTTCTTTCTCTCTCCTTCACTCTCTCTATCTCTCTAGCCCTCTCTCACTTTCTCTTTCTCTCCCTCTCTCCTTTTCTCTCTCCATCTCTCTCTAACTATCTTTCTCTCTATCTCTCCATCTTTCTTTCTCTCTCTTTCTTTTTCTCTGTTTCTCTCTCCCTCCCTCTCTTTCTCTCTACCCCCCCTCTCTCTCCCTCCCTCTTTCTTTCTCTCTGTCTCTCACTCTTTTTCTCTCTCCCTCTCACTTTCTCTTTCTCTCCCTCTCTCCTTTTCTCTCTCCATCTCTCTCTATCTATCTTTCTCTCTATCTCTCCTTCTCTCTCTCTCTTTCTCTCTACATTTTTCTCTCTCCGTCTTCCTTTCTCTCTCTCTCTCTCCTCCCCATCCCCCCTCTCTATTTCTTCCTCTTATTTTCTCTTCCTCTCTTTCTCCGTGTCCTCCTCCCCACCCCCCTCTCTTTCTTCCTCCTCTTTTCTCTCGCTCATCTCTCCTCTCGTCTCTCTCTCTCCAGGGACCTGAGCGTAGATGCCGGGCTGCCTCCTCAGTATCACATCCACCCGCTGCCGCAGCACTATCAGCACTACCTGACCTCTCCCAGAATGCACCACTTCCCCCGGAACAACGCCTCGACACAAGTGGTGAGCCTCAGTGCGCTGGACCTGTCACTACAACACACTCTGAAGCATCATGCACCACTTAGACCAGGACTAAACCTAAACCAGGACTAAAGCAGGTCTAAACCAAGCATGATACAAGGCTACAGAGAAATACAGCGATACAACGATGAAACGAAAAATAATAATAAATGATAATATTGAAACATCAGACCAGGACTAAAGCAGAATTAACCAGGTCTAAACCAGGTCTACACCAGGCACTGCTACAGAGACATATTGCGAAACGATACAACGAAAATAATAATAAACGATAATATTGAAACTACATTATGCTACTGACGTCAGACTGAAACCAGGACTAAAACAGGACTAAACCAGGACTAAACCAGGACTAAACCAGATTTAAACCAGGACTAAAGCAGAACTAAACCAGATCTAAACCAGGACTAAAGCAGATCTAAACCACAACTAAAGCAGGACTAAACCACATTAAAATCAGGACTAAACCAGGTCTAAACCAGATCTAAACCAGATATAAACCAGGACTAAAGTATGACTAAAGCAGAACTAAACCAGAACTACACCAGTACTAAACCAAATCTAAACCAGGACTAAACCAGACTTAAAGCAGGACTAAACCAGGACTAAAGCAGGACTAAACCAGATCCAAACCAGATTTAAACCGGGTCTACACCAGGACTAAATCAGTTCTAAAGCAGGACTGAACCAGATCTAAACCAGAACTAAACTAGGTCTAAACCAGGTCTAAACCAGATCTAAACCACATCTAAACCATATCTAATCCAGATGTAAACCAGGACTAAGCATGACTAAACCAGGACTAAACAAGGACTAAACAAGACTTAAACCAGAATTAAAGCAGGAATAAACCAGATCTAATCCAGGACTAAAGGAGGACTAAACCCTAATCTAAACTAGGACTAAACCAGGACTAAACTAGGTCTAAACCAGATCTAAACCAGCTTTAAACCAGTACTAAAGCATCACTAAAGCAGGACTAAACAAGATCTAAACCAGGACAACACCAGGTCTAAACCACACCTAAACCAGGTCTAAACCAGTACCAAAACCTCTTACCACATACTAGGATCTGCATGTGTAGTTTGCAGATGCCTGATTTGGTTGAACTCTTTACCATTCCCCGTGGCTCTGTCAGATTACACCTGATGCCCCGGTCACAGGAGGTAACTCTGTCTGTGATTTTATGTCTGGTTTCGCAGGTTGTTCATGAGATCAGAAACTACCCGTATCCTCAGCTGCACCTCCTCGCTCTGCAGAGCCTCAACCCCTCCCGCCACGCGTCTGCTGTACGAGAGAGCTACGAGGTGAACGCTGTTTCTGATCTCTCGTCCTCTTTTTCTTCTCTTTCTCTCCTCTTTCTTGCCCCCCTCCCTTTCTTTCTATCTCTCCACCTTTGTATTCCTCCTCATCTCTCCCTTCTCTTTTTCTCTCCTCTCCCTTTCTCCGTTTCTCCCTCTCTCTTCTCTCTCCCTCTCCTCTCTTCTTCCAGCAGTCACGCACGCCACCACACATTCATCACCATTTCTGTGTGACCGATGCTCAGGACATTTTCTTATTTACAGTTTCTGTTCACCAGATGCTTCAGAGCCGCCAGCTGCCTTTAATCTCATACATTTGTGTCTATTTGAGCAAAAGATTTAATTGTTCCTTTCTGTTCGTTTGAGCATTTTTTATTATGAGCACATGCTGTGTTATGTTTGTCAGAGAAGGTATTTACATTTTGAGAAGGGACAGAAAAAATGAATGTTTCCCCTCTCAACGCTGAAAACCCTTTGTAAATCATTTGCGCAGTGTTAAGTAATGAAACAGAACAATAAACCATGTCTCAAATTATGAATTACTATTAATTAGGACTGGACAATTAACTTAATTTACTTAATTAATTAACAAAATAATTAATTAACTTGATTAATTTGTGTTTTAAATAATCGAGGTTTTGAAAAAAAAAAAAAAAAAGCTAAATTGTGAAATCGAGGTTTAAATGTTTTTTTCCAAAAGGTTATTGTGTACAAATGTAATTTTACAATTTCAAACTGATGAGAAATACCTGATGAGAAATACCTGAAAAGAAAATCCATAACTGCAACTCCATATTAAAGGTCCTATATTACACAAAATTTATTGTTGTAAGCTTTAAGTCGTGTTATAATCCTCATCACAAACATACCTGGAGCAGTTTTTCATTTCATTCAAACTTGTTTTAAACACAAACCCTGCATATTTAGGCTGCGTTTTCTCTCAAACAAACAAACCAAAAAAACAACAACTATAATACAGGAAGTTCTCCACTGTGTTTTTAAACTCCATGCACCTTTACTAGAATCATTTGGATAATTTCAACCTTGGAATTTCCAATCTCTACTGAACAGAAGGTAACATTTGAAAATTACTGCATCATGACGTCAGAAAGTGGAAGCATTTTGAGCTTTGAAGATGTGAACAGACTAATAATAAAAAGTTACTCAAACACGTGTGTATAAAATGAAACAGGTTCAACATTCTAACATAGACAAAAGCTCTTGAGAGTCAACTTTGTGTAATTTAAGACCTTTAAAAATCTTAAGAAACAGTCAGTTATCTTGTCGACTACACAAAATAATCGCTTACTAGTCGACTACTACTTCCATAATTATATTTGTGAAGTAAACTGAACCACATAGCAGCCAGTACAGGCTAATTAAATGTAACCAGGCTTTTATATTGAACTGTTTTGATATTTACTTGAAGTCATGTTGCAGAGCCTTTCCCAATTTACAAACTGTCCTTATCTCGGTTTTCCAGGAGCTGCTGCAGCTGGAAGACCGACTCGGCAGCGTCAACCGAGGAGCCGTGCAGACCACCATCGAGAGATTCACCTTCCCCCACAAGTACAAGAAGGTGCCGTACATTTCACACTTTTTAATGAGCTTTTAAAACTAGGGATGGTACAGTATAGATTTTTTGCAAGTTAACATCCAATACTGGTCCTGCTCCTGTGGTCCATAACTGACATTTGCAGATATAAATATCAAGACTTTAAAGGTGCACTATGTAACTTCTAAGATGGAAGGTCTGCTACGAGTTATCTGCCTTGCATTTGTTCACTTACAGGTGTTTTATAGCTAAAATAACGTAAAATACTGTGGAATAATCAAGGCAAAACAATAATAATTCCATGGAGACAAGCAAGTGGCAGACCCTCCAACAGAAAAGTTACACACCTTTAACATCCATAGCAAATACAGAAGACGTGAGTTACTGAATATTGAACTTTAGATGGGCGTGATTGACAGGTGGATCAGCCAATCAGGGATATGCATGGTGTGTCCATATCAAAACAAATACGGCTGCTTATCTGGAAAAAGAAAGTAAACAAAAATATCACAGGGGACTGAAAAACATTGCGAATTTCTGCTGAATCAGTGAGCAAAGCACTAAACTCTGTTAATTTGAAGTGAGAAATAATTTTTGATCACACGCCTCACTGAAAAAAACAAACAACAAATTTGATTGCACATCATGTTTCCTGACTCAAGGCATTTGCGAAGTGAGAAAATGCAATGATAATGATGAAGTTTAAACAATACAAACTTTTTTATCCTTACAATTTAATATATAAAAAGTCCAATGTCTCCCTCCAGAGTCTCATCTCTGCTCCAAACCACATCGACCTCTCAATAAAAAAGACATTGTTGGTGTTTAGAAATGATTACAACGAACTTAGCCCTGAAATATCTAAGAGGAAAATGTACAAATGCTGAACCTGATCATTTCTACAAGAGGCTAGACCCCAGAACTCACTTTATTATAATACAAATGTTCAGTTTAACAATGTTAATTTTATCTGCCCCCATCTGTATGAAATGACATTGACCTCTAGAATGAAGTGTGTGGAAAGTCATATACTTTTGTGCCACATACGGACTGAACCAGGACTGAACCAGGACTAAAACAGGACTAAGACAGGACTAAAACACAACTAAAATAGGACTAAAACATGTCTAAATCAGAACTGAACCAGGATTAAACCAGGACTAAACCAGGTCTACCAGGAACTAAACCAGGACTAAACCGGTCTCAGTCCTGGTCTTGGTCCCGGTCTGGTCCCGGTCTCAGTCCTGGTCTGGTACATGGTCTCAGTCCTAAACCGGGACCAGGACCAGGACTGAGACCAGGACTAAACCAGGACTGAACCAGGAGTATCAGGATGGGCCCAGACGTGCGCCTGCATAGAGTGTCGGGTGATCAGGACTCAAACCAGGACAAGACTGGGATCAGACCAAGACTGAGACTGGGACTGAGCCCAGGACTGAGACTGGTTTAGTCCTGGTTTAGTTCCTGGTAGACCTGGTTTAGTCCTTTGTTTAATCCTGGTTCAGTCCTGGTTTAGTCCATATGTGGCGCAAAAGTCACGGAAAAGGAAAACGTCCGATACCCATTTTTTCCATTATTCATTTAAACACAAAATTGAAAACTGAAAAAACGAATCGTTATCTGTTTTTTCATTTTGGTTTTTGGAGACAAATAGCAAAGAAAATAGTTGTTTTTTCATTATCTTAGTTTTGGTTGTATTTTAAAAAACAAATGAACGAACACAGATTTGTGGAGCCAATCCCAAATGGTTCATGATGAGATTCAACATTTATGGATCACAGACTTGATATTTCTTTCAAAAACAGTGATCTTCCATAGAGTTATATAGACCCCTGCACATTCTACAACATGACCCCTCCGTGATCTATTGTTATTTTCTTCCTATTCCTCAAATACGCTGTTGCACGAGAAGAGGCTGTCTGTCAAGTTGACAAGATCAGAGCATCTACCCACTCACAGGTTCAAAGGTCAAACTCATTTCTGTTGGCAAGCTGGTCTGCACTCGAGATGAGTCATGCAGTCTGTGGATATGTATGCTCGAAGATTTCAAAAGCACCACAATGTGACCTAAATAGTCCAGGAAGGATGTGTCAGATCATTTGTGAGTGAGGAAAAATGATTGAGTCGGTAATATCCAACCACAAATAATTCTTTCTCACAGGGATTGTTGATTATTCCGTTCTCATTTCAAAATACCCGTGGCGTAAACAGACTCGAAATCCACCCCTGCATAACGCGAGCTAATAATTTCTCATTTTTGTCATTATTTTTTGCAGAGAATACCCCAAGACCTGAAAATGTGTTTGGACGATGAAGAATTGGACACTGATGAGAAGTGCACTATTTGTTTGTCAATGCTGGAGGATGGAGAGGATGTGAGGTACGCATAATTAATCACCAAAATTGGGTTTTCCAAATGCGTCACCGCTGAATTCTTTGCATAATGGGTCAGTTTGCAGTAATATATTTTTAGTTTTCAAGGCTTTCCATTTCCTATTTATCCATGCGTTTCAGAATGATACAGAATTAGGACCGTTGCCATAGCGATTAACGATTTAACACTAAATATTACTACTTTTAATGGGAAAAACTCAAAATGCTGGATATAACAGGAAGTTGAAACCCATGAATAAATGCCATTTTGAAGACTTTTGATCATTCAAAAAATAGGTTTTGTTTTAGAAATTTCAATTACAATAGCAGTGGTTCTAATTTTTATCACCCAGAAACCCATAGATTTGATACAGAAATTTGAAGTGTTGGCTGTGGGAACCGGATGGAAAGTCCCGCTGGCTGGAAAGTCCCCCTGAATTGCACCCTTTATGGAACTAAATTAATCTATATACATATATTAAAAAAAACAACATTGTAGACACAGAAGTTACAATATATCTCTACACATTTGTTCATACATTAAAAAAAACGTGCAAAAATTATGTGGTCTCAACTGTGCCTCAACTATTTCAGGATTTTGTCTTACATATTTCAATTAGATACTTAGTTAAGACCTTCCTAAAAGTGATTCTGAATGATTTTTGGACAAATTCTGTTTCTTGTGTTGTGCTGCTTATTAATTATGTTCATGGCAGGTAAGGAAATAATTCATATTTCTTCCCAAATCAACAGTTACAGATGTTATGGGACATGGGGAACAAGAAAAAAATGATTTAATATACAATTTCATAGTAAACGTCTGTGAGCAAATGAGGATTATATTGACATTAGAGACTGAAAAACTGTGAGCCGCTTTGGGAAGATCGGTAAAATGACATAAAGCAGGCCTGACATTTGGTCTCGCTACATTCACATTTCATTTTATTATGATATAAAATGCTGATTTTCTAACTCAATACATCACAGTGCGTAACACGGCCAACTAAAGGCCGGCAAAAACATCCCCCCTTTCCCGGGCACAGCAGTTACCTGAGTGCCGCCCAAGAGAAGGTGGCACTCAGAGGGAGGAGGGGGACGTTCGAGCCGGTATTTGTTGCTGTACATTTTCAGGACTTTTAACCAGTCAAAACATATATGCTAATGTTTTGGTTTAGAATTTTCAATTGCTACGGCACCGGTTCTAATTTTCATCACTCTGAAACCGATCGATTTGATCCACAAATTTGCAAATTGAATCTTAGAGCTTGAATTCTTGTTCGTGTATCTGTGTTTAGGGCAATTAATGGAATTTAAACTGAACTGAGAGATCCAGTATTTTTCAGATAACATTAATGATTAGTTAAGTAAGCATTAAGCGAGAAGGAGCCGCGTGTTAAAACTGCAGAAAGCTCGAATCCAAGCTGTTAAATGCGCTTATAACACGACTACCAATTGACATGTCTCACCTGTGAGTTTGAAAAGCCTATTCAGTGTCTGTAAATGTCTCAAATAGGCAATCATTTGTTTCAGTGTTATAAATGAAGCTGTTTTATGAAGTCATTTGATGTCAGGGCAGTGGCCACAGAGCAGTGATATACAGTAAAATGTGATTTCACTGTTGCTGGATGACTTATACTATTGACTAGCTCTACCTTTCTTTCAATAATGCCCCTTCTTTTTAACATTATAGTGAAAAAAAATCTATTTAAATTTTGGTGACTGTTTACTTTTTAAAAAACTTTTTACTTTGTCCAGTTGATGTTTCATGTATATTGGCTCAGTAATTATATATACACAGAGATATTATACAGCAAACCAAAACATTAGCATTTTGACAGGTTATAACAAGCAAATACTACTATAGCATTCTAACCTCACCACCTCAATTTTAAACTATGGACAGTGTTTTGAATGTTGTGATGCCACGAAAACCCAACCTATTATCCAGGAAAATTGAGTTTTTTGATGAATTCTTTGCTCAGTTTTGTGTGGGGAGAATTATGAAAGCTGTCTTATTTGTGCTCAGTGAGAGTCTGGTGGAGCTTTGGCACTGACTCCATAGAATGTCTCATTTTTTCACAGTTTGTTTTGTCGAGCAGCTCCCACAATGCAATGCTTTGACACGGCGCTGTTACACGACTGAAGGGAGGCAGTTGGTCAAAAGCAGAATAATTGTGTCCTCGAAAACAATTCAAATTCAGTGGTGTCTGCTTTTCTGTTTTTGTAGCTCTGAGATAGCATTTACCTCTTCTCATGTTTTGCTGGTTGGTGTGAGAAGCCATAGGGGTTGTTTATATAACAACAAACTTTTATTTTTCTGTTATATTATATTTCTATTTTTACTACTGATATTTTGCAGCTGATATCATTAACGTTCCCTGGGGGTGTGATGCTAACTTTAGGCTCTGCTTTGTTTTAACACAATCTGGCCACAAAGAACTGACTTTTACTGCTGGAATTACTACAGGGCAACTGATTGGGGTCCGTCGCCTATTCCGACATCCCTTCATTACAACATGTCGTTATTTAGACGCGCCAGTTTTCCGACACTTTTTAGTATCACTATTCCGATATGTCTTTTTTTTTTTTTTTTTTTTTTTTTTTTTGAGAGCTGTGATATTCTGCCCAGGTGCATCATCTCATTGAGCTGGCGCAATTAACTTCGATGGTTATTTATTTAAGCCGATTGAAGCACAAAGGGCCGGTGCAGTCTTCGTTTTAGATTTGATATTTTCCCTAAGGTTGACCTATGCTCTTTTTAAAATGCATGACTGTTTCCCACGGTGATCAGTTAGGACATTTACCCACTGTCTGATATCCTTTGTGGCTGAAGTATTCCCTGATTAATTGCTTAGCACCCAGCCAGACTGGCGCCGCCTAGTGCTTCTGCTCTCTCCAGTGATTAGGTCAGGAATTGGAATACACTAGACTATTTGCAAAAACCCCAGAAGTTGTAGACCGCGCACCGGCCATTCAACAAAGAGCTGTGAAACCATGACTTCAAGTGCCTGTCTGGGTCCCTTTTGTGGTATAGCACAACAGTAAACAAAGCGGTCGAGATGGATGTAGATGAAGCCATACATACTGTGTTGGCAACCATTCCCGAGATCAAGGATTTAAAGCCAGAACAATATTTGGTGAATTTTATCAAGGGGAAAGACATTATTGCCCTTCTTCTATGGGATTTGGCGCATTACATATGTCACGACCAAATAGCAGCAATTGGTTAAATAAAAAAGTAGCCGCCTACCACCTTGCAAACAAATCCTAATGCTGCAAGGTCAGACGGTTTCCATGAAGTGAAACTGGCTGATGAATCAGGCTACTTTGCACCGGCCCAAGCATCTGATGATATATAGGAGCTCAAAGTACAATAGGCTATTACATCAATATTATTCATGTCAGAAAAGCAGAATGTTGTTGCTACTCCGACAATGGAAAAAAATAAAACGTCAAAGTAGTGTGACACTTGAAAATTAATGTTTATGTCGCTACTCCGACAATTAGATGTCAATGTCTAAGTAGCGACATGTTGAAATAGCAGCAAAATTACTGTCACAAGCATTGACCAACATTTTTTTTGTTAGGTATCTGTATGAAATACTATTACATTTTACAATGTTAGCTCAAATTGTACAACCCAATTAGATAAAATGACTGCCCTTGGCTGTTGCTTCCTTGTGGTTGTCACTCATCAAAAAACCCTATAAAAAGTATAGGTAATATGACTTGGGCTTATTTTATCCGAACCAGAATAATAAAGGTCAGGTAGAGGCCCTCTAGCTAAGCCAGTAATTGGTCTGACAGTTAGACCTGTTGCTATAAAAGAAATTATTATTATTATATGTATGTGGCAAAATTAACACTGTAAAAATTAAACAAATAATAAAACGTTATCTGTGTGTTTCTGTGTTCCAGGAGATTACCCTGCATGCATCTCTTCCACCAGGCCTGTGTGGACCAGTGGTTGGCTACGAGCAGGAAGTGCCCGATTTGCAGAGTGGACATTGAGACCCAGCTGACGCCCGACAGTTGATAACTCTCCAACTGCTCAGCTGTTTTCTCGGTCGTGTAATTCTCCGTTGCCTCCTGCGGGGGACGCTCTGCCAAAACCTTTCCTCCCTCCCTCTGCATCAGTCTTTGAGCCTGCCTTCGGAGACCGCAGTGACGGAGGGGTGAACATAAGCACACTAACTACAACACAACGGGATGGGCGTGGTCAGTCGTTGAGGGGCGGGGCTAGGGGGCGGAGCAGGTCAGATGATGGACAGATGTGCTGAGGCTCTTGATTATTATGAACACTACCTTTGCTATCAAATGCCCTGCTCTCGTGCTTTTTAAAGGTGCACTGTGTAACCTTTCTACTGGGAGGTCCAGTGCCTGCTTTGGCTGGAATGTTCCGCAGTACAGTGTTGAACTTACCTTGCATTTATTCAATTAAAGGTGTTTTTATATCTTAGAAACTACCTTAAAACATGCGTTCTTACTATGAGCATGGTCGCCTTAGCCTAGTGGCATCACCTGCTTTTCTCTATGGAGTTTAATGCTATTTTCTTTGCAAATAATTAACATCTCTATGGAGTGAAGCAGGTGGCAGACCCTTTACCATAAAAGTTGCGCAGTGTACCTTTAAGGCCATTTCTCTGCCACTAACCTTGACCCACTGAGCCTGTGAAACTCCTTTAAGCTGCACTCTGCCTGAGCCCTCAGCACATCTGTACAGACGTATATCCAATGATTAGCATGAGGTTGTTTGGTGTGACTCTTGTAGCTGAACGCTCGTGGTGTTATGGACTATAGTACTGACTAAGTATTTACTGAGTAACAGTGTTGTGTAGCAAGCAAATGCCTTTGCTTTTCCGTTCGTGATAAAATAATACTAAAGGGTGACATACAGCTGTAACAGTGACAATATTCAGTGTGGTGAATCTTCATAGGCAATGAGGAAAACGTTATATTTTAAAAAAAGCCAAAAATCCCTCGTTGTCGTCTATAACATGGTGTTTGGATTTCCAGTTAGTAGCCGTGAGAGGTGATGCTAACGCGCTAACTGCAGGCATGGCTTCAGTGTTGTGTCGTAGATGGGCCTTGCTGAGCTAGAGCAGAGGCCAGATGTGCATGCTGTACGGCAGGCTTGGGCTGTGTTGTCATTGTGGAGCAGTAGAAACAGGGACTATGTCTGTGCATGTGAACCATATAAAAGTGAAGAGCTCATCCATTCACAGAGAAGGACCAGAATGCACCTGCCTCCCCTCAGTCCCCCTCCCTCCTCCAGACTCATCTCCAGATAGAAGTGGGTGATATTGAGAAAAAATTTGATATTTTTTGGCTTTATTTCAACAATATTCAGGCGATGTTTTAACAATGCATCAGGAATGTGCTAAAATGTGCCTGTAACTTAGTCACATAAAAGGAGAAATGTTACCTTATTTGGGAGATTTTCTGTCCCTTACTACTTCATTAATTATATACAATTTACTCAATATACTATTTTTGTATATCTAGGAAACAACAATTGCGATATTATCAAGTTTTCGATATATCTCCCACCTCTGCCTCCAGACTAACGTTGCTCTGAGACGCAGATCTGATGCCACACTGCGAAAAGCAAAATCTACCTATGTTAAAATGACCTGAATTAAGAAACTGTATCTTTATTTGAGTAAATTAAGAACACTTTGCACTTAAAGTTTCTCTGTGTAACTTTTCTGATGGAGTTTTCCACCAGCTTGTTTCCATGGAGATTGTGCTGCTTTGCCTGTAATGTTCCACAATTACTATATAACTATATCCATCTTGCTTTTTTTTTTTTTAATTACAGATGTTTAGCTTGCTTCTCTCCATAGAGATAGACAAGTTTTAATGTTATACGGTGGAGCATCCTAGGCAAACGTGTAACATCTCCATGGAGACAAGCAAAGTTACATAGTGCACCTTTAAAATTTGTAATAATTTGTAACTTGAATGAACAAAATACCTTTCATGATAATTTAAAGTGTCAAATCAAATCTACTCAAATCAAGTCAAAAGTTTTTTATTTAAGTAATTTTAATTTGCCTAGATACTACTTTTTGCAGTGCAGTGGAGCTCCTCTCTTAAATATGAGAGCTCGGGTTTGCTCTGCGGCTCACAGCAACTCCTCCTTGGCCTCTTCATGGCATTATCGCCATGGCGACGCAGTGCCAGTGTCCTGCCATCACAACAGATCAAAGCCGACATTTCTATATTACCAGAACCTTATTGCCTATTGAACAAGCAAGCACATGTAATTTCTATGAACCGCGAATCGCCTCTGTGTATCCTTTTCATTTCAATTTTTGGTACCACTTTTTAATTATTACACCTTAATTAGTGTTAAGAAAGCATGAACACAAACTTAATCCATAATGAACAAATGGGTTATCAAGTTTAATTACTTTAAAGTATATAGTATTTAGTGATGGGCAACACTAATGAAAAAAAATAAATAAATAAATAAAACTTTAATTCACTATAAAGAATTTTACCTTGCCATATATGAAGCCATCATTATCTTTGCCCACCCCAACTTGATCTGGTCTAAAAATACATTTAAATAAACATTATACTTTTTAAAATGCCCGAAACTGATTAAAAAAACTGCAGTTTTCAATATTTTTTGCCCAAGAATCGATACTTTTCCAATACCTCAGTCAGTATCAATATATCAACATTTGTCAATCTGCCTTTTACTGGTATCACTGTTAATAAACTATTTGTTCATTATTATTTAGGTCTTTGCTCATGCTTTATTAAGGCTATTAAAAGTGTAATTATTATAAAATGTTACCTAATATTGGTTGCTCCCACTGTGTCTGGTGTTACAGGGAAAAACTTGTCTGCCTGTGATCTGTGCTAGAATACGTATGATTGTCTCCCCTCTTATGGTAGTAGTATGGTACTGCTAGAACAACTGTGAAATGTTCAGTGCTAGAAGCCGTTTTCTATTTATCATGCATGAACCATGTTGGCGTAGTTCGCTTGAAGAGTGTGAAAGGGAGAAAAAGCCATCCATTTGAAAAATACCAAACAAACGTTCTTAACATTTATTTTAAAACATGATTTCAATGTCTTTTTGCCACTTTTTTGTTTCTTCTTTTCTTTTTTTATGTGTAATGTCTGTTTTATTTTTTGCTCACATGCCAATCTGGACATGGTACTAGATGCCGAGTCCCTGTCCGTTTAACCATAGTGAAGAAAACGTTGCAATGCTGCAGATTAATGTTGTTCTAATGTAGCTTGTGTTTGTAATGCACTATAATATGGAGTTGCCTGATTTGGGTTTGGTGGCGTGGGTCCCTCTTGTCCTGGGGTTTGTGTTATGTTCAGTTAAAGTATTTTCATGCTTTCTTGTGTATTTTTGGAGGGTGACTTGACTGTTTGTGTTGCTTTTTCTTTTGTATTAAACCTCCATCCAAAAAATTACAGATGGATGACAATGGAGGTTTGCTAGTTCACATAGAATGCTGTGATTAAAGATGCCTTAAGTATTTAACAATCATTATTTATTACTAACTGTAGCTAGCTAGCTATTGTGGTGGAATATTTAATGTCTCTATCTCATAACTTTGCAATTTAATCAATATATTTATTTAGAATAACACAAAATATAAAAAAAACTATACCTCATTATGCATTGGTCGGTGGGGATGCTTTTGCATGCCGTTTGTGTTTTCTTTTCCGAGGAGAAAAAAGAAACTTGTGGAGAATGAATCAGGTTTGTTCCTGGTTCATTGTCTCTTCAGCACGGTGCTGTTGATTCTGGATGACATTCCATTCATTCACTTTTTAATTACATCGCTGCTTTAAAGTGCATAAGACAGGTTAGACGCAACATTAACATAATTAGATTTAAGATTTATGCTGAACCTTTTTAACCAAATTTCCCCTCCAAAATATATGCCAATTTTGTTACGTGAATGCTTAAAAGGTGTGTTAAATGTGTGTGTCATATAGATTGAATTATGTGTTTCCTAGCATGTTTTGACTTAATTTTTCTGTTTACCTTATCTTCTTTAAAACTAAGATAAAATTAACCACAGGTACTATCCTACCAAACCAAGTAATAATAATGAGAAAACATACAAACCTGTCCTATGCACTTTCCCCAAAGCAGAGTACGGGCTCTGAGCTCCTCATGTGGCTCTATAATTCACATGCTGACATTTACATTATTTACTGTTACCGCGTTTTATTTCGTTTGTTTTTAGTACTCAATCATATCTAAATATCAATTGAATTCTTCTTGCTTTAGGTCCCACACAATGTGCTGTATAATCTGTTCTTATGTATTGCTGGCAAATGCTTTGTGGGACTTTGGAAAGTATCTAACTTGCTAACTTGAGCCATTGATTATTGAGCAAATTTCTGGTGTACTGTGGTTATACAATATAGATAGCGTGTTTTCCACTTGGGTATAATAAGCTACTGTTTTGGTGTGCATTTCTTATTAATACTCTACTAATCCTGCAAAACGTGTAGAATTGGAATGACGCTGGCTGGTCTTACTTTCTCTGATTTGATTTTGTGCTCTCACTGGCCTTACCCATGTCCTCCACAGTGTAACCATAGCTCCAGAGCATCCTGGACAGTAGCCATAGTATTAACTCAAGCTGATGAACCGGAATGAACAGTAGAACTTAAAGCACAAGCTTTTTAATGCATGTCCTTCTCAGGTTTTCCTATGTGTATGTGGGAGTAGCTCTGTAGACGTGTTTCATATGATGCTGTACCTTCTTGAATATTTCAGATGTTTCTTTGCTGCTGAAAAAATGTTGATTATTAAAGGTGCATTGTGTAACTTTTCTGGTTGGGGGTCTGTCACCTGCTTGTTTCTATGGATCTCATTGCTCTGCTTGAAATGTTCCACAGTATGACATGAAACAGCTCTACCTTACAGTTATTCTATTATAGGTGGATTTTTTGCTCAAAAATACTTTATAAAACAGATATTCTCTCTACAGATCTGACTTGTAACTTGGTCTAGTTTGGTCACCATAAAAAGAGAAAGGTTTAATGCCATACTGTGATATATTCCAGACAAAGCAACAACATCTCCATGGAGGAAAGCATCTGATGGACCCTCCACCAGAAAAATTACACAATGTAGCTTTAACCTGCCAGTGAAAAGGGAAGTGGCCATCTTTGTACAACACACTGCTGTTTTGCTGTAACCGCGCAATGTTTTATGATCTTGAGTATTTTATAGAGAAGTAGAAGTATGTATCAATAATATGAAAGCAATAGCTAAATCATAATGAAGAATAACATGATCAGTGAATATTGTGGAAAATCTTTAGATTCACTCTGGGTGGATTTTGTACTGTATTTATTACTAATGATGATGCAAAAAGTTGCATAGCTTAATCCAAACTGTTCTGTCTCTTTTTTATTTATTGTCTTGTATATGATCTTTTTGTATGTGTTTTTCAAATAAACTGCCTAAAATGCTGACAACTAATGTGGATGTGTACATGTGTGCTCATTTAAAAGTATGAATATGAAACGTTTCTCAGATTATTTACTATAGATATTTCCTCATAATTCATTTTTAAAGGTCCTATGTTATGCAAAATTTAAGCCATGTTATAATGTTGTAACCTCATCAAAAACATATCTGGAGCCATGTTTTGTTTCATTCACATGTTTGATTAATCCTTTATAATTAGACTGTCTATATCTCCAAATCTCAAAATGCTCTGTTCCACCTTGTGATGTCATGAAGTGGTGGTATTCAAATTAACGGTTACTTTATACCTTTAGTTCAGTAGAGATTGGCAATTCCAGGACTGAAATCATCCAAGTGATTATAGTGAAGGTGTATGGAGTTTAAAAACACAGTGGAACACTTCCTGACATCACAAGGTGGAACAGAGTGTCTAAATATGCCTAAACATTCAGAATTTGTGTGTTAAATATGCATGAATAAAACAAAAGACAACTCCAGGTATGTTTGTGATGAAGTAACATTATAAAATACATCAAAAAGTAGTGTAATATAGGTCCTTTAATGTTGTGACATAACAAACCAAAGCAAGTCGAAGAGTCAAAATGTAAGTTTATTTGAATATTGTTGTAGAAAGGTTGAGTGCAATTGGCTTTTTCTCCTAAACCAAAACAAATAACTCACTCAAATACAATGTAATTCACAAAAAGTTGGCACTCATAAGGTCCATCACGTAATAAAAAACATACATTCTTAAAAAATTCCAGTTCTGTACATAACATAACATTATAACATTGTTCTGGAGTACAGTTCTCTCTGGATACATCAGTCTGCCTTCTTAGTGTCCAGCCATTTGCCTTAATACAAACATACAACCATACAACTTCATGAAGTCGCTGTTCTGTACAAAACATTAGTGAATTCTTGTTCTAATATCAGAAGTACAGCGTATTGATGGGTTGATCAATACCAAATATTGACATCGATACTAAGTGAGGTATTGTTTCTCATGCAAAAATTATCAGTAATTTAAATTTGTCCAAATATTTTAGTTTTTGAATCAGTTTTAGTAAATTTTTGAAATACAATATTTATATTACTGATTAGAAAGGTGCTTCAGTGGGTCAATTAAAAATCAGGTCAGGTGCTACCTACTTTTCACATTTAAGGACTTTTAGATTAATATAATTAGAGTGCCTATAATTTATTATAGTAAATGAGTATCAATCCATTTTAAGACAAAAGTCTTAGTCAGTGGACCGATATTGTGGTATCGCCCATCACTCCAAAACTTTTATCCAACTGATATTTTGCAGCTGATGGCAACAACATTATCTAGGGGTGTGATGCTAACTGAAAGCACTGCTCTGTTAGAAGCTCTGTTACTCCAGGTGACTTAATCTGAACTTTTTGAGTTAGTCAGTCTCACCTTTTTGTAGAAAATCTAAATCTAAACAGAACCATAAACACTTGTATTGATCATAGGTTCTTGAAAATGTGCTGTTTAAATCAATTTTCAGACAATCTTACAACTTTTTTGGGCAGTGTTTGTTAATTTATGTTATTAGGTTATTTTTTCAGACCAAGAGTTTGTTTTGACACCTGACAGTCTCCTCAGAGTGGTCACATGAGGTGTGCAAGAGCAAAAAAGCCCCCTCCGGTAGGAAGACAGCGCCAAAGCCTGTATAAATCAGCTGACCAGACACGTTACAGCAACATCACGTGACCACTCTGAGGAAGACCGCAGTGAGCAGTCGAAACTGTCAGGTATGAAAACAAACTCTTGGTCTGAAAAAAGAACCTAATTATCAGAAGACCAAACGAACCTCACTGGACTAATGTGTGCATTGTATCCCCATGGTCTGAACATTCCACCATACAGTTACATGCAGAACACCCCCAGCATGATGTTCCTGCAAAGTATCAATAACATTAGTGCATATTTGCTCTAATATCTGGGGTACAGCACTCTCTGGATGTGCCCGTCAGCCTTCTTGTTATCTAACCATTTACCGCACATAAAGATCGTGGTTACTGAGTTCGCTGTATTCGTCACCTCCACACACTCTAAGAACCAACCACAGCTCGGTCGACTGTTATCGTGCTCCACTTTAATCCTCAGTAACTCCCCAAGGTCCAGCATCTCCAAAACAAAGCGGTCAGTTTGGCCTCGCTCAAAAAGGTTACGAAACTTCTGGCGGAGATGGCGTTTTCCAGAGTCGCCGTTGACACCGTATAGCGTCATGTAGACGTTAGCGTCTGTCCCTGCCCCCTTCACGTCACCAGTAATGACAATGATCTCGTACTTGACAGGCACCAGGTTACGGACTTTGCTGGCGAAGCTCTCCACTGATTTGTAGCACTCGAATGTTAAGAACTGGTCTTTTTTGGCTGCCAGGGGAATGCGGGCGTCACAGTGGAAAAAATACCTGAACACAACAGAAGGGGTTAATGAGTATATGGCAGGTTAGACAACTTATTTCACCAAAACAGAGCTAACATAATAACTATAAGATTTTAATACAAATCTTTACTAGCTTCTCAACAATTTTGGTTATAACTGAGTAGGCTTGCATCTCCACAAACCTGACTCTGCTACTTTGCCAGGAGCCACCTTCTTGTCTCCATCAAAATAGTGATAATATTCATATATACTGGCATAAACCTTAGCTATCTTAAGGAGAATGTTCTATTTTAACTTTCTATTTCTACGGAATCAAGAGGGTAATTTGCCACCTCCAGAAATTTACAGTGTTGCTTTAAACCATTGTTTCCCAAAGACTCGGTCACAACCCGCAGGCGGGTCAAAAGAGATTTTTTTTGGGGTCGCCTTATCACGATCTGCATGTAGGTCTGCAATATACATATACATACAACTCCGCACACCCCCCTTTTCACTTCTTCTCCGTGCATGGAATCTCCCCGCACCTCCTCACTTTTTCAGCAGAACAGCTTTGCCTAACCATTTTTCTGTGGGAAACACCGATTACTGTTTTTCATTGTTTAAAACTTGAGTACTAATTGTTTTGAGAGACACGATCACTCAGTCAACAATAAAATATCCTCATTAATGTTCAATAATGGCCACTAATTTATTTTGTGATTTACGAATAATGTCTATAGACCTGGGTCATGAAAATTTGTGACTTTTAAAATATGGGTCCCCAGAAAACTTTGGGAAACACTGCTTTAAAGTGTCTGAAAAATGTGCGCCTTATAATAAAAGTGTCCCTGCATTTTGGATGGAATTTTGAGTACTTATGACAAAGATAGAGGTATTCCTTTTTAGAACTCACCACTAGTTCCTGTAATTTAAACTTTTGTTTCACAAACTGCCACTTGACCGATGTAAATATATAAATATTTACCAAAGATACTATCCCACTAAACAAATAAATAATTAGAAAACCTGGCACATGCATTATAATCATTGTGTTTTTTTGAGGTGGACTATCTGTCAAATGCTTGTCTCCATGGAGATGTTATTGCTTTGCCTGGAATGTTTCAGAGTATGGCATTAAACCTTTCTATCATGGAGACCAAACCAGACCAAGTTACAGGTCAGATCTGTGGAGAGGCAAACCCGCTCGCAGTCAGAATACCTGTAAGCCATAAAATCACTTGTACTGGTAATTGAATAAATGTAAGGTAGATCTGTTTAATATCATGCGTTAATATTCGAAGCAGAGATGTGACCTGAAACAAGCAGGTGATGGACTCCCAATCAAAAAGTTACACAGTGCACATTTAAATGTCAGATCAGTTTGACTTTGTTTTGAATACTCACTTGTTCCCCAGCTCCTTCTCGGTCACCACTACCTCCATAACATGCCAGAAGCTTTCGCCCTTGGGCTTCTTGCCATCTTTTGTGATATGGCCCAGACAGATACCAGCTATTTCTCCGACATGTTTGGATGAAAACTCAAATGTATCTGTAGCACCACTGTAAAGAGCAGAAAGTTAGCATAGTTAGCTCCTGAATAATTAACGCACTGGTTTAAGATATCTTTTATGTCTCTTGGGGTTAGCTCTCCTGGGAGTTTAGACTGGAGGAAGTGAAAGTGAGACAAGATAAAAGAATAGAGAAAAACAAAACGCGAGGAGGGGAGATTACGTAAACTCCACAAAGAGATTTTATAACAATAGCTGCACCTAGACTGTCTGCAGACCCACCATAGGAACTTTTTCTTCTTGTTCTCCAGCACAAACTCTTTGGAGCGAGCTTTTCTGCCCTCCAACACGACAAAGGCATTTTCGGGGGTCGAGGCATCGTCTGTGTTTGCGGTTGTTGTGGCAATTTCATATTCTGTGGAAGGAGAGACAATAGATTTTTATTATTTTTATCATTATATAAGCTTTAAAGGGCTCATATCACTCTATTCTCTGATCTATGTTATAATGTTGTATCCTCATCAAATACATATGTGGAGTTGTGTTTTGTTTCATTCAAACAACTCATAAATACTGCATATTTAGGCTGAGTTCTTCTCTCAAACTGAAAACACAAGAGTAGGTTTTTGATGAGGCAGCAACATTACTGTGTAAAATAGTCAGTTTTGCATAAAATAAGACCTTTAATATGGCCACAATCTAAAATATTACAGTTACTTTCTTTTTTTTAATTCTAATCGTCTAGATAAGGTTGTTTTTTGCATATATTTCCCACTAATACTCATGATTGGTGAATATGTCCATTTTCAAATTAACTGCAAATGTAATTTTTCCATTTTATATGTATACCCAGCCCTTGATAATTGGTTAATTTATCTGCAGCTTATTAGCTACTGTCAAAAATACACTGAAATTCATATAATGTTTTCATTGCAGGAGCTGACAGTAGCTTTTTAAAGGGTCTATATTGGGCAATTTTGACTTTTGTGAGCTTCTAGTCATGTTATAATGTTGTTACGTTCCTCAAAAACATGCTCAAAGTTGTGTTTCATTCACACATGTTTGAGTAGTGGTAGTTTTCAAGTTAACAGTTACCTTTTACCTTTTGTTCAGTAGAAATACAAAATTCCACGGGTGAAATTATCCAAATGATTCTAGTGAAGGTTTATGTAGTTTACCACATGACATCACAAGAATGAAAGAAGTGTCTAAATATGCAGGATTTGTGTGTTAAACATGTGTGAATGAAACAAACCACAACTTCAAGTATGATTTGGATGATCAGAAAGCAGCGTAATATGGGACCTTTCAACTATAATTTCTGGACACATGGTTGTACTCACTGGTCTTGTCACTGAGGTCGATGGAGTCATTGTTGGCACATGCCAGCTCCCTCATGATCTGCCCGTCATCTTCATTTTTGGCGAGCCAGCGGTCACATGGAAATCTGAAGGTCTGGTCCATGGTCTCGTCTTTGACATCGACATACTCCAGATGCCAGCCCGGAGCGGGGCCTGTTCAAAGCACAGCACTGAGTGTGAAAACAGAACAAGAACACGGAGTGATGGATCACTGTCAGGGGGGTGGAACAGGCAGAGGCAAGGGAGGTTCAAGATCTCAAGAAATTTAAAAGATTTTTTATTGTCATTGTCATAGAAAACAACTAAATTGCATTTAGAGTATTTTGATGTAAAGTGTAATACCAAAGATGCAAGACTCCATCCAGTAACCCCATAAATGACCTCAGTGTAAACATGAGCACAAAAATGACCTTCACTGTAGCACATACTCTATGTAATAAACAGCGACAGTGACAGCAGCAACAGAAAAGGCGTATCAGCATTCAAGTACATCACAGGGACACACAATCAGACATGTGGATTTTTATGTCATTATGCAACAAAGCAAAGTCCAGTCCACTGTTATTGTTATTGGACAAAGTAGACTTTGCCTGTGCTCTATATCACCCCTGATAACTCTTTTTTCAAACTTTATTTTAGATGAAACTGTAAAAAAAAATTATATTGTAAGTTTTTATGTGTGTACAAGTGCTCATGACGTAGGAGCACATCTTCAGTTTATAATTTTCTGGTAGAGGGTCCGCCACCTACTTGACCCCATTTAGATGTTATATTTTTTTTCGTCTGTCATGTTCTACAGTATGGCATTTCATTTAACTATCTCCATGGAGACAAGCAGACCACATCACCAGGCCAAGTTACAGGTCAGATCTATGGAGAAGTGGGCCTGCTCACAGTAATAATGTACACTATGCGGTAGTTGTGAGAAATACCAACAACCATAATTAAATGAATACAAGATATATTTGCTTCATGCCATACTGTGGAACATCCCAGGCAAAGCAATCACATCATCATAAGAAAAGAAAATGGCACCACCAAAAAACTTAGATAGTGCACCTCTAATAAAGATTGACTTGAATACTAATTTGTTTGTAAAAGTGTGTTATAAATGAAGCCCCCTGGTCTTTTTAGCTAACTGAATGCCAGACACAGACACACACAGATTTCTCACCCTTGTTGTCGTGCCACACTCGGACCTTGGACAGCTCCCCCAGACTGAGCATGTCTGGAAATCTGAACACGTCTTTGCCTTTTCGCTCAAACTTGTTTCTGTTGGTGCTTTCCTTCAGAGGCAGAGTCCCCGTGTCTCCGTACTCCCCAAACATGATCAGGAACACATTGGCATCTGTTCCAGCCCCTGCAAGATTGAAATGCATAAATTAGCCATAAAGTCACTAGACCAAATGCTTTAGATTAGTGGTCCTGAACCTTTTTTGCGCCATGGACCGGTTTTATGTCCGTGTGGGGAGGGGGGGTATAGAAGGAAGCACGGTGCATGTGGCGTATGGAAAAAGGCGCAGTCCTGGTGACATAGCTTAGTCCTGGTTAAATCCTGTTTAGTCTTGGTTTTAGACCTGGTTTAGTCCTGGTTTAGTCCTGGCTTAGTCCTGGGTTTAGACCTGATTTAGTCCTGGTTTAGACCTGGTTTAGTTCTGGAGTACGGGAGGAAGTGCGGTCCATGCGGCGTACAGGAGGAAGTGCGGTCCACTCGGTAGAAGGGAGGAGGTGCGGTTAAAGCAGTGTACGCGAGAATACATGGTCCATGCTGCGCGCAGCTGTATGGGGGGTTTGCGCTTTCGCAGCCGAGTAGCAAACGACCCACGGCTCCATACCGGTCCGCAGCCTGGGGGTTGTGTGTGAAAACCATAGACTTTATAATGAAGTGGACTAAGCGAGCGTGACGTCACCCATAGCATTCGGTTCCAGTCAAATGAAGCTTCCGATGCTAGAGGTCATAGAAGAGAATTTGGAGGCTCGATATTATGAATAGGATTTTTTAAACAAACAAAATACCAAAATAAAAACACCAGGATCATGTAGAGTGGGCTAATACAGGCATTTTAACACCAAAATGATGAGGCTTGCTGCAGCAGATACAGAGAGAGGGATGCCAATATTCAAGCCAATGGGATCCAGGGTCAGTAGGAGCCGAAGTGCAAACTTTCTATTGAGAACTTGCTAGCTAGTGTGTTAGCTATGTCTATTTCTATATACAGTCTATGGTTTGTTTCCCTCTTTGCTATGCATTTATTTATCAACAACTACAGAAGAAAAAACTATATTTCAATCAATATATAAATATAATCTGTCAGAAATTCACCATTTATGTCTATATTTTAGTTTTAATATCATTGAAATTATAATTTTAAGTCTTAAAATACGGGAATAATATCAATATTGCAGTAATTAACAGCTATAGTTGTTTCAGTAATTTTGTAAAACTCACCACCGACGTCACTGGTTTGAACTTGAATGGTGTAAGTTGTGCTCTCCACCATCTCTTCTTCATCCACTGTGGCAGGAAGCTCACAGACCTTGGTCCTCTTTGGTCCTTTGGTCTTCGATAACCAGTTTTCATAAGTGAACTCATACAGCTCCTCAGTAGTTAGGTTTTTCAGCATAATCTGAAATATGCAGTATATAGGACACTGTGATGTAAAAGAGATTATTATAAACAAAACTGATATTAGCTTTTTAATCTTACCTTATCGAGAAACCAATCAGGGCGACTTCCTGTTCCATCTATTCGAACTCTGATCTTCTTCAGAGGAGCAATGTCATCGATTTCTATGCTAAAAGAGTCTTCCTGGTCTCTTTCAAACCTTTATAAAAATAAGTAACATTAAAGATAACATATTGTGATATTTGGTATTAAACTAAAGTCACACATGCACCCACAATATTGATCTAAAGTAAAACTCTGCTGCTGAACTCTTTACAGTGAAAAGCCATTGGTTTTCATTAACACTGTTTTGAACATTTCTGTATGACCTGTAGTCTGTGCTTTTTTAATAATCAGGGGGAAGGTGAAAACAGAGATTTTCCAGGCTCTCAGTCCTCAAACACAGCACAACACGGTATTACATGCACGAATCAATCAAAATACAACTCTGAGCAAGATAATGATGAGGAGACAACAAACATGGTTAAAAGTTGAAAAAAGTGAAATATGAATCCTTTAAAACAGTGAAGATCCAAAGACGATAAAGAGATAAAAATACTATTCAACAAACCTGTCTCCATTTTTGGGCAGCAGCATCTCCTCTGTGCTGCCGTTGGCTCCGTACACACTCAGAAATATGTTTGTGTCTGTCCCTGCATACTGAGTGTCACCTGTCACAACTGTGGCTGTGTACACCACCTACAAACCAGAGGAGAGAGAAGTCTGTTTGTTATGAACCATATCAAATAAAAAAAAAGAATAGTTTTAGAACAATCTTGACCCCAGGACTGGTATGAACACATGGAGTTAAAAGTATTATTTTGTGTTGGAAATTGGATTCTATTGCATAAAAAGAGAATTTGAAAATATTGTGGTATCTAAATCTGCATCTAATCTGAAGCATGTGTGTTTATAACGTTAAACGGCCTATATTATGTTATTTTGTCATCTGTTATAATGTTGTTTCCTCATCAAAATTATGCCTGGAGTTAAGGTTTGTTCCATTCACACATGTTTAACACACACACCCTGCATATTCAGGTTGAGTTCTTCTCTCAAATAGAAAACACAATGACGTCATGCGGTAATACAGGAAGTGCTCCACTGTGTTTTTAAACTCCATACATCTTCTCTAAAATCATTTGGATAATTTGATCAAGTTTTAGAATTGCTAAACTCTTCTAAAGTAAAGGTAAAAGGCAGAGGTCTGCGTGGGACAGAATTTTCAGTCCCGCTCCTGCCCATGCGTGCAAAGAAATGTAATTTTCATTCCCGCTCCCACCCACATCTGCAATATTTTGTCCCACTCCCGCCTGCAAATGCAATATGGGGACGTTTGCTTTCTTAAGCTCTATCAAACACGGAGAAGCGGAAAGAAACTGTCTAAAATGTGCGCAAGATTAGACCACGTTCGCAAATTTAGGCTGCTTAAATTGTTTTTATTAATGCCAAATAAAATATCCAGCTCAAATGATGTATGATAGGCACATATTAATCATTTGTATATTTTACTTTACACTCATATTCAGTTTTTGGGACTGCAGTTTTTCATCCCACCCGTCCGCTCCTGTATTGTGCAGTCCCGCTCCTGTCTCCATGTGCAATGTGCTTTCAAAATGTGTCCCACGCCGCACTGTTTTTTGTTGGGTCCACGAGTGCAGGACTTTGGTAAAAGGTACTACTTCATGATATTACAAGGCAGAATAGAGCATTTTGAGCTTTGGAGATGTAAACAGACTAATAATGACTCAAACATGTGGGAATGAAACAAAACTCAACTCCATGTATGTTTATGAGGAGGCAACAGCATTCTTACATGGCTTAAAGCTCACAAGTGTGAATTTTGCTTAATATAGGACCTCTAACATTTCATTTTAATACAAATCTATCTGCTTTTTCTGATGTTTTCTCGTGTTACACATTTATTTATTTATTTATTTACTGATTTCATAGGAACAGAGCCTATCCTGGTGGTGACTCACTTTGCGGTTGATGTTGATGGTGCTGGAGTCCAACACATTGAAGAGTCTGGCAGTGAGTCCGTCTCCTCTGTCTTTGGCCAGCCAGCACTTACACGCAAAGATGTACTTGATACCTTTGGTTGGCACGGCAACCGCCAGCTCATCCACCAACCAGCAGCTCTCCGGAGTGAGACCGTTGTGGCCGAGCTGGAAGAGGGAGACAGGGAGAGGGATGAAGAAATGTAGGACAGGAATTATACATATCTGATTTGATTTAGTCCGAGAGAGACAAGATTAATTAACAATTTGATGTCAGATGGAGAGCAAGACCAAGGCCTGTTCTTGTTTATAGGCACCATTTTGAGTACTTTGGGGGTTTTGTATTTTTTCCTCATTGACTGCCCCTTCTTTAAAGAGCACTCTGTTTTTACTATTTTGAATTACCCTTAGGAGGTCCATAAAGCATTCCCTTTTTGCTTTGTTTAAAATGCACAAATATAAAGCGTAGATGTCAAAACCTTATCATTTCTGTCTAAAATGGGTCTACAGATTAACTATATATCTTGTGGCTTAAAGATGCATTATGTAACTTTCTGGTGGAGGGTTATCAACCTTCTTGTCTCCATGGTGATGTTATGTCTTTGCCTGGATTGAACTTATTTATGTCCATGGAGAAAGCAGGTGTCAAAACCAGGGTGACTTGTAACTTGGCCTCGTGGCATCATCTACCAGTACTAGGGATGTAACAATAACCGAAATATCGTGATATCGTATTGTCACAGTTCTCACAATAATATCGTGGGCCATCACAATATATCAAATTACAAGTTTGTTTGCTTAAATTAAGAGTTATGGTGCAGCAACAGCTAAAAAAACAACAGAGGAAACTACATAGACCATGATCCTTTGCTCCATTTCAGTGTAGACTACATGAAGAAATAATAGTTCTAAGCACTTTTAAGTCTTAGTTCTTTGGATTAAGTCTTGTCAAGGCTTTTTAAGAGGAAAAAGTAACACATTAACAGTTTTAGCTGTTCAGCCTCCACAAAATATCGCAATAAATATTGTACCGTGAGATGTATATTGTGAAAATATCATACAGAGGGATTTGGATATTGTTACATTCCTAATCGCAAGCCTCCCCACCATATCGTGAGCATTCCCACGATATCGCAGTAAATATCGTACCGTAAGGTTCATACCATGACATACCCTATCGTGGGGCTATTGTAGGACAGGAAGTTATACATATCTGATTTAAATTTACATATTGTGGTTTAAAGATGCACCATGTAACTATTCTGGTGGTGGGTTCACCATCTATTTGTCTCTTTGGAGATGTTATTCCTTTGTCTGCAATGTTCCACAGTATAGTACTAAATAAAAAAATCTCCATGGAGACAAGCAAATGGTGACACAAGCATGACTTGTAACTTGACCTGATGGCATGACCTTCTTGTCTCCATAGAAAATATAAACTGTGTATATTTGTATAAAACTGTGATTTTTATATTTTATTACTTATCTATTTTATTTTGACTTGTACATTTATATTTATATAATTTATATAATTATGTCTTATTCCACACCTGTCTCTTGCTCTTTTTTTGCTACTTATTTAGAATTTATTATTACCATTTATACTTTAGCTCTTTGTTATTATATTAAATTGTGATGTGTGAGCTACTGTGTCCAAGTAATTTCCCTTGTGGATCAATAAAATGTGTCTAAGTCTAAATAGGCATGTTTAATGCCCTAATGTGGATCAATAAAACAATCAAAAATGTACCCTGCACCAGAAAAGTTACACAGTGCAGCTTTATATTAACTGCACATCCCTAAATCAAAAAGACAGGACCATGCTGTAAAAGAATTTCTAGATATCTGATTTGAATTTGCTCAAGGACTGTCAAAATGAATTATTACTGAGCAGATTTAAAAATTTGATGACGGGTGCGTTTGTGTCGCCAGTTTCATAGGATTCTCACTTCCACTCGTTTGATCTCTCCCACATCGGTGCCGTAGCACACAAAGTGCTCCATGGACCCGGAAGCGAAGCTCTTCTTCCCCTCGGGCAGGTCAAGCCACAAACGCTCTGTCTCTGTGTCATTTGGGCCCAGGATGATGACATAGACCCTGGCTGTGGTGCTGGAGTCGCGTTCAGTGCCAGTGGACAATGTGAAGTGGTATGGGATAACTGAGAACAGAAAAGCGTTTTGTTACTTAAAGGTGCACTATGTAACTTTTTTTTTTTTGGTTGTTTTTATGGATATGTCATTGCTCTGCCTGGAATGTTCCACAGTATGACATTAAACAGCTCTGTCTTACATTTATTCAATTGCAGGTGGTTTTATAGCTCAAAAATACAGAGAGAAACACGGATTCTGAGTTTGGGCATGTGAGGGTTTCATCCTGCTGCTCCTACTCCTCCTTTTCTGCTTCCTCTCCCTTCTCTCCTTACCTTGTTTAGAGTTTCCTGGGCAGATCCCAATTACCCTTACCTGCTGAGCTCCTCTCTTGATCCTCATTCAAACATCTCCTGCCATAAAAGACCTGTTGACCTTCTCTCTAGTGCCAGATTGTTCCGTCATCCAGTGTCGAACTTTTAATCAAGCTTTCTCTATTTTTTGTGAATGTTGAAGATTTTTATGGACTTACCAATTTTCTTTTGTCCATTCTTCAATACCTTCAGATGGAGCCAGCCTCATTACAGTTACCTCAGATTCTGTTAACGTCTGGTCAGTCTGAGCCCCCTAGACTATTTTTGACCTATAACTTGTTGTGGTTTGGTCTCCATGAAGATAGAAAGGTTTAATGCTATACTCTGAAACATTCCAGATGAAGCAATGAAGCAACATCTAAATGGAGTAAAGCTTTGCTGGACTTTCCACCAGATAAGTTACACAATGCACCTTTAAGTAAAAGTACAAATACATAAGCAAAAAAAATACTATACTTATATTAACATCCCATGGAGACAAGCTGTTTCCGTATCAAAAAACTAGAGTTAAATTTTGTTTCACTCACACATCTTCAACACATAAACCCTGCATATTTAGGCTGAGTTCTTTTCTCAAACTGAAAACACTTTGTTCCACCTTGTGATGTCATGTCACAGGAAGAGCTCCACTGTGTTTTGTTAAACTCCAGCCATCCTCACTATAATTCTTTGAATGGTTTTAGCCCTGGAATTGCCAATCTCTTCTGAATAAAAGGTAAAAAATAGCTGTTAACATAAAAACTATTGCTGCATGACATCACAAGGGGGAACAGGGCACTCTGAGAGCATTTTCCTCCATCAGAGCCACTCACTTGGTCCTTCTTCCACCACTGCTGTCTTCTTCTTCTTTTTCTTCTTCTCCTTCTTGTTGGCGTTGCGGTCGAGCCCTAATTTGGCCTGGGCTAGTTTCTTTGTGTTTGGATCCATGTTTCGTTCACCTTCATAGCCCTGGATCAGATGAAACAGACATGTCATTTAAAGCAGCACTATGTAACTTCTCCGATGGAGGGTTCACCGCCTACATGTCTCTGTGAAGATGTTATTGCTTTGCCTCGCTCCAGTGTATGACATTAAACTTATCTTGCATTTATTCAATTACAGGTTGCTAAAATTACCCTGAAAGACATGTAAAATTAATGTGAACAGGGCAAAAACATTTCCATGACAATCAGGTGGTGGTCCCTTCACCAGATAAGTTACACAGTTCACCTTTCATGGCAATATATATTATTTACCAGAAAATTCAAGAATTGCTGTTTTACCTACATGTAAAAATCTATTATTGATGAGGTTGTCTATGATATTAATACAGTCAAGTTTCTACCCAAATAATGTACAAGCTAATGATATTTCTGCACATTTGTGGTTAGTTTTACACCCCACCTCAACCAGTATTATTTTTCATCAGTATCGCCTATCCCTACTTACATTTTATTTTGTTCTGCAGTTTTCGTCTGCATACAAACCTTGACAAAGAAGGTGCGTGCGATTTGTTTGTCTTCTTTCTTCTTGGACAGCCAGCGCTCACACAAAAACATGTAGACCTCCTCAGTCTCTGCATCCAGCACCTCCACCTGGTCCAAGTACCAGCATGCCCCCACACCAGTGTTATCATGGCGGATCAGGATCTTAAACACTTGACCCAGATCTACAGCTTCCATTGTGAACTTGTCCACCTGAAATGCAGAGGGAATGAAAAACAGTCTACATGAGTGCATATACTTACTGCAGTGTTGACAAGCTGTTGTAATACATTTTACAGGCTTGCCTTGTGAACATTCTCAGAAGTACAAACAACAACACTACACATAGGAATTTAGCACTGTTTTACTAGAGCCTTTTTAGATGGAGGTAACAAAATTTTAAGGCCCTAGAGGGTTTTTGATAACTGCCAGGCTGGTGGAAGTTGTAGACCGTGCACTGGCCAATCAGTGAAGAGCTGTGAAGCCATGACATCAAACTCAAGTGCCTGTCTGGGTCCCTTTTGTGGTACAGCACAACAGTAAACAAAGCGGTTGAGATGGATGTAGATGAAGCCGTACATTCTGTGTTGCCAACTATTCCTGAGATCAAGGATTTAAAGCCGGAACAAAGAGAATGTTTGGTGAATTTTATCAAGGAGAAAGACGTTATATGCCCTTCTTCCTACGGGATTTGGTGCATTACATACGTCACAACCAATTAGCAGTGATTGGTTAAATAAAAAAGTACCTGCCTACCGTTGAGCGAATGAATCCTAATGCTGTGAGGTCAGATGATTTCCACAAAGAAAAAACCGGCTGATGAATCAGGCTAGGTTTTCGATAAACATCCTTCACATTCTATTGAATAAATTCTCTGAAGAAGGACAAAATAGTACAATCCCTAACAGTTCCTGAGGTCAATCAATCAAACTTTATTTATAAAGCACTTTTCATACAAAAATGTAACACAAAGTGCTTTACAATGACAAAAAACAATGCCACATTTCCTTCCGCCTATCCAGCCTCCACAGCTGCTTGACCCCACACAACCAAACAACCCAGACACACACACACACACGCACACACATACTAACATCTTAAAATACATAAAACTACACATAGTAAAATGTGAGGCTGAATACAGGCAAACCAGTTGAGAAAGTGCCATCAGAGGAGCCGTCTACACCAGGAACAGAGAGCCATCCGCCGCCACCAGGAACCTCCACAGAGCCCAAGATGTGTCAGATGAGGCCCAGGCACCATCCCCCCACCAGTACACAGGGCCCAGGGGAGAGATGAGGCCCAGGCACCATCCCTCCACCAGGAGCCCATGGGACACACCCCGGCAGCCGCAGCCGACCACCGCTCCTGGTGCAGAGGGCGCCTATAGAGGAAACACTGGAAATCCTAAAAATAATAAAGGAATAGGAGTTCAAGCTAATAGTGCCTAAAAATATATAAATATAGTATAATATGTATAATAAAAACAAGTTAAGTATACAATTTCAACCAAAAGCAAAGCTAAAAAGGTGGATCTTGAGCTTACTCTTAAAAAAAGAACATTCTCTGCAGCCCTGAACTGAGGTGATGAAATCCCTGTGAAGTAACTTAGAAGGTTAAGACTAGTGACTCTTTGGGGTCATCGGTGTTTCAATGATAAACCCACAACACCTCCAGAAGGCTTCTTGGCAACATCTGGCGTCCCAGGTGTGTCCCCCTCTACATAGGACCCCCTTTAGCTCTTCTGCGGCTGTTTACAGGCCTAATTACCATGCCTTCTCTTAATCCAGAGCCACTTAGTAGAATCCTCCACAGCACCTGAGAGAGACTTCATTTTCTGTTGCAAAACTTGTCCTCATATGCCCAGGTCCCTCAGCAGTTTGATCACTGAGTGGCTCACAAACCTTTTCTTATTCTGTATTTTTTACCAAGTGAAAATAAATAAAACTGAACACCTGTTACCCCATGTAACAAACAAAAGACTTTTACTTTAACTTTTGGCACAGTAAGCTTTTATTTTACAAGCAATGTTATTCTCACTGTTTAGCCATTGAGTCTCATTTTAGATTTTTTACAAAGAAAACCCCCTGAAGCTCTCATGCTTTCCTGTGTTTTTCAGAAGAGTACATTGGCAAAAAATTTGACCAAATGATCTCTGCTGTACAGTACCTCTCCTCTCTCAAACTTGTTCTTGTTGGTCTCAGATTTGGCCAGTTTGCGCTCTCCTGTGTCTCCCAGGTCTCCAAAGATCGTAAGAAAAACATTGGCATCGGTTCCAGCTCCAAACATGTCTCCAGTCCGAACAGACACTTTGTAAGAATGAGCTGGAAAAATTAAACAAAGCAAAAAACATATCAGAACAATGTTGGACAGTTTGAACAATATGTAATATATATAATATATAATATCTTATTGTTTAAAGTGTTTTTTTTAATTCATTTTTATTTTGTATAATTATGCCTTTTATAAAATTATCTCTATAAAAATAGCAATATCTTGCTATTTTTGCTCTTTATTTTGAATTTATTATTACCATTTATATTTTTGCTATTTGTTATTATATTTATTGATGTGTGAGCTGCTGTGTCCAAATAATTTCCCTTGTGGATCAATAAAGTTTGAGTCTAGATAGGTATGTTTAATGCCTTAACGTGGATCTAAGTCTAAGTCTATGTCAAACCTCTCTTTGTAAACTTATTTAAGGCTACAAAGACCTGTTAAGGACTATTTTGTGTAGTATATATTGGCAGTAAATAAGAAGGGAATGGCTGAGCGTTCACCCACAAACCTGAAGGTAGACAGTTTGGTCCAACCAGTGCATACTGTTGTGTCCTTGAGTGATGCGTAAGTGATTTATGTTTTTTGAATTTTTATACAGAAGGACACAGAAGGATGAAACAGAAAAGCAATTTTCAGTCTGGCATAGTTTAGAGTGGTAGCGATGGGCCTTTCGGCTTCTTTGTGGGATCCAGATCTTTTTGATCTTTTAGAAGACTGGCTCATTTGACCTATGAACTAATCACAGAATGAAGAGACCAAGATTGAATTAAAATAAATCAAGCTGAGAATGTGAGTGTGTTTACCCTTTAAAAACTGTTATTATGATGCCAAATATGTTTTCAGTGCACAAAATTAGAAAGAAATTAAACTAAATCAGAAAGAAAAACATTCAGTTCTTTTAAAATATTAGATTAAATTCCAACTGTTCATGTTCAGGATCTGTGCAAATTAGAAGGCATAATTGGATAATGGTACACGGTTACATTTTTTATATACTGCTTTTCCACCTTCAAGGCACTCAAACTTTACATCAAGAAACCACTCACCCATCCAAATTAGGACTGCTGTCATATAGGAAAAAGTTGTCATACTATTTCATATAACAGGAAGCCCCTGAATACAAGTATAGCTATTTCCTACCTAGTTAATTAAATTCTTAGAAAACACTAAAAGCTCTTCAGATGCATTTGTTTCACTGAGTAATACTTTTGACGTTTATGAAAACATCTCAAAATAAAAGTACTTTACAAGCATTGAGGACGTACTTTCTAAAGCATCTTCCACTTCGGTCTCTGTGGTTTTCAGTTTTCCGTCTCGGAGCAGTTTTTCTGTGATGATGTCAGAGGGGACCAGCTCTCTCACTGTCTCTCCATCGTCTTCAGATTTAGCCAACCAGCACTCACAGGGAAAAATTGTGGTCTCTGAACCCTGTAATTAAACATAAACAAATGTCCAAACAAGGCACTGATGCATCTAATTAAAAAACTCTAAGCACTCTGTACCACCCGCCCAAAATCATCCATATGAGTCTAGTAATGGTGTATGGAGTTTAAAAACACAGTGGAGCACTACCTGTATTCCCATATGATATCACAAGTTGGAACAGTGTTTTTCCACTTGAAAGAAGAACTCAGCCTAAATATGCAGGATTTGTGTGGTAAACTTGTGTGAATGAAACCAAACACAACTCCAAGTGTGTTTCTGATGAGGAAGCAACATTATGCAGGAACACAGATCAGAAAATAATGTAATATGGACCCTTTAAAACTTTTAAATAGAAGCTTTTGCATATGTGCTCATCTACCTTCCCTTTCCTCAGCTGTCTTCTGATTTCCACTCTGTCCAGATGCCAGCCCGGGTTGGTGCCTCTGTTGTCGTGTCCTATTCTGATCTTTTCTATGACATCGCCCACATCCTCCAACTGTGAAAACACAACAAAATATTTACACAATATTTAGCGAGCTGAAGCCGGCGTCTTAAAGGATCTCGCTCCAAATCTCCCCCATACCTCCACAATAAACATGTCCTCGGCTCCCCTCTCGAAGTAGAGGCGGCGCTCTCTCTTGTTGACGCACAGGTGCTTCTGTTGTGTGCTCACTCCCTTCTGACCGTACAGCGATGAACACGTCTGCGTCCGTCCCGGCCCCAAACACATCACTGGTGAAGATCTTAATTTCATACGGTACGACTGGTAAGAAACAAGACAGTTTTAGGTTACAGGTAAACAAAAAATTATTAAAGTTGCACTGTGTAACTTTTCTGGAAGGGGTCCGCAACCTGCTTGTCTCCATGGAGATGTTAATGCTTTGGTTTAAATTGTTCACAGTATGGCATTAAACTAATCTGTATTGCATTTATTCAACTAGAGGTGTTATTTATTGCTCAAAAAAAAAGTTCTTTCTTACTATGAGTGGGGTCGCTTCTCCACAAATCTAACTTGTAATTTGGTTTGTAAGTCTCCATGGAGATTCATAAGCTTATGGCCATACTGTGGAACATTCTAGACACATCTCCATGGAGACAAGCAGGTTGCAGACCCCTTCCAGTAAGACAGACCCTTAAGCAGACAAGTTATGCAGTGCACCTTTAAAGTAATATTTGCAGGTTTTCATAATTACTTTATAAATAATGTTTTTGTCCTGTTAGGTAAACATCTTCAAAAGGAATATTGATCTTAATAAAAAAACATGTTTAATATTGATTCTGCATTATACTGAGCCACAAGGGCAGTATTCCTCAAAAGGTGGCACATTAACTATATCATTATCCATGAAAAAAGAACATTTCATGCCATACTGTGGAATATAATAGTCAAAAGAACAACAATTCCATAGAGACAAGAAGAAAGAGGCCCTCATAAAGGCCAGGCTTGTGGAAATGCAAATCTGCTCACAATAAGGATATGTATTTTTCTATGTTTTTCAACTAAAAACATGCTTTTATTTTGGTCTACATTCTGTCTAAATAGAAAAGCTAAAACAAGACACTTTTACACTATTATAAAACAATCTGTAAAATATGTAAGTACTATTAAACTCTTTTTGCATTCAGTCTCATAATCTATTCATCTATTATAATCTATTTATAGCAGAGAAGTCAGTCAGAGTTATTTACATTCAGATTATGCCTCTGATATGCACATATTCAAATACAAACCGCTTTTATTTTCAGTGGCTTATAACTTTAACTTTGATTACATGTGTCATGTTAAAAGTCGACTCTTCACTCACATGGTGTGTAGTATTCTGTCTGTAACTCTGCAGGTAACAGATCTCGTACTATGGCTCCGTCGTCCTCTCCTCTGTCCAGCCACCGTCCACAGGGGAACCGCAGTCTTTGACCTTGGGACGGAGCGTCAATCTCCACCCAGTCCAAGAACCAGCCCGGTGACCCCCCTGCGTGGACAGAATACTGATTAACCCCTGGTAACAGAGCTGAGCGTGTTTAACCTGACAGCACAGTAATAGCAGTGTAATGGGGCGGTATGAGAATGGTGACTGGGATAAGGAGGGATCGATGCATTTTGTAACTCTATTTCCATATTAATGCAAAAAAGTGATATTATAAAAAATACTAGGTAACACATGGACTGTATAAAGAAGTCGACTAAGGGAGTGTGACGTCACCGATAGCATTTGGCTCCAGTAAAATGAAGCTCATTGAGACTAGCAGTTATAGGGGTAAATTTGAAACAGATTTCCATATTAGGAATAGGAACTGATTTACAGACAAAAAGGTGAAATAAAAAAAAAAAAAAAAAAAGGATCATGGAGAGCGGGTTCATACAAATTACATTTTAAGACCAAAATGTCACAGAAAGTAGAGTAATGTTCTTTCAATGCAAAGTCATCTGAAGCCTGAGACTTGATAGTAATTGCGCAATTTGCAACCTTAATAAAGTATGAACAAACACTTAATTCAAAATGAACAAAGAGTTTATTAAGAATGACAAAATAACTACATAATTAAAGTCTTGAGGCGAATTAAGGAGGAGTCATTAAAAAGAGTTATCTCAAATATGACAAAAAATTAATAAATAAAAGTTTCCAGGGAATTGCAGTCTTCATAAGGGGTTAGCACTAATCATATTTCTATTTTATTAATTGTGAATCACCACTCTTAACCTGGTATTTTTTGTTGTCCAAACACTCTACTATACCCAATTTCACATAATAGGTTATAAATAGTAATATTATTTTCATTCTATTCTATTCTGTCTTGTATTTTATATATATTTTAATTTAAATTTTAAGTGTAATCTTGATATTTTGGTATTTTAACGTTCTGTTTTCTTTTACTTTATAGGTCTCTCTCAATCTTAATTTATTTTAGATATTAATTTTTAAATCAAGAGATACTGGACAGGACTCATGAGTTGTGGTGTCATCCCAAAAGAAGTCCTATAACTGTGTAATATTCTCCCAAATAGTTTCCAGATCCCCCAACAGCTTTACCAGATCCTTTATAACAAAAAAAGAAGAGAAAGAGGAATGAGTTTAGTATCAGATTAAGCTTTGTATTTGACTGGATTAGCCTTGTTATGTTGATGTTGCAATATTGATTACTTCATTGTGAGTCTAATAAAGCTCTACTTCTCTTATTAGTTTGAAATTAAGTAGAAGTAGATGTGTCCTGTTTTATTAGGTATTCAGATAAGATAAGCCTTAACTTGGGGCACAATGTGGAAATCACGATGTTGCAACACAAAATTCAAGACTGCAGGAGAATAACAAGCATGTAATCAAAATCAATTATTGTATTAAATACTAATTGTAACAGTAACTTTTCAAGTACTATATTTTTTCAAAACTACTACCATGGCTTTACTGGGCTGTAGGGTTGTCAAAAGCATCGAAAATCTGATACTTGAGCAGGTATCAATACTAAAAAAGTCACATCAACATGACAAAAATGAACATGTCCTGAATTGCTTTAGAATGATTTTAACATAGACTAGTATATGCCCATGGACCACTACGAAACCTACCTGGATGACTGAGGGATTACACAGATATAAGACCACATGATAATATAAAAGAAAGTGTTATTATTTAAAGGGCACATAGTATTCTATTTTTATATTTATGTTATAATGTTGTTTCCCCATCACAAACCCACATAGAGTTTTTGTTTTGTTTCATTTACACAGATTTATCACACAAACCCTCCATGTTTAGGCTGAGCTCTTCTCTAAAACAGAAAACACTCTTTTCCACCTTGTAATGTCATATGGTAATACAGGAAGTGCTCCAGGGTGTTTTAAAACTGCATACACCTTCAGTAGAATCCTTTTGATCATTTCAGCCCTGGATTTGCCAACATCGACTATACAAAAGGTAAAAGGTAATTGTTAACTTGAAAACTACAGCTTCATGGCATGTGTAAATGAAACAAAGCATAATTTCTGACATGTTTTTGATCAATAACAACATCATAATATAGCTTAAAGTTCACAAAAGACAATTTTGTGCAATATAGGGCCTTTAATGTTGAAAATGACATTTTATTGTCTAAAGAAAGAGTGTTTTAATTATCACCGTGGTATTGAAATCGGTATTGACTCCTGAGCATCAAAATCAAGTTTTGAAAATGCGAGTTTTTAAAATTTTAGTATTGAGAGTAACACTGCTGTGCTGTGCAGCTAAATGCTGAAAAACTGTTTATTTTTCTTGCTTGTACCTGAATTGTCATGTCCAATTCTCATCTTCTCCAGGTCGCCCAAGTCCACTGCCTCTACGGTGAACTCATTGACCATCCCCTGCTCAAACTTGTTCTTGTAGTTCTTGCAGGCCTTAAGGTTGATAATACCTGTGACCAGAATAACTAATGTGACAAAGACTTGTACAGCTGCACCACTGGAATAACAATGAGCCTGGTACACTGGGGAATGTTACCTGCAGGCCTGTGCAGGTAGTTTTGTTTACAAATACTGCTCTAATCGATTATAGAAATGGCATTACTGAAAAGAAGTGAATCAAATAGACTGCCCCTCAAAACCAGGAAAATAATTTGTGTAATTCAGAGTGGCTTTAAAAAAAATTACTAATGAATGCAATCTTCTAGATTGCATAAATAAGACTATGGAGCTCAACAGTCAAAGTCTGCCAAGTTTCCAGAAGTAAATTTCCCATTTATTTTTCACATAGACTTTTTGAACTATTCAAATATTAAATGTGCACTGCGCTACTTTTCTTTGTCTAGAATGTTCCACAGTATAGATTAAACCTGTCTATCTCAAGGGAGACAAGCAGAAGGAGTTATTATATTTTTGAACAATAGAAACATCTGTAAATAATAAATGCTAGATGGATATGTTTAATGTCATACCATGGAACATTCCAGGCAAAAGAATAACATCTCCATGGAGACAAGCAGGTGGTGGACCCTCTACCAGAAAAGTTGTGCAGTGCACCTTTAAGGCATGATGGAGGCTAACCAGTTATGTGGTAACTACAAGTAATGTCCAAAATAATGTGGATGTTTCCAGTCCAAAAACCAAAACTTAAAAACTTAAAATTCTATGAAATGTTTTGATATCTCATTGGTTTATACATTTTCAGAAAGACATTTTCAATTAAATAAATGTATATGTCTTGTGAGCACTTGTCATATAGCTGATTAGCCCCCAGGAAGGTTTCTTGTGGTATAATTTTATTTTCTTCTGATAAGTCTATGGGAAAATCAGATGTTGAAATATCATATATTATTATAGTATTAGTATTATATAAAATATCTTGAAATAATTGTTAGTGCACAGTTTTACATAATTAGAATTTAAATTAAGATCCAAATATCTGTGAATATATTTTTTCTGTATTTCAAGCAACACTGGTTACCTGTATCATCATTTTCACCAAAAAGAATTGCAAAGACGTTGGCATCTGTCCCAGCATACTTCTTCTCTCCAGTTTTTATTTTCAGGGTGTATGTAGTCGACATCGCTGCAAGATAATTTCAAAATGTCAGTCTTGTAATCCTTTTATCTCCCCACTTGCACACAGCACTACACCTGCACTCTTCTGATTAAAGGGCCTATATTACGCTATTTTCTGATCTATGTTATAAGGTTTCTTTCTTATCAAAAATATACCAGGAGTGGTGTTTTTTTTTTCATTCACACATACACACATTATGTTCATTCACACATTATCGCTAAAACCTCTAATTGCCCATCTCTATTGAACAAACAGTAAAAGGTTTGTAGCCATGACATCAAAACGTGGAAAATTTTGAGCTTTGGAGATGTAAACACTAATAACAAAGGTTTACGCAAACATGTGAGCTTGGACACAAATTTCACACGTTTTTACATTTCTGTTCGAGTCCCAGTTTGGCCCCGCCCCCTTCCTCATCGTCATCTTTCCACATGAACGCTTCGTCCACCGGCACCAGCTCTCTGGCGATCTGTCCGTCATCTTCATCCACGGCTAACCAGCGATTACACGGGAAGAAATATCTGAAATAATAAAAAGCACTCATTAAAGGACCTGACTTAAATATTCTAGTTAAAATAAATCCCCTTTCCACCAAGCATCATGTTGTAAAAGCAACTAAATGAGAAAAAATTAGTGCAAGACGTAGAAAATTAATTCTACAGAGCATTTTGTTGGAATTAGAATTTTTCATCCAATCAAAGGGTGTCTGTATTTTCTATTAGTGTTTTCATAATACTAAAATTTCAAACTCAATTTTGATACTAAAGAAAATACAGATAATTAAAAAAAACATTATAACCAGCAAAATTCTGTCCTTGCTATGCACCTTCAAATTTTAATCAAAGCCTTAGTAGTTCTGTTGAATTTTGTCACTGTCTGTATTATTGCTACCAACCATTTTTTTTGTTTTTGTCGTTAACAATCTGAAGGTTGTCAGGTTAAAGATCCATTCGTTGCATACTGCCATTGTGTCCCTGGGCAAGACATGTCCCCTGCTTTGCCTCCAGAGAGTGTATATGCTTATGTTTGAATGAGAGCATGTCGTGTGCAAAAGTGGGACAGCAGATGGACAGTAAGAAGCCCGTGGCAACAATACGACCTGTTTACATTTATGTTGTATGTCTCATGTATGTGCTGTAATATGCACTGTGTCCTCCGACTAAACAAAGAATAATTATGACGTAAATGGCCATTGACAGTAGTTTTTAAGAGTGAATAATCCAAGACATGCAGTTTTTACCTATTCATGCTTATATTTATGCTCACATCATACTAATTAGTTGTAATAAGGAGTTTATTAATAGGGAAGTGTTGTAAGGCTGTAATGAATACTAATTAACACAACACTTACATGTATGCAAATTAGCAGCTGGTTATATGTGTGTAGCCGAAAATAAAGTGTTAAATGATTTCAACTGATACTTTACAATGACGTCAAGCTGGGGGTGTTCTACATATATCTCTATGGTGGAACGTTCAGCAATCAGTGTTGGGGACTAACTGACCACATGTACCGGCATTACGTAATCAAAATACAAATTATGAGTAACTGTATTCGGTTAGAGTTACGTTAATTGGAATAGAGTGACTTTGTTGAAATAAATGGATTACACGGCGGTATTTTCCTCTTTGAATGATTGAATAACTCTTAATGTGTTATGTTAACATTCCAGACACATATTCAGCCTGCTGTTCTCTGTTCTATTGTTATTACTGTAACTTGCATTTCAAGATGAAATGTCGGTTCCTGGTCTCTGATTTTATAAAATAAATTTCCATCCAAAAGTGCCATTTATAGTCCGGTGCAACTTATATATGTTTTTTCTTCTTCATTACGCCTTTTTTGGCTTGTGCGATTTATACTCCGGAGCAATTTATAGTCCGAAAAAGACGGTAATCTAAAGTATTCAGATTACGTTACTCATTTAATGGATTCCATTACAAACATTACATACATTTGGGGTATGTAATCTGTAATCTGTAGGGGAATCTATCTGAAAAGTAACCTTTCCAACACTGTCAACAATTGCTATGGTAACACAATGGGCACATTAGTAAATACTGTTAGAAAGGTTTAGGAGCTTAAGGTTTAAATCTAAAAACAAAAACAAACAAACAAAAAACTAAATGGATTTAAACAAGACATTTTCAGGAGCCTGTGATCAATACAAGCATTCATGGTCCTGTTTAGGTGTTTGATTTCTACAAAAAGGCGAACTGACTAATGCTAGCTCACTTGTGACTGTAATTTTACGCATGAGAGACTTGTTTAACAGCATTAATCAGCTCAATCACCTCTTGTAGTTCCAGCTAAATCAGCTCTTTCTGGGCAGTCTAATTCTAATAGAGCTTCAGACAGAGTAGTGCCTCCTGTTAACATCACACTCCCAGGAAATGTTGATGGCACCAGCTGCAAAGAGTCAGTAGTCCTAAATATTGAAATAATCTTACACCGAATTAGAAGCCCAGTAAAGTAAAGGAACAAAGCAGTTGTTGTATGTATTTTTATGTATTTTAAAATCATATTCACAAATTTACGAAACCAAAGCCAATGAAAACCTTTGAATAAGCAGTTAAACCAGTCAAAAGTTTAGACTCTCCCACTCTCTGGTTAAGCGTCGGTTTCACTCACGTTGTGTCGTCCTTTGTGTCCACTATCTCGACACGGTCCAGATACCAGGAGGAGTAAGAGCCGGAGTTGTCATGGCGAATGCGGAGCTTTTTCAAAGGACCCAATTCAACGGCCGTCACTGTGAAAACATCCTCCTGTAAAGCAGAGAGCATCATGGGAAACTATTCACACAAAATCATTCTAGTCATGCTGTCTTCACTGCAGGAGAGGAAAGAAACAAAACAATTCAGAATAATTACTGCATTCAACAGAGGCTTTTAAAAAAGAAAATAGGCCCTGTGTAACAGCTTTATCTAAAAACACAATTACACTGTTCTGCTCTGTGGTATAATGTTGTTTCCTCATCACAAACATACCTGTTTAATGTTTATCCTGCATATTTAGGCTGAGTTCTTTTCTCTTAACTTTTTTTAAACATACACCTTCACTAGAATCATTTGGGTAATTTCAGCCCTGCAATTTCAAATCTCTACTGAACCAAACGTAAAAGGTAAAACTACCTTTACATGACATAACAAAGTAGAATAAAGCATTTTGAGCTTTGGAGATGCAGACAGACTAATAATAAAAACATGTGGGTCAAACATGTGTGAATGAAACAAAACACAACTCCAGGTATGTTTTTGAGGAGGTAACAATATAACAAATACTATATTATAACAAAACTTAGTGTTCACAAGAGTCAATTTAGTCAATTATATGGTTAATTATTAGATCACTGCAATTCATTAGTTGCAACTCAATCATTTAATGGCACAGTAATTTAACATTTGGTTTACTGGGATTATATTGTTTAGTAAAATAATCCCCGTGGTTTCAATATTATCGTTTATTGCAATACTAGTATATCTTAGTATCATTATATTATGCTTCAAAATGTGTTATTGTGACAGGCCCACCTTAATTACATTCAATAAAAAAATGTTAATTAAAACCGCACTAACTGACACCTCCAGCCAATAAAACACTCTTAGTTGTGTGTTGCGAGCTGCTTAAGAGCTGAGTTTAATACTGGACTGAATAATTCACAGGTCTGATGGAGTAAAAGTAGGGCAGATTCAGCGACACGGTGGACCCCCGGTGGCTCCTCTGGGTACTACGGCTCTCTGCAGGACGACTTGTAATCCTATCACTCACTCCCACACAACTTTGCACCAGATCGTTTTACATGGAAGTGCCAGAGACTTTGAATAACTGCAGGTTTATTTTCATCCAGGTTAAAACTACAAATGTATTTACAAGTATGTAGTGGTGTTAACGTCTAGTGGTAGGAGAATTACTCAGTTTTGTTTCTTAATTAAAAGAAATACTCAATTAAAAGTAAATGAAAATTTTAAAAATGAAAAAAATCTGCTTACTGCAGTATTAAAGTACCCGTTTAACAATGTACTTCAAGAGTAAAAAGTAAAAGTAGTTTTTCTCTGTATATTTTAACATCAAATGTGTTACAAATAAATAGAAAACTACAGATACCTAAGATTTATACTTATGTACTTTACTCCTTGACTACTTATTACATTCTACCACTGGCTGCTACAACAAGCTCCTGCTGGTTAAAAATGTCCCTACAAAGTAATGTTAATTTTGACCAGAAATGTTTATTTTGTTTTAGTCTTTTGTATAAGATTGTTTAGTTAATATTTAGTCAAAGGAAATGTCATGCTAATTTAGTCTACAAAATCCATCATATTTCTAGTTAATAAGAGAATATATTTTTTTATTTCAATTATGAAACATTTAAAATTGTCTTTACTTCATGGGACTTGTAGACTTTGAGCATATGGTCTGGATTGGGGGGAACTTGGATCTTTACTTGTTTAGTTAATTCATTTGTATTTAGTTTTCTTATTATTTGGCAAAAAAATCTGTACTTTTAGACTACAAAAATTTTTTTTTCGCATTTATCATGACTTATTATGAGTTTCAGTCTCATGGGGCTGCAATGTTAAGTCCACTGAACAGAGTTTGGTGCAGAAATCCACAATAGTCACACTATTAATCCGCAGCATTTGGTGTGATTCAGAAGTTGGCTGTGTTTTGTGTCAGACTGCTGAGCCAGATTCAACACTGCTGCAGCTCACTTGCCCTCTACTGGTGCAAAATGATATAAAAAAAAAATCTAATAAATAATTCACACTACAGTAAATGCAGATTTAAAACAAAAACAAAAAGATCTAATTATAATTGTATTCATTTTTTTATTTATCAAAAAGTCAAAAAGCAGCATTTTAAACATGTCCAAGAACACTGTGTTTTATATCTGATGCCCTTCTTGAAATCATCATTAATCAGGCTTGAAAGAGCACGCAAACACCCCTTGTTATTTGACTGATTTGAATCAATAATATAGTGTGAAATTGATAATTAATTTCTTACACTGTTTTCTCCTGTATATAGCAGAGAGATATAAGCTCCCATTTTGCCAGAGGAAAAGAAGCTGCCTAATAATTCAGCATCCCTTGATATAGGATGTTGATCTCCTAAGGCCACACCTGCTCTGGGTCGACAAATACACATCACCTGATCTGCTTCAGTCCAATAATAATTCAATGACTTGTTTAGTTTATTCATCTTGGAGTTGAAGAATCTGCATAAAAATCATGATATGGTCAAAATACCCACTTGCCTAATAATTGTGCACACAGTGTAAAAAGGTAGCTGTTTGACTACACTTTAATACACAAATATGGATTTCAAGTCTATCACTAATATATATATCATATTTATTAATTTATTTCAACATCCTCTAGAAACAGCTTTCAATTTATTACCCCTGTGTTTCCCAACTAGGGGTGCAAGAACATTAGAATTATCAGCAGTTTCTTGTCTACAATATAAAAACAGGCCATATATATCCTTTGTTTTACTAGTTTTATGTTATTACTATCCTATTACCATGTTATTACCATTACCATGTGCTGTGACCAGTTTTTGATTAAGCCAGCCATACTTTGCCCTTTTCAAACTTAGTATTTTCTTGTTAATAATATAGACTCAAACCAAATACACTGATCCCTTGTCACTAGTTACCAGGTTATTACCAACCTATTGTATCTTATTTTAAAAATAATCATAATGTAATAAATATAATGTGCTGTGAAGTGTGACCGGCTCTTGATTAACCCAGCGTACCTGGCCCTTTTCAAACTTGTTGAGGTTGTTGGATCTCTTCAGGTAGCGTTCTCCGGTGTCTCCGTTTTCACCATAAATATTCACGAAGACTTTGGCGTCAGTCCCGGCTCCCATCATGCCTCCAGTGAACACGCTCACTTCGTACGTGTTGACTGCCGGACATACACAAAGGATGAATGACTAACACCTCGTTAACCTTATGGACCAGACAGGAAACTGGGTCAAATCAAAGTCTGTAAATAAGAGTGTGCTGAACTTAATTATCATGATTACAACGATTGCTCAGATCAATTACAGATATGTGGAAGTATAAAATTACTAATGGGCTGGTACGTTCTTGTAATAGCTTGGTTGAGGTTTAAGCATCAGGTAAATGGATAAAAGTAGAGGAAAAACACTCCAAAGCATTAGAAAGTCTAGCTCTTTGTACCTTCCAGGTCCTCTGCATCTTCAGGCAGCAGCTCCACCACCAACTCTCCGTCCTCCTCCCCAGACGCCAGCCATCGCGAACAGGGGAAATGATACGTAAAGACCACCTCCTGCATCTCCTCTCCTTCATCATCCTCATCCTCCTCTTCATCTTTCTTCTTCTTCTTCTTTTTCTTCTTGTCGTCCTTCTTCTTCTCTTTCGGTGCCATGGCCATGATCAAATGCTTCACATCCACAGACTCCAGGAACCAGCCCGGCCCAATCCCAGAGCCGTCATGGCCGATCCGGATCTTAAAGATTTTACCAACGTCTTTGGCCTCAATCTGTAAAAATACAAAGAACAAACTGTTGGATTACAATGCAAAAAGGAATATTAAAGATTCACTATGTAACTTTATCTCTATGAAGACACGCATTTGCACAACTATTTCAGAGCAAAAATAACACCTGTAATGAAATGAGAGAGACAAGTTTAATGCCATACTGTGGGACATTACAGGCAAAGCAATAACACCTACATGACCCTCCACCAGAAAAGTTCCATAGTTTTCTTAATTTTAGAATAAATTGTGCATAGAAATTGTATGGAGACACTTACAATAGATGGACAGATCATTTTGCTTTCAAATAATAAAAGTAAACAATAAAGATACATGTTCTGAAATAACTCCTATTCAGTTATGCAGTGCTTGGCTTGAATGTCTGCATTAAAAATATTCTTGTTTTTAACAGTGTTAATGTAAAAAAGTACCTTGAATATTTCCGTGGTATTTCTCTCAAAATTGTTGGATCTGCTTTCGAGGATCGTGACTTCAGACTTCCCTTTGTCCCCGTACATCTGCATGAACACTCTGGCGTTGGTACCGGCAAATGTCACGTCTCCTGTCACCACACTGATCTCATAATTTATGTCTAGTGAAGAAAAAATAAATTTAAAAATTATGTAATGACAAAGATTTCTACATACATACACAAAATATCACTCAGAATAAGTAATATTTAGAGCTGAAAAGTTAAATTTGCACATACTGATCTCGTAATTTATGGCCAGTGAAAAAAAAATAAAAGAAAAAATAAATAAAATCCATACTTTACATTTCAGAACAAAATCACAGACATAAAAGAATATTTAGAGCTAGGCATTTTAGGAAAAAAAAAGTCCAATATCACATTTTTAGGACTATTATTGCTATTCGATTTATAATTTATGTATAACAATCAAAATTCTATTCACAATGCACATTTTAATCATGCCTAGAAAAAATAAGAATTGCAGGATTTCATGCTAAAAAAGAGGTCTAAACTAAAGGGTTTAATCAAGAATAAGACCCAAAGGGGACACAACAATAATCTACTTTTTGCATTAGAAGTAAATGGACCTATGAGCTGTATTAGTTGTGAATTTATAATATTCAAGTTCCTTTTTCAAGGCGTATTCATGGGTTTCAGTTTAAAGATGACATTTTGGGGCATTTGACCATTAAAAGATATAAAGAATATTTTTGTTTTAATTGTTAAATCCTATGGCAATGGTGCTTTAAAACCCATAGATTTTAGAACAAAACCTCACAAGTAAAACAGTTGTCTTACATTGTTCCATGTCCAGGATCTCACTGGGGTAGATCTCCACCTCTGTTTTTCCATCAGCCTCATCTTTGCAGAGCCAGCGATGACTGGGAAACATGTACTGACTCCCATGAACGGGCACCATGATCTGAACACTGTCCAGAAACCAGCCCGCCCGCATGCCCACATTGGTGTGACCGATCATCAAACGGTTAATCTGAAAAAACAAAACAAACGACAGTGAAATTTATAAAGTCTCTCAATAACCAGTTCAATGAGTTTCAGTTGATCTTCTGATAATTTATTTTATCAGATTCTTTTTTCAAACAAAGGTTTAATTTCTTTAGCTCTGACACAAATGCACAAAAGAGCACTAACGTGGAAGCACGTTAGAAAATGGGGCACATAGGGATTGTTTTAAAGACTGCACTTGGCATTTTTTTCATTTAGTTCACATTTATTATTCTTTGTTTAATGTTCCACCATAACACCGAAACAAGTTCCTAGTTTATGAATTTGGCAATGGCAATGAAATATATCCTGACTTCTTACAGAAATAAAACTGGGATCAATTTTCTTTTTGAAGGAACCTACCTGGACGACTGTGGGATTACACACAGTACTATTCAGGCCTGACACTAACCCCAGTCTTAAGGCAGGATTTATTTACCTGTCCAATGTCAAAGGTGTCTACAGTAAACACGTCCACACGGCCAATCTCAAAGTAGTTTCCCAGGTTGTTGTCGGAGACCACCAGCATCATTTTACTGGTGTCGCCTTTCTCTCCATAAAGCTTCACAAACACATTTGAGTCCGAGCTGCCCCCGGGGATGTTTCCCGTCTTTACAGCTATGTGATAGTTCATGTCTGACAAAAACATACAGGATTATCAAGTATCAACATGTAACAGTATATATTAAAGTAATAGTACACTGGTATGTTGTGGCTGGCCTTGTCTGAGCAGGGAACTAAGGATAGACATTACCTTTGGCTACAATCCTGCATATTTACAAGTACAAGTTTTTTGGGGTTTATTTTGCATTATCTTGTCTTTTAATATGCATTATTCCCTTAATAAATAAATACAAAGAATATACTACCAGGCAGAAGTTTGGAAATACCATCTCATTCAACGTTTTTTTCTTACTTCCTACATTTTAAATATACACAGTAGACATCAAATATGTAAATTAACACATATATGAAGCAAGATAACTGGAATTTTGTAGCAAAGAAAAAAAAAAAAACTTGGTGGCTACTTTGAGGATTTATTTACCTTTTATTATTTGCTACATAACTTCATATTTTATGTCTTCTGTATGTACATTATGTGTAGAAAAATACATGAGTGAATGAGAAGCTGTGTCCAAACTATTTTGAGAGAAAAACAAAACTTACTATACAGACGTTGGCCATCTGAAAAAGGCACTAACTCTCTCACAATTTGTCCATCGTCCTCGTTTCGATCGAGCCATCTGAAAAACAAAAACACTTCTGAATACACAATGCAAACAAGAATTTTCATATTTCAGTAAGGAGAGGCTTTACTCAAGTGACAATACTGTAGAGGAAACAATTATTAAAAGTCACATATTGTGCTATTTTATGGTCTATGTTATAATGTTTGCTCATCACTAAGGCTACGTTCAGACTGCAGGGCTTAATGCTCAATTCCGATTTTTTTGTGAAATCCGATGTTTTTGCGAGGTCGTTCACATTTCCAATTAAATACGACTTGTCTGTGACTCCAGTGTGAACGGTAAACGGCCTGAAAGTGTCCCACATGCGCACTGGAGGACACAATGACGTCAACCCCATGCGTCAACCGCAGCGAGCGTGCTCTGTGTTTACGGAAGTTATCCAAACATGGACGCGAGCATTGAGCACCTGGCGATTTTACAGTTCCGCCTGCTTCAGCGCAGAATAGTGACGTTTGTCGCTTGTTGATGACGTGTAGGTCGGATGGATGCGCTTTGGCCGTTCAGACTGAAGTCGCATGTCAAAAGATCGGATATGTATCGGTTTCAGGAACACATATCCAAGTGGCCTGGGTCGCATTTGAAAAAATCAGATCTGTGCCGTTCAGACTGTCATTAAAAGATCGATACAGGTCACATAGAAGCCAAAAAATCGGATTTGGGTCACTTCAGGCTGCAGTCTGAACGCAGCCTAACAGACCTGGAGATGTGTTTTGTTTCATTCACACTGTTTAACACACAAACCCTGCACATTTAGAGTTATCCTTTAAAATAAGACTAAACGTATGTATAACTGTTGTAACTGTAACATCTGATTTATTATCTAAAGTTAATATACATAGAGAGAGTTAAAGAGAGAGAGTTAGAATTAAGAACATAGAAATGTAAACACAGATGTTCAGATCATTTAATACACATCACAGTTTGCTTTTATCACAGGGTTCATAGTATTCAGGTACAGTTAAGTAAGTGTAACCCATCATTATCCATGTCAGCTAATAAATACAAACCTATTACACGGAAACTCCACAGCGTGAGCCTCTGCCTGTCCCTCCTCTCTCACGATCACTTTATCCAGAAACCAGCCACAGCCTCCTCCTTTACCATTGTGTCCGATCCTGATTCTGCGCACTCTTCCCACGGACACCGCCTCAATAATGAACTCATCCAACTGTAACAGAAAATACATGTATTTACTATGTGACACTACTAACACATTCAATCCCTTTAAATCACTTTGGTCAGCTTGTTATCCAAAATATATATATATTTATATAGCACCACAAAGTCCAAATCATTACAACTATGAGGATGTTTAAAATCCTTCTTTAGTTACTTTGGAAAAAGATTCATCACAGTGGTAAGTGAACAAAAATACTGATACATACAAAACTGAATTAATTTCTTATTAGTGTTTTTGTTTAAATGCCCACTGACTATGTAGCTAGATCAAGTTATGTGCCAGATCCATGGAAATGTGACCTCACTCACAGTAAGAATGCATGTTTATCAAGGTATTTTTGCGCAATATTTCTAATTGGATAAAAGTAAGATAGACAAGTTTAGTGTTAAGTACTGTGTGACATTCCAGAAAAAACAATATTATCTCTACAGGGACAAGGAGGTGGCAGACCCCCAATCACACTTACATAGTACACCTTTAATGATTTAAACATGTACTCACATTTCCTTTTTCGAACTTGTTGACATTGTTTTTGCAGTTGATCAGCTCTCGGTCTCCTGTGTCTCCTTTGTCTCCAATTATGTTTAGAAAAACTGAAGCGTCTGTGCCACTGCCCCCTACGGTTCCAGTGCAGACAGTCACTCTGTACTTTATCACTACAAACAGAACAAGTATTATAAACAGACTGGTACAACTGCAGCCAGTGTTGATTTTAATAACACATTTTAGGGACGCATATAGAAACGTATTTTTAGTAGAGGGCCATAGACTAGTGTTCAGTACAGCAAGACTTTCAGATAGACACATTATACAGAGCCACAATACCTTTAAAAAGTCTTGGAACACAAATTCCAGTCCTAACTTATGTCTGTATCACAAATAATGCAATGAGAAATACTTGAATTTGCAGAAAAAAGTCATGATCATTTGGACCAATTCACCAGGAAGTCTGGGGGGGCAACAACAATTGGTCTGAGGGTCGCATTTGGCCTCTGAGCAATAGTTTGGACACCCCTGGTCTAATGCTTTGAGTTGTCTTGATTTGATCCTGGTTTTTTCCTGATGTAGACTTGGTTTGGTCCTGTTCTAGTCCAGGTTTAGTTATGGGTTTAGTCCAAATTTTAAAGTTCAGTGAGTACAAAAATGCAAATGAGCTCTAGCCCACTACAACTACAACTATAATTAGTTTTAATCCAATTGTGAGAATGAAATTGCACAGCTTCAACTACCTTATAGAACATGTATAAAGCCACAGACTATTTGGATGCTGAGTTTGTATGTGCTCTGGTGTGAGGCTCTTTAATTGAAAATAAATAAAGTTTGTCTCCTTTGTTTAGTCGATAAATTTGATTGGATTGGACTAAATGCTAATATGTCTGCACACACAGGTGAGGGGCTCGTCTATGAGGTCTCCAGTGGCGGGCAGCTCCCTCACGACTTCATTATCGTCTTCATTTGTGTCCAGCCAGCGCTCACAGGGGAAGATGTACTTCTCTTTGGTTAAAGTCTTCATGATGGTCGCCTGAGGAATTACAGGTTCTAATTACACATTCAGGTTTATGTACTTAACAGTGGTGGTATTATTCTGGTGACAAATACAAATATTCTAGGGAATCATTGATCCAGCTTTTTCGGTTCTGATACCAATTCCAATACTATGGCTTTAAGTATCTGCCAATCCCTGATAACAACCGATAGCAACTGAGTGCAGAGACCAAAAACAGCATTTTATTTCCTGAAAAAATTAAACAATACAGAACTGATCCAAATGTGTTATACAGTTGTTATCCTATCCTTAAAGTAACTACAGAAAAACACTTCAAAACAGGCTTCTAGGCTTTTTTAAAATAGTCTTTTTACAATCAATTTATGAGTTCAACCAGGATATCAGCTGAATTGATATTAGGAAGCCAATATCTGGTCAAAATTTTCCAATATCTGCCCACCGATACCAGTTTCAGATTGGTGAATCCCTAAAATATTCAACGTTGTATTTATAGATAAGTTTGTAAAATGCAGTAAAACATATTTCCAAAATGAACCACACAACAGTAAATTTCACCTTACTCAGATGCCATCCTGCAAATGGGTTCCTCTTCTCATGCCAAATACGAAGTTTAGTCAACTTTCCAAAATCAGGCAGCTCAACCTGAACGAGAGATAAAATAGCAGATCATGGCAACAATGGGGAAATTTCAATTCAAATACTTGATAAAATAAAAATACAAAACAAAATAAAAAGCAACCTAAACCAAAACAACCCTACAAAAATATTATGTACATTACTTAGCTATGGGTACAGTACAACATAGAGACAATATGGACAATTGATACTTCCCTGAGGGTGCGATGCTAACAGTAGACACTGCTCTGTCTGAAGTTCTGTTACTCAAGTTAGACTTTAATCTGAGCTTTATTTTAACACAATCTGACCAGAAAGAGCTGATATATCTGGAACTATAAGGTAGTTTCAGACTATCTAAAAACTTTTTTGGTTGTGCTTGCTATTTTTTGCATTGTATCTCCATTGTAACTGCTGAACATTCCACTATATAGACATACATGTAGAACACCCCCAGCGTCATGTCACTGCAAAGTATCAATAAATACAAGATGCCTACAGTGTAAATTGGGGACAGAAAAACTTATATAATTCATAATAACATGGGCAGGTTCAGAATATTGGTATGCATATATTGGTATACACTACCAGTCAAAACAGCCTGATTTTTCCATTTATTTATTGCAATTCCAAGTCATGCAAGTCCAATGAAGAGCTTGAAATGGTACAAAGGTAAGTACTGAGTAGCCAGAGGGTAAAAAAAAAAAAAAAGATAAAACATAACAAAATACAAGTCCAAGCTCTGCCAAAACTAGCTCAGGAAAAAAGATCAAGATTGTAAGCTTAAAAACATGGAGTGACCAGCACAGTCTCCAGACTTAAACCCTGTCGAGCCCCATTGGGATGAACTGGACAGAAGAGTGAAAGCCAAGCAACCTACAAGTGCCACACATTTATGGAAACTTCTGCAACAGACTTGGGAAGAACTTTCTGGAGAATATTTGATTTTCTATTGTCAAAAGAACGAGCCACGAGTGTGTTCAACTGTTATATCTGCCAAAGGTGGACACTTTCATGAATCAAAAGTTTAGAATATGTTTTGGTCAACAGTAAAAATCTGGAAAAAGTGTGCTGTTCTAATGTATATTCAAGTATATTAAAATACTTACCATAAATCTGTCAATTTGGCCTTGCTCAAAGTTGTCCGTTTTGTTGTCAAGTCGTATCTCATCAGATTTTCCTTTTTCTCCGTAAATCTGGAATGAGATGTCTGCGTCTGTCCCTGCGCTGGGGAGGTCTGAAGTCCAGATCCACAAAGACCATGGGTGCTCTATATAAAAATACAATATTAAACTTTTATTTTATTAAAAACAAATTACATTAACATATTTAGCATATAAAACCTACTCTAGAAATTACTATTTTAATTTTGGAGTATTTGTCACATGTAGAAGACTATTTATAGCAATGTAAAAAGACATATTAAAAGTGCACAATGTAACTTCTAAAGTGGAGGGTCTGCTACTTGCTTGTCTCCATGAAGATGTTATGTCTTTGCCTGGAATGTTCCACAGTACAGAATTAAACATATCTCCCTTGCATTTGTTCACAATTACAGGTGTTTTATAGCTTAAAAATATCTTAAAAACATGAATTCTTGCATGTGCAGGCATGTTTCTTCATAGATCTGACCACTAACCAGTCTCCACTGTGATTATCAACTTTATTTCCAAACTGTGGAATAATCAAGGTAAAACAGTAATATATCCAAGCAAGTAAGAGGACCCTGCACCAGAAAAGTTACACAGTGCACCTTTAAGGCATCCCACATTAAAATTTTCTTTCTATCATAGTCTAAAACCATATACTGCAAGACTGAAAAGAATATATTAACAATGTCTTGACAGTGCTCTTACTCTTCTGTCTTCTCTGCCGGAGCGACACCATCTCATAGAGCTCTCTCTCTATCAGCCCGTCTCCTTCTTTCTCATCCAACCATTTACTGCAGGGAAATGTCTGCTCTATCCCCGTGAACGGACAGTACACCACCACCTGCGAATAATAAATAGTAGGGGTATCAAATTATCGCGTTAATTGCGATTAATTAATTACAGTCATATTTAGCGCGTTATGTTTTTTAATTGCGTTAATCTCATTTTTAATCTCTAACTTTAGTGTTTCTGTATGTGAGTTTCTTTATTATAAAACCTGTTTTTATGTGTTGTTGGGACAACAACAACACAAACACACACACAAAAAACACATTTATACATTTATTTATTTCGGTAATTCCACTCATTGCCGGAAACCCACACAAAACGTGCGCAGTAACAGCGTAAGTAAACGTCATGTTAACGTTGGCGGTGTCAGTCGCACAATGGACGAGGTCGAAGAGACAGTAGAACAGAGTCAGCAGTGCACAGGTAAAAACACATTCGTGTCTTGGAAATTATTTTCCCGACGTGAAATATAAAAGAAAATAACAAATATAATATCGCCTACAACTTAAATGTCACTGGTGAAAACAACCTGCATAGGCTCATGATGTCTGCACTACTGTCCTATAGTGACCTGCCACATGAGGGGACACACACACAAACACACACAAACACAAACAAACACACACCTTCATCATCGTCATTAACCTGAGAACGCGCGGACCACGTTTCCTTCCGTAGTTACTGCGCGGACACCGACGTGCTCCCGTGCGCCGCGTGTGGATCGTGTTTTCTCGCGTACGCGGCGTAAACCGCGCTTCCTCCTGTGCGCCTCTAAACCAGAACTAACACCAAGACTAAAACCAGGACTAATCCAGTCCAGGACTCAACCAGGTCTAAACCAGAACTAAAACCAGAACTAAAACCAGGTCTAAACCAGGACTAAAACCAGAACTAAAACCAGGTCTAAACCAGGACTAAACCAGAACTAACACCAGGACTAAACTAGGACTAAAGCAGGTCTAAACCAGGACTAAAACAAGGACTAAAACCAGTGATCTCATAATATAAAGCATTTCTCTATTAATAATATTTTTTAATATGGTTAAGGAAAGACTGGACTTTTTATTGTCTTTAAGTAGACAAAGGTTATTATGTTCAGATTTCCTCGTATTTGCTGCTTTACAGCAAACAGTTTCTTATTCATGGAGACTTGGGCTCAACAGCCAATTTGGAGAGATTTGTTAAACAATAAATGACTTTATAAAGTCACTTTTTTTAATCTATATCAGTCTTTTGATCTGCCACAATAATGTAATAATGAATTTAAATGAAAATACCTCAAACTGAAGGCTTTTCTCAGCAATTTTTAGGTGAGATTAAAATTAGATTAATTAGATTAATTAATTACAGATCATAATTAATTAATCTCTCAATTTTTTTAATCGCATAACAGCACTAATAAATAGGTTATATTAACAATCACAATGAGAAATGTTCAAAGGAAAAATGTAGATACTGCTTCTCAAACTTTTCAGAAAACGTAAGATAATTTTTGGCTTCCAAGTACCACCAAATCTGGAGCAGGTTTATATTATGGCTTAACCACTGTTGGGCAAGTTACTTCAAAACTGTAATGCGTTATTTTATTATTTGTTACTGTCATTTCAAAGTAATTCGTTACATTACAACACTATACTATATTACACTATACTAATATTGCATTACTTTTAAATTACTCTCACAAAAACAACTGTGCGAAGATGCCGAGCTTTTGCGCCGTATATGGACTGAACCAGGACTGAACCAGGACTAAACCAGATCTAAATCAGGACTAAACCAGGACCAAATCAGGACTAAACCAGAACTGAACCAGGACTAAAGCAGAACTTAACCAGGTCTAAACCAGGACTAATCTTGGACTAGGACTTGGAATCTAGGACCGCCCCTGAGAGAACCCCAAGCCTGTGGAGCATGGTATCCACAAAGTGTGATCGGGCATCAGCTGAAATTAGCCCCATGGACCGCGGAGCTGCGGTTACCTGATGGTCTATGCAGGCGCACCTCCGGGCCTGTCCCAACATTCAGAACCATAACGATGGCATTTCACAGTTGCTGATATCGTGGGGATTTTAGCGAATTTGTATGAAGAAAAATGAAAAAACCCACCACTTCAATCCAGGTTTAAAATGCATTGTAATTACTGACATTTATACCAAGTAAAATTTTACAGTTTTTTCCCTGTAATGCCTTATATTACTGCGTTACAGCAAAAAGCAATGCATTACAGTAATATGTTACTTTTATAACACGTTACTCGCAACACTGGACTTAACAGGTCTAAAATTAGACATAACCATGGATAACCCAGCTCTAAAGGCGGACAAAAGCTTAAACTTATTTGTCTCTGAATTAGTAGTTAGTAATTGGATGAGAAACCGCTCGAAATACCAGTGGGCCAACAGTGTCTCTGTTGGAAACTATTGTTGGAAACTGTTCTTAGACAAGACATTTTCACCACTTTGTCGAGTAAGAATGTGCTGTGTCAGTGATTTGTGATGGTCAGTGATTTGAACGGCCTATGGTGCAGATTGGCAGCATTGCTTGGCAGCTGTGGTGGCAACAATTTTAGGAGAGTGTGGAGTAAATAAATAATGCAATGTAAAAAGTTTTAGGTGTCTTGAACAGCACCATATGAATCCAATGCAGTATTATGATTATATAATGCAGGATGTTTAAGTTCACAATTCTTAAAATCAATACACACGCAAATGAGTGTTAAGTCTTTCTGATAGTTTTAGTATCTATATTGGTATGAGGTGTTGTTTTTAGCTGCCCATCAGTGTCAAGAACCAAAACATGGTGTGAGTGAGTGTTGTACCTTCTCACAAAACCAGCCCGAGCTGACTCCTCCGTTGTCGTGTCCAATCGTCACTCGACTCAAGGGGCTGAGGAGCGCAGCGATCTCAACGGTGAAAATGTCAGTCAAACCACGCTCAAACTTTCCTCCCTCTAAAAATACCTGAACAACAACAGCAAAGATAAGATATAGAGGAAGTACTTAGTTTATGCCCAAAAAACAACAAAACTATAATACAGACACCACACTTATGTTATTACATAATAAATCAATAGTGCAATTTAGCTATAAGAAAAATCTATATTTTATTTGACCATATTTACAGTAGTTCATATCTGAGAACACAAATCAGGTAAGGTAACTTTTCTAGAGGAAGATCCACCACCTGCTTGCATGGAGAGGCTTTGGTTAAAATGTTTCACAGTCTGTCATTAAAGAGACAGTTTGGAATTTAGAACATAAGACATAATTTCCTAGTGAGCCAGAGTGTTGGAGACGTGTGGAGACACTTTTTTAAATATTCCATCCAGACCTTGGTGCATGTCAATGGCCATAGTTAGCCTGCCACTAAAAACAGTCTTACCCACTCCACAAAGCACCTGAAACAAATCTATTATTACGCCAGACTGATGATGTAAATGTCTGTGTTGATAGAATAATGTTTGAAATAAAACTAACCTTGCATTGCATGAACCGTTGCATGTTGAGGGACTATTTTCTCATATATCAGTCCGCCATTGCCAAGCTTTCTATCAGGAAGTACAACTCCCTGCTGCTGCTTAGACATACATCTTCAAATGCAAGGGTGGTTTTATTTCTAAAATTATTTTATCAACACAGACATTCACATCAACAGTATGCTGTTATAACTGTTTTGCCTCGGGTGCTTTGTGGGGTGGGTATGACTGTTTTTTAGTGGCAGGATAACTATGGCCATTGACATGCACTAGCCTAGCACCGGCGACCTCTGCAAATACAAGGACTGGATGGAATATTTTAAAAAGTGTCTCTACACGTCTCCAGCACTCTGGCTCACTAGGAAATGAAGTTTTGTGTCCAAAATTCCTAACTGTCCCTTTAAATTGAAGTTCCAGAAGAGAATCAGGCCCATTCACTGTAGGAAGGAATGATTTTCAAGATATTTTTAATCAATAAAAACATGGTTAAAGCTACCATTTGTAATTTGATTATCAGATCTGGCCCTGTTGTATTCTCACATTTCACCACTAGATGTTGTCTATGTTATTGCTGATAGTGACAGCCTTGGATTGACAAAGGGAGACCAGAGAACACAGGTGAGGTGAGGGGGGACAGGTTTCACTACTTGTAACAAAACATCAAATAAAATTACAGGTGGTAGCTTTAATTGATGAACTTCATTGATTAAAGTTTCAGGCAAAGCAGCAGACAAGCAGGTGACAGACCCTCCACCTGAAAAGTTACTCAGAGCACCAAAAATGTGCACATAATACCCTTTTATGCCATAGTTCATGCCAGAGTTTGTAATATGGTAATGCAGTTCAGCTTTGGCACCTGAATGCAAATCACAGAGTTCAGTTTGGATTTGCATAAAAATCTGCATATTTCCTTGTTTTTTTTTACCTTGCCACTGTTTTTTATGCCCTTGGATCCGTGCATGACGATGTGGATTTTGGAGTTGGTCCCAGCTCCGCGGATGTTTCCTGTCACAATCTGGACGGTGTAGACAATACCTGAGGGTACAATTACATGTCAGGCTATCACAAACTGTGCCAACGCTACACATCACTGCAGCCAGACTCCCCAAGGAGAAGAAGAGCCTTAACCAAGACTTAATGACCACATACAATTACATAACAGCACAACATAATAAGAGGGTCATTATTTATTAGTTTAGTCATTTGTCACAACGCTAAGTCTTCCACTGGATTTCAATATGAGATGCAAATTTAATTTCACAAATTACATTGTGTTCTGAATTATGGCTGCTTGTTCTGCCCTTCAAAGCGTGGGGAATGGCTGCTCTCCTAATCTGGAGTGGCATTTAAAATGAATCATAAAACATTACTAACAAGTGATTGCTCTACTCTATTCTTCTTCTCTACAGGTTTTGTAATAATATAAAAGACAATACAAGAGCTTGGAATACTTGTCATTGCTATTGTGACTCAAATAATTGTGAATATATATATATATTTTTAGCCCTTAAAACAGGAAAACTTTATCATATGGTACCTCTGTAGTCTCATTAAGAAAGTTCCTCTCCTTTACCATATTTAATCATAATTAATAATAATAATAATAATAATAGTAATGTTACCATATCCACCTTATTCCATCCAGCCCACTTTTGTCTCTAAATGCTCCTGAAGTGCACGTTTTTTTGTGGTGTCACTTCCAGCTGAACAGAAATCTCATTCATGTCAATGGAGACTTTTGGAAATGTTTAGCCTTTTAAATATGTCATTTGTGTAAAATGTTTAATTTTCATTTGCACCAACAAATTACACCGCACCAATTCTCTGGGGGGCTTTAAAACGACTTTATCATTCATACTGAATTTATTTGCTGTCAAGCTCGGCAGCCCCATACAAAATAATAAAACTCGAATGATGATGGCGGCGCCCACAGCAACTTCTGGAATAAGGTGGATAGTTTTATAATTCTCCTGATAGAGAAGTATGTAGCTCTAATTACTCCACTCTCACCTGTGGGTTGGCTGCCTCCCACCAAAATGTCCCTCTGGATCTTCCCGTCATCTTCATCAATGGCAAACCAACGATTAATGGGAAATTCATACACTATTTTGTTTCCCAGATCATCCACGATCACCTAAAATAAAAATAAAAAATTTAAATATATAAACAAGTTGTAGTATAAAAGTAAGTAAGACTGAAAAAACATAATCTCATCCATTATAAGATTGTGTTTGATCTTACTGCTGCTTTAAAATGTTCAATGTTACGGTTACAGTACATACTCCCTCTTCCAAGTAGCCTGCCAAGGGATTTCTGAATCATACGTATTGTGCAGAATAACAAAAATTGTATTTAATTAAATGCCTATTATCATTGTAAATGTATAATTTTGTTGCCTAAGTTTGTGCACTTATAAATAGATAATAATTGTGTAATTGTTTAATAAGCGTCACACTGTTCCCCATCTAAAGGCTTTTATATTTACTGAATTTCTTGCAACCGCTACAATTAGCAGCTTTCTGGCATTTTCATTTTGTAAAGGTACCTAACCAGAGGAAAAAGGTTGGAAACACCTGCAGTATAGGATTTGCAATAGAAGTTTAGTGTGTTACACTTTTTAATCCACAATAAAAAAAATATGTGGCTATTTTACAAATTCTGTACTGGTTTTCTACTCTATTTATCATGTTTTAAATTGCATATTGAACTTTTTATTGTGGATAAAAAGTGTAACAGACAGTGGTTATTTCAAGGCCAAAATCAAATTTAAAAAACTGAATCAGCTGATATTTGTAGAAAAATCTGTACAAAATTTTTTAAATCCGCATTCTTCCTTTTAAGTAAATAACTGTGTCTCAAGACCATATCGTATTTCGGTCCACACCCAACCAAACCTCAAGTTACTGTGAACAGCTTGCCTATAATTTCTTTAACATGGTGTTGTCGAAAAAACATGGCTGCATGAAAGAAACCTGTCAACGATACATGTAAAGCTAAAACTACCGGTCGCGAGTCTTATGAAAAGAAGACATGTTTAATTGATGTTGTCACGGTTGAGCTTCCAGCAAATGTGGTGACTTCTCCATCTGGTTGTAACGCGATGCTTAAATGGGAGGGTAGTTTTCTCTTACACACAGGGTTAGGGTGTCAGTGTGTGTGTTCACTGTGTTGTACTCTTATCCCTGTCTTTGAATGAAGTCATGGCCCGACTCCGCTGTTGCACTGTACATGCAGAGAGAGGACCAGGAGGAAATACAACGATCAAGTGTCTTAACTACCATTGTAGAGGCAGTGTCTGGCCGAATACGATGGATTACTCAAGGATTTGGGTTTATTTTAGGTTCAGAGGTTAACTAGCCTAGAAAAGTAAATGTTTTGTGATTTGTAAAGAGTTAAATAAATATATAAATAGCCCATTTTCTTTCAATTAAAATATTAAATTACTGAAGAGCATCAACTATTTAATTTGATTTTAAGACACAAAGAAGATACTTAAACACGACAATCTGTAGCTCTCAGGCTCACTGTGTTTGTTTGTTTGTGGATTATTCAAGATTTTAGGTTTATTTTAGGTCCAGAAGTTAACTAGCCTAGAAAAGTAAATGTTTTGTAATTTGTAAAGAGTTAAATAAATAAATAGTCCATTTTCTTTTGATTAAAATGTTAAAGAGCATCGACAGTTTGATCTGATTTTAACACACAAACAAGACAATTGTCATTTGTGTCAGCAAAATTTTTGTAATCTCAGGTTCACTGTAAAGCCAAATAAGAAAAGCATGTTTTTTTGTTGGTTTGTTTGTGGATTACTCAAGGATTTGGGTTTATTTTTGGTTCAGAGGTTAACTACCCTAAAAAGCAAATGTTTTGTGATTTGTAAAAAGTTAAATAAATAAATAAATAAATAGCCCATTATCTTCTATTAAAATGTTAAATTACCAAAGAGCATCAGCAGTTTGATTTGATTTTAACACACAAAGAAGATGCTTAAATACAACAATTTGCAGCTTGTGAAAGTAAAATTTGTGTAATCTCAGGTGCACTGTGTTTTTTTTTTGTATGTTTGTTGTTCATTTTGGATATTTTTATTCCACTGACTCTTTCTATTCAATGTGACTAGGCCTCCTCCTTCTTGTCTTCATGTAAATATTGTTCCTTTGGCATAAAATGTAGTTTGGTGTTCAACCGTGAACAAGATGTGCGAAAGGGCAGGCAGCCATAGTGAAGGAAGCACCCAACATGCTCCAGAACACGGTATTTGATCACCGGCCTAATTAGATCTGTATCAATCACGTAACTTTAAAAGGATCGTTCTCTGCCATCGGAGCTGATACAAAATAGGGCTGCAAGAATTAATCAAGCAATTGTCTAATCTACTGTCTGGCCTTTTTGCTCTTATATCAAACAATCTCAATATCAAACAATAAGATAACCCAGACTGACAATTTCTCATTGCTTTTACAAAAATTGCGGCTAGAAATATGAACTAAATATTGCATTATTATACCATGGTCAGTGAGAATTCTACTGCCGAGCAATACTTTTACATAACCGCACATTAAAACATAAATGACAAATCTAATTGTAATGCTTATCAGTTAAATATTTTTCAGAAATTGTTCAGCTCTTATAGACAGGCAGTATTTAAAGTTATTTTTTACCTTGTCAACAAACCATCCCGCCGAGGAGCCTTTATTGTTGTGCCCAATCGTGATCTTTCTGATTTTGCCCAGATTTGGCGCCTCTACTGTAAACTTGTCTTCTGCTGCTTGTTCAAAATTGTCCTTTTCATTGTCAAGTCGTCTCTCTCCTGAAATGAAAATGGTGGATTCAGTGAGAAAACATAGACAAGACAACAAAAAAAAGGCATATTTTAATAATTCCTTTACCTGTGTCGCCAAATTCTCCAAAAATATTAATAAAGACATCAGCATCGGTCCCACTGCCTTTTACATCAGCGGTCAAAACAGTCACTACATATTTGTTATCTGCATAAAAGAGGTAAAATTATTTCCATGTGTATTTCTAGTTTCCATATGTTTTGTTACATATTAATTACACAAATTAATGGTTAAGTAAAAACACTATTCTTATATCCCACTACTGGTGCTACTGTTATGTACTAATAAGTTTAATATTGCAAAAAGCTGGTTAAGATAAGTTTTTAAAATCCAACCACATTCATATTTCATTCTAACAAGCAGTAGTTACATGTTTATGACTACTAAGTTGTATAATAGTCTTTTAGAATAGAAATACTTAACTAAAACAAATTAACAGCTAATAAACATTAATTAGCATTTAGTGAGTGATGAGCAGGGTTCTTTAAAACAAGCGGTACATAAGTATTGTTAATTCTCTAACTTTATGTAGTCTACCTCCTGCTTATGTCTATGTAGATGTTTTTACTTTTCTCATATTGTTCTACAGTATGTAATATTAATTGTTTAGAATAAATGCATGATAGATATGTTAAATGTAACTTTCCAGACAAAGTAATAGCATCTCTATGGACCTTTAATGTAACGTTTAACCTATTTATGTGATAAAGTATGTATTTTCTTGATGTTGACATACACTTAGGCATGTCCATGGGGTCCATTGTGCCCAGCAGGTCTCTGATGAACAGGTGGTCTCCCTCCTCTTTGCTGAGCCAGTTGTTGCAGGCGAAGTAGAAGCGCAGGTGTGGCCGGATCACGTCTGTCACCACCACCCGATCCAGAAACCAGCTCGCGTTCATGCCTGTATTATCATGTTCAATCCTGCATTTACACAAGTATATTATTAAACACAGAAAGCACTGCTGATGTGAAGTTTACTTTGTACCATTTTCCCTCTAGACTATTCATGGCTTTCAGCTTATTGTTATATACAACATTCTGAGGACTTTTCCCAATCAAAAGATTATATTTAGATTTATAATGCTAATTGATATGGTAAAGGTCCTATTTCTATTTTTTTTATCATTCTGAAACTCATGGATTTAAGGCTAACGAGCTGTGGGGTAACTAACAACCACAAAAAGATGATATTCAATCACAGATACTATATTGCAAACTTCATATATTCATGTAACGATTCAGGTTTCAGATTTCAGATAAATTTACTTTAAACATGTGTTGAGATGATTCGGCTTCATTAGGTTTTTGAACTCTTAATGATTAGAGATCTGTGCAGGAGAGAATTTTCAGTCCTACTCCCGCCTGCAAAGAATTGTAATTTTCATTCCCGCTCCTGCCTGCATCTGTGATATTTTGTCTCGCTCTCGCCCGCAAATCCCGCAAGATGGAGACGTTCGCTTTCTTAAGATCTATCAAACGCAGAGAAGCGGAAAGGAATTGTCTAAAATGTGCGTGAGATTAGACCAAGTGTGCAAGTTTAGGCTGCTTAAAATATTTTTTATTAATGCCAAATAAAATGTCCAGCACAAATGATGTATGATAGGCATACATTAATCATTTGTATATTTTACTTTACACTCATATTTAGTTTGCGGGACTGCAGTTTATCATCCCACTCGCCCGCTCCTGCATTGTGCAGTCCTGCTCCCACCCGCTCCCACAATGAGCTTTCAAAATGTGTCCTGTGCCTCACTGTTTTTGGGTCCCTTGGAACTGCAGAGCTCTACCTTGTATCAAAAAGTCTATTCACGGGTTTAAGAGTGTCAAAAAACCGAACTGTCATAGAACAAAATCAATACCTAACATAACATATTACACACATCATCACTTCATACACACAACACATTATTTTGATTATTTAAGTAAAATGTCATACCTTATCTTTTTAATGGCTCCAACATTGTGAGTTCTTATCCTGAACACATCCGTTTTCGCCCTCTCAAACGCAGTACGACTCCTGAAATATATTTTTGATAACATAACATGATAAATTATAACAAAATCTTTTTAGAACATAATGTATATAGATCTCATAAGGTGTGACATTAAGAAGAAACTGTAAATTCGTTTCATTGTTACATACTTTTCACATACAATTGTCAGTCACATCAACATTTGCCAATAAAGTTCAAATCTGCTTCACTTTAGTGTTTTGTTAAAACTCCAGATATTTACAAATTATGACTAACCCTTATAAGAGCCATATTTAAGTCCAAACACACATAATTAGTACTACTTACATAATACTTTAAGCACATACAACTACCAAAATGTTAAATAAAACTACAGCAAAACGAACCATGCACTCAGATCACACCAACATCACATTTAGACTCACCTTTTTTCCGTGCTGTAAACATGAAAGAAAAGAGAAATATTTTACTATAGAAATTCGACAATAACACTCATATATTTTCATGTAAAGTAATTTTTAAGATTTCATTGCTGCAGTGTGGCAGGGCTTACTTGCTGGCCAGGTGAACCTTTGGAGTGATGCCATATTCTCCAAACAGTGTGATAAACACATTGGCGTCTGTACCAGCTCCTCTCTCATCTCCTGTGATCGTCACCACCTCGTAAACTGTGGGAAAAAAGAACATCACATTTAGAAAAAGTTAAAGTAGCAGGGATATTAGTGAAATTCAAATTGGAAGAAGATTTATTAAAGGTGCTATATTATGCAAAATTGATTCTTGTGAGCTTTAAGCCATGTTAGAACGTTACCACAACAAAAAAATACCTGGAGTTGTGTTTTGTTTCATTCACAAATGTGTAAATGAGTAATCTTTTATTATTAGTCAGTCTACATCTCCAAAACGGAAAATGCTCTAGTCCACCTTGTGATGTTTTTTTTTTTTTTTTTTCAGTTTTCGATTTTGTGTTTAAATGAATAATGGAAAAAACTGATAATGGCCGTTTCCCATTCCGATGACTAAAACTGCGATGCCGGACTTTTGTGCCGCATACGGACTGAACCAAGACTAAAACAGGACTAAAACAGGTCTAAACCAGGTCTAAACCAGAACTGAACCAGGGCTGAACCAGGTCTAAACCAGGACTGAACCAGGACAAAAACAGGACTAAAAGAGGACTAAACCAGGTCTAAACCAGGTCTAAACCAGGGCTGAACCAGGTCTAAACCAGGACTGAACCAGGACAAAAACAGGACTAAAAGAGGACTAACCCAGGTCTAAACCAGGTCAAAACCAGAACTGAACCAGGGCTGAACCAGGTCTAAAACAGGACTAAACCAGGTCTAAACCAGAGGACTAAACCAGGTCTAAACCAGGTCTAACCAAGTCTAAAATAGAAATGAACCAGGAGTAAAAGAGGACTAAAAGAGAACTAAACCAGGTCTAAACCAAAACTGAACCAGGTCTAAACCAGGACTGAACCAGGACTAAAACAGAACTGAACCAGGGCCGAACCAGGTCTCAGCCCTGGTCTGGTCCTGGTCTCAGTCCCAGTCTGGTCCCGGTCTCGGTCCTGGTCCCAGTCTGGTCCTGGTCTCAGTCCCGTTCTGGTCCCGGTCTCAGTCTTGATCACCCAACAGTCTAGTGGCCTGTTCTGACATTCAGTACTGGTTCAGCCCTCATTTAGTCTTAGTTTAGACCTGGTTCAGTCCTGGTTTAGTCTTGTTTTAGTCCTGGTTCAGTTTTGGTTTAGTCCGTATGCGGCACAAAAGTCCAGCATCGCAATTTTAGTCATGGAAACGTCCGTTATCTGTTTTTTCCATTTTTCATTTAAACACAAAATCAAAAACTGAAAAACGAATCATTATCTGTTTTTTCATTTTGGTTTTGGAGACAAATCATGAAGAAAATTAGTTGTTTTTCATTTTCTTATTTTTGGTTTTATTTTGAAAAACAAATGAACGAATGATACACAGATTGTGACGTCATGTAGTTGCAGTTTTCAAGTAAACAGCTCTACCTTTTACCTTTAGTTCAGTAGAGATTGGCAAATCCAGGGCTGAAATTACCCAAATTATTCTAGTGAAGGTGAATGGAGTTTACATAAACAACGGAGCACTTTCTGTATTATCATATGACATCACAAGATTGAACAGAGTTTTTTCAGTTTGAGAGAAAAAGTCTGTGTGTTAAATGTGTGAATGAAACAAAACATGAACCCAGGTATGTTTTTGAAGAGGAAACAACATTATAACATAGATTTTTTTAAAAGCGTACTATGGGCGCTTTAATTATTTGATATTTTTCCAGTATCTTTCAGCCCTATCACTCTGACAGATTAAACGCAGGTTCACATACAGTATCGTGAGTGTGTCTTTACATTGGGAGACATTGCATTTATCGGTGAGCGCCAAAAAGAAACTGTAGAAGATGGAGGTGATCTTATTAGATTCGACCTCCGCTCTTTAAGATGAGTGAGTGGCAGGTGTCATGTAGCTGTAAGTTGAAGATAACAAAGTGCAGGTACTGGACACCCCTTCTATCAGTTAACTGTTACCTATATCACTGTTCCTCAGCCAGGCCAGACTTCGAGCAGGGGGCACGTACAGTCATTTCACGTCAAACTGAAGGGATTAACTGAATACGCTTGTGATTGCCAGATCAGTTAAGACAACCAGCTTTTCCATTACTTTATAAAGACATATTATAGTCTGGGGGTCTGGAGGTCTTATCTCCCAGACTTCCATTGGGTGTGATTGACAGGCGGATTCACAGACTGGATAAAGAAGTAGACTAAGTGAGCGTGACGTCAACCATAGCTCCAATCACACGAAGTTCACAATGTCAGTGGTTATAGAAGCAAATTTGGAGCCCAGTTCAATATCAGAAATAGGGATTGCTTTACCGAAACAAAATAGTGAAATAAAAACACCAGGATCATGCAGAGCGGGTCAGTACGAGCATTTTAAGAGCAAAATGAGGAGCCTGACAGCAGCAGCTACTGAGAGAGGAGCAAAGTTTTTTCAACACAAAGTGCTTGTTTCCTATTTAGAACGCGGCAGCTAGTGGGTTAACTATGCTCATTTATGTATACAGTCTGTGCGGATCAACCAATCCATTTGTTTTACCAATTCCATGGAGGAAAACAAACTCTAAAATCAATGTGAGAAGCACTAATCACTTTTAGCACAAGTTATACAAACATTTTAGTCTGAAGTACAAAGTGATTTGAAAATACATTTATACTACTATTGAGAGAGACACTAAATGGGCAATAAATAAATAAATAAATAAATAAATAACTGGATTGTCAAAAAACGTATTCACTGAACAGAAATCCAACCTGTATTCTCACACACAACAGCTTGCTTTCCAGGTTACTACTTCAAGATTTCACAGCTGTAACTTACATCTTTTTGTTTCTGACTTTTGAAAAAAGCCATCATTGTGTATGGAGCTTTAATTTTTGAACCCAATGTTGATGTGGCTGACTCCTCTAAACACTTATCATTTCATTTCAAAGTGTAATATATAGGTCAGTAAACTTGCTGATATCATGGTCTTCTATTTAAGAACCATTTCATCTTAACTAGACATTTTAGATGGTAACTTTCTTTATAAATTATCAGTACATATGATTAGACATGTTGGAAACGCTGATATCATAGAACGGGGTGGACAATTATATTTGTCATGGGCCACATGAGAAACAGAAGACCAGGACCGGGCCAAAATACTTAACTCAATTCTGCTTAATATTAATAGTATTTCTTTATAAAAAAAAAAAAAAAAACAACAAATAGCAATGTTTTGACAAGCTGGTAAGACTGGTAAAAGTATAAGTTATGACTAAGCAATGAAAAAGTGAGGATGCCTTACTAAAAATGTATTAAAAAACACCTCTAAAATAAAAGCAATGCAGCTTTAGTCCATGGATGAGGTAAAATTATAAAATATGTTTATTTTGTAATTCCAAATTAACTTAAACCGGCTGGTCAGAGTCAACCAAAGGGCCATATGTAGCCCGGGAGCTGCACAATGCCCAGGTCTGTCATAGATGGATCCTAAGATAAATAAAAGATCTGTGGCAAGTTCTTTGATACTCTGCAGCTGATATCAACATTCCCTGGGGGTGTGACAAAGCCCAATGAAGCACTAAAGCTCTGTTGCTCAACTTAGACTTAATCTGAGCTTTGTTTTATAATAATCTAACCAAAAAGAGCTGACTTTGTTGGAATTATAACAGGTTTTTGTGTTGATTTGTGCGCTTAAATAAGTCTCTCACATATAAAATTACTGTCAAAAGCTAATTAGCAGGTTTTCAGTTAGTCACTCTCACCATTTTTGTGGAAAATCAAACAACAATCTTAATATTTCATACTATATTAAACTATATTAAACCATTTTTGGCAGTTTTTGCGAATGTGTGCCACCATAGTAACTGTGGAACATTCTGGCAATAAAGATTCATGTATAACACCCCCAGCGTGATGACAATGCAAAATATCAATAGCATATATCTGCACCAATCAATAAAATAAATGACTATACACTTACCTTTCTTCTTGTGGTATTCATCCTCGTAGTTTTCCACTTTCTCCGGCTCATAGTTCCTCAGCTCATTCTCATAAATCTCCACATAATTCTCCACTTTCTTCTTTTTTCCTTTCTTTTTGGTGTCTTCGTCACTGTCCGATCCTTTCTTCTTCTTATCCTTCTTTTTCTTCTTCCCTTCATCCTCTTCTCCACCCTCCTCCTCCACTTCCGAGTCCTTTTTGGATTTTTTTGCCATTTTGTCTTTGGAAGAGGACTTTTTCGTACCCTTCTTAGTGGTCTCAATCACATCGGGAAGTTTCTCTTTACCTTTGCTGTTTTGGAGACATTGTTGTTGTCTTCTTGCTCTGAGTTTTGAGATGTTACACTTAACTCATCTCCACTCACCTCTTTTGCTTTCTTTTTCTTAACTTTTTCCTTGTCTTTGGTCTTTTTTTTGCTCTTCTTCACGTCCGCTTCTGATGCGTCTGAGTTGTATTCTTCCTCATCGCTGCCTCTGCTCTTCGTCTGACTCTTCTTCAATCTCCCTGACTCACTCTTCTTCTTTGGTTTGGTTTCCTGATCCTCCGAGTCCTCGTCATCCACATCTTTAGTTTCCTGCTCGTCCGCTCTATGTGTTGTTTTTTTCTTTTTCGTGGGCATCTTTAATTTATTTACTACCTTTGTAACCGTACCTGATTCCTGTGAAACTTGATTAAACTGACCCGTGAGTGTAGACCGCAGTGACCCAAAGGACGGTCAGTTACAGCTGTCCCTCTCTGTTTGTGCAGCAGGAGACCGGGGAAGCCCCTCTCCTCTGCTCATCCTGGGACACCTGCTGAGGAGGGCCTTCATTAAATATGATAATCTACCACAGTCACGTGACCTGCAGAGGAAACCCTCCCAATATAAGGTGACACATGCAAGAAGCCCTGGAACTATGTAACACATGACCTAATAATGGGTTACATAATAATAATAATAATAATGTGGATATGGTACATTTCTTGATATAAAACACTCAGTTGATATAAAAGAAACAGTTAAAGGACCCATATTGCCTCATTTTCTTATCTATGTTATAATGTTGTTTTCTCATCATTGTGTTTTGTTTCATTCACACACGTTTAACACACAAACCCTGTATATTTAGGATGACCTTCTATCAAACAGAAAACACTCTGGTCCACCTTGTGATGTCATGTGGTTATACAGGAAGTGCTCATCTATGTTTTAAGCTCCATACACCTTCACTAGAATCATTTGGATAATTTCAGCCTTGGAATTGCTCATTTCTACTAAACAAAAGTTAAAAAAGTAGCTGTTAACTTGAAAACTACCTCGAAATGACATCACAAGGTTGAACAGAGCATTTTGCGCCTTGGAGATGTTGGCAAACTAATAATAAAGGATTACTCAAATATGTGTGAATGAAACAAAACAGAATTCTAGGTATGTTTTCGAGGAGATAACAACATTATAACATGGCTAAAAGCTCATAGAAGCCAGTTTTGTGTGTAGGATAATATAGGACCTTCAAATCATTTTAATTTATGCCCTTTATACTTAATACTCAACTAAATATTTCAAAACTACTATGTAAATATACAAAAAAAAACATTAAAAGTATTAGACGTCATACTCTCAGATGGGAGCAAGAGACAGATTTCCCTATTGACCTTATTGCACTTTCCTCTGAAATTCACAAATGTTTAACCATGATTATATTAGTGACTAGATCCAAAAACACTGTATTGCAACAAATATCTGCATTTTAATAGTATCAATTAGCTGCCCCCCATCTGTATTAAATATTATAAGCCTATAGACTGTTGTAATTAGGGCTGAGTATCTTCATGTAAAGTCATTTTTAAGATTTTTAAGAAGTTGCCGCAATACATAGGCCACGATACGATACATATCCCGATACAGTGAGCTTACGATTCAATACGATATATTTGATTCAATACGGTTCAGTAACAAATAATGGCTAAATCGGGGCTGTGATACTAAAAATCTTTGTTAAACCACTTCTTGTGCAAAGTTCATATGAAACACGCCCATTTTAATCATCAAAACAGTGAAAATGTCAAATGTGTTGCATAAACGAGTTTCCTTCCTCTGAACAAGCAACAAAACTGCAGCGCTGTAACAAAATAATTTAGCAAAATATACCAAAAAATACTCTTGGCGATATATCGATACGGCAGCTCGCGATATCGACACTGTATCATCGCATTAAACGATACAATATATATCGATATTTCAATATTTTTGCACACTCCTAGTTGTAATGTCATGTGAAACCCAGCAATAGCAAAGCAACTCATCCACGCTGCGACTTACCTTAAACCTTTGCCATCTGCCATTCTTGGAAAGCAGAATTTGTCTGGTAAACTTTCTTTCTGCACTCAACCTGCGAAACAACACGACACACTTGATTTACTGTAATTGTTCGTAGAAAGAATGCGTTTAAATAGACATTAACATTCTTGAAACACAGGATAACCATCGACGTAATTTTAGGAAAAAATGTGCTGTACTGGCGGCGACACGCTCCAGAAATGTCGTTGTAAATGGGCCAAATAGTCTGCTAAAGGCAGCTAAAAAAAAAAAGCGAAATTAACCTTATTTGAGAGGTCACGTGTGGTGTAAGAGTCAAATAATGAATGTAGCGTATTCTCTTATTTTTTTATAGACTAAAACTTCTGTCAGATCAAGGAACAATAAGAGAAACGCGCTATATTTTTGCTAAGTTAAATTTGTTTTTGACCTGTAATTCCCCTAAAGCCCAGCAGATGGACACATTGTCAACTATATTATGGGAGATCCGGTGTTGCAGCTCCTCTCCTGCAGTTGCATCAGTCTGATTAAGGATTTTTCACACGGATCCGGTCCCTTCTTGATGGCGTAGGCTGTTTACTCCTTCTCCCTCTTTGTCTCTGCAGAGCTCTTATAGCCTATAGGTAGACAATGCCCATTTTCCTTATTACTGCAACATCCAAGTCTCTTAGTTTGACCGACACCTGCACACAGCTTTAAATGGTCAAGTGCTCAACAAAGTGATCTTTTTTGCACATTGCTTTTTTTTTAAGAGAATAGAATATATTGAAATAAATTACAATTTCAATTTTAAAGGTCCGAGCCATGTTATAGCCATGTTATAATGCTGTTACCTCCTCAAAACCATATCTGGAGTTGTGTTTTGTTACATTCACACATGTTTGAGAAAACTCTTTATTACTAGTCTGTCTACATCTCCAAAGCTCAAAATACTCCACCTTGTGATATCATGTAGTAGTAGTTTTCAAGTTAACAGCTTCCTTTTACTTTTAGTTTACTGGAGATTGGAAATTCCAGGGCTCTAGTGAAGGTGTATGGAGTTTAAAAACACAGTGGAGCACTTGTATTACCACATGACATCACAAGGTAGAACAGGGCTTTCTGTTTGAGAGAAGTCAGCGTAAGTATGCACGGTTTGTGTGTTAAATGTGTGAATGAAATAAAAATGCAACTCCAGGTATGTTTATGATGAGGAAACAACATTAAAACATAATGTAATAGAAGTCCTTTAATACTGATGGAGGCATGTTAAAATGCAGATTTTTGTTGTATTATTCACAAGAATTATTATTTCAAAGATTTCTGAATTTTACGTATTGTACTGAATAACTGAAATTTGATTAATTACCATTGTAAATGTGTTATTTTGAACTTCGTGCTCTGATAAATGGATAATGGTTTTAGGTTTTATAGGCATCTAACTGTACAACACTAAAGCTTGCCCTTTTATATCGACTCTATAGTTTCTTGCAACCGCTAAAATGAGTAGCTTTCCGGCATTCTCATTTTGTAAACCTTTAAGACATAAAAGGTTGGAGATCCCTGGTCTAGTCAACAGTAAAGATCAGGTTCAGTATTTGTGAATTTATATTTTGGATATTTCACGGGAAAATGCAAAGTTATCAAAAGAGACATCTAACTGTTGCCCGCATCTGGGAGCATTACATTATCACATTCAAGAATCTGAAAACTGCCAATAAGACTAGTATGTTAAACGTACACTGTGTAACTGGGGGATTTTGCCACCATTGAGATATTCTGTAATGTTTTGCAGTATGGCATTAAACATCAGATCTAACGATGAATCAACTGCAGGTTATTTTATTGCTAGAAAACACCTTTAAAAACATATTACTGTGAGCAGGGTCGCCTATCCACAGATCTGATCTGTAACTCAGCCTGGTGACGTCACCTGCTTGTCGCCATGACTAGACAAATTTAATGGCATATTGCCCAGGCAAAGCAATAACATCTCCATGGAGACAAAGTTACATAATGTGCCTGTGTAAATGTTGGCGTAGCCCTACTTTAGTACAACTCCCTGTTTCTTAATTGCTGCTAAAATTATCTAGAAGAACCAGATTGGCAGTGATGTAAATTATACTTATCATACAACAATCTTAAGTGATCTTTTTGATTTAAAGATCAGTGGAGGAAGTGGGGAGCGTTTGTAGAACAGAGGAGCAGATAGGCAGGGCGTGTAATCCACCAAGGACAGATAAAGTGGACTTCAGACAGTGCATTTCTCTGTTTGAACTGACTTTAAAATGTGTTTGGGGTCCCAGCAACACCCAAGGCAACCATTAGGTCTGTTGGGTTGTTCACTGGAGCAACGTGTCCAGACTGAAGATAAAAGTCATGCTATTTACATGGTCATTTTGGTTCACTGGGTTTAATCTGGGTAAACCTCACTAAAATGTGGTGTTGCTATAGTCTTAACAGAACAAGCACGTTCTACAAATCTAAGGAAGGTCAAGGCATACTTAATTTATTCTTCTCTTGTTCCTTTTTAGCAAGGATATTGAGCGTTTTGGGTTTAGATAGCAGTTATCCAGCGGTAATCCAGGTGAAGGCCTCCAAAACTGGGTCTATAAAATAAGATAAAATAATCCTTTTCCAGTTTTTATTGCACATTCCCTTGACCTATGTGCAGTGTTGATTGCACATTCACTGTACCTATGTGCAGTTTTGATTGCACATACACCTGACTTAAGTGCAGTTTTGATTGCACATTCCCTAAGCCTATGTACAGTTTTGATTGCACATTCCTTGGACCAATGTGCAGTTTTCATTGCACCTTCCCTTGACCTATGTGCAGTTTTGATTGCACACTCCCTTGACCTATGTGCAGTTTTGATTGCACATTCCTTGGACCAATGTGCAGTTTTGATTGCACATTCCCTTGACCTCTGTGCAGTTTTGATTGCACATTCCCTAGGTCTATGTGCAGTTTTGATTGCACCTTCCCCTGACCAATGTGCAGTTTGATTGCACATTCCCTAGGTCTATGTGCAGTTTTGATTGCACATTCACTTGACCTATGTACAGTTTTGATTGCACACTCCCTTGACCTATGTACAGTTTTGATTGCACATTCCCCAAACCTATGTGCAGTTTTAATTGCACATTCCCCAAGCCTATGTGCAGTTTTGATTGCACATTCCCCAAGCCTATGTGCAGTTTTGATTGCACATTCACTTGACCTATGTGCAGTTTTGATTGCACATTTCCTAAGCCTATGTACAGTTTTGAATGAACATTCCTTGGACCAATGTGCAGTTTTCATTGCACCTTCCCCTGACCTATGTGCAGTTTTGATTGCACATTTCCCTGATCTATGTGCAGGTTGGATTGCACATTCCCTAAGCCTTTTACATTTATTTTTTAACTGCACTATCTGACTATGTATGGGGGACAATAATGACAGAAATACATACATACATTTTTGGATTTTGATCATATTGATACTTTGCAGGTGATGTCATCAACATTTTCTGGGGGTGCAAAGTTTGCTGAAACCTCTATTCTGTCTAAAGCTCTGTCGCTCAAGTTTTATTTGAACATAATCTGACTAGAAAGAATTGATTTGGTTGGAACTAGTATTAGACAACAGTTTTTCAAGTAGACACTCTCACCTTTTTGGCTGAAAGTCAGTGATTCATTATTCATTCACTCCAGGCTTAGTGGTGGTAAGATATTGTAGCCACACCTGTCCGGAAAGCTGAAGTGACAAATGCAAGGCTCCTAATCTGCACAAAAAAGAGAAAGGATAAAGAAAAAAAAAATGGAAAAAAATGTATGAAAAATAAAAGTTATATTTCTGGTCAGCAGGGTTCTTTTTGTCAATATCACCCATCCCTGCCTTATATACTATATCGACTTAACGTTCAGTATAAAAGCTGGAACAGTATTTTTTGGGTATCAGTATTTATCATGTGTGTATTTTCTCTGCAATAGTGTTGTTGTTTTTTTGGGGTTTTTTTGAGCGTATAAATAGGGTATAAATAACTTTTTTGGCTAATTATTGGTTCAATTTGCGATTTATTGGTTGCAGCTCAGGCCTTATAATGATATGATCTATTAGAGATTAGTTTACGATTATTTTGCTTTGTATCAGTGCCGTAAAGTACTTTCAATATTATAATTTATTGCAATATTTTTCTGTAGCTATATCATGCTTCAAAATGTGTTATCGTGACAGGCCTGCTAAGCAATATCTAAACTCTTTCTAGGATGTCAGAGGCAGTGACTTTTTAACCTTCTCTCCACTTTCATATTTTGAGATTAATTGATTTCTCAAAGACATTTCTGTTTATGTTCTGTGGGTCCCAGGAGGAGATTCACCATAACACTCTGCAAACTCTCCTCAAACAAACACAACAGAGGGTCCAGTGGTTCCCTCAGGATGTGGAGCCGTCCGGAAGTGAAGAGGAAACCAATTGTTGCCGTTGGATACGTGCAGGACGCTGCCACTGTCCTGTCCCCGGGGCCCCAGCTGTCAAAGGCCTTCAAAGACCAGGACCCAGAGTGAATGATGTTATGACAAAGATCAGACCACAGGGGAAGAGAAACACAAGGCCAGTGGAGCAGGGTAAGGTGCACTGTCCTCTCCCACGGTATAATGGGATCAGATTAATCTACTTGCACTCAAAGCTTTGCACAGTTGTTTTGCCCTTTTATTTTGTCAAAGTTTATTTTGCTGAATCAAGTTCCTAGTTTGTGAATTTTGTTGGTCGACTGCAACTCAGCTGGTAGTGTGTTTGTCCACTGCTTGAAATATCAGGTGGCATAAGGGGGCACTACTATTGTGTCTTTAGCATAGTCTGTGTAAATGGACATAGCTAATGAGCTGGCCGCCGCATTCCCAATTAGGAAGTGAGCATGGGGGCACTTTCTAGCCAGGCTGGTGCCACCTAGTGTCTCCACTCAACTTCATTTCTCTCCAGCAACTAGGTCAGGCATCGGAATACACTAGACCAGGGGTGTTGAACTTTTGGTTCGGAGGCTGTATCCAACCTACTTTGATCCCAAAGGGGCCG